AAGGCTAGCGCTCTACCACTTGAGCCACAGCGCCACTTCCGGCTTTTTTCTTTTTGCTTATGTGGTGCTGAGGAATTGAACCCAGGGCCTCAGTCGTGCAAGGCAAGCTCTCTACCACTGAGCCACCTTCCCAGCCCTCTCCTTCACTCTTCTGTATTCTTCTTCCTTTCTCACTAATACCCACACCCTGCACACAACCTCTCATCCTTATCTTTGTGAAAGTATTTGTTAATGGTTCAAAGGCGTTAAACCATAGTATTTCACTCATATATAATACTTTAATCAGATTGAATTACCAATTTTCTTTTATCATTTCCAACAATGATCTAGTTTGATTCACAATTCCGTATATAAATGTGTGTATATACATACATACAATTTTTTGGCCAGTCTGGAGCTTAAAATCAGGGCCCCTGGGTGCTGTCTCTGAGCTTCTTTTGCTCAAGGCTAGCACCTTACCACTTGAGCCATAGCTCTGCTTCTGGCTTTTTTGGTAGTTAACAGGATATGAGTGCTCATGGGCTCTTCTGCCCAGGCTGGCTTCAAACCACAGTCCTTAGGTGTCAGCCTCCTGAGTAGCTAGGATTATAGCATGTTACACTGTTGACTGGCCCAATATAGACTTTTTAGAATATATAGAAAAATGTATATATAAGAGAAATGGATAGATTTTAAAATGAAGTCTAGAGAGTAGTCTAGATTAGTTAACAAATCATTCTTTCAGTTTATAGAATTTACCAAAGAATTCATTCTTTCTTGCTTATTCTCTTAGAATGCACAAACTTGTGAAACCTTCTACTGAAAAAAAGTATGTGGATCTCACCGTGTCTTTTGCCCCTGACACTGATGGAGATGAAGACTTGCCTGGACCTCCAGTAAGATACTATTTCAGTCATGGCACTGATTAATTGAAGTTGTCTTAGTTACTTGAAGACTACTTCATTTTGCACTTTTTCAGAAGCTAACAAAAATAAGCTCTTTACTATGGATTTTTCCTTGATGAAGCCTTAATTTAAGGGAAACATCAGTAGGAAACTGAAGAATTACAAGATAATCAGAAGTGGAGTATGTACTTGTCTAATGCTTCATGTGGCTATGATCACAAGCAACTTGAACTGGAATACCATTTTATAATGCTTCCAACAAATTAAGCTCTCAGATGAAAAGAAGGAATAAAGTACTTACGTACGACCAGAAGAAATGAGGATCAAAAAAATTGAAAATAGTTAACTATTCAAAAAAGTTTAATAGTATTTAATTTCTTTTTTTGTTTGGTATCTGAGACCCATTTTTCAAAACAGTGTTTGGTACTCTGCACCTCTTACATGTCTAAGCTGTGATAATTTAATACCAATGGGAAAAGGAAAGAGGTACTGGCAGATGAAAAGTAGAGATTTTACATTGTATAGTTACTGTTTTCTGTCCTGATACCTTTGTTAGTTTAAGTGTTTCTTATATCATTGTCTCCCCCAAATCAGAATTTTTGTTGATAATTATTAGTGTTGTAAGCCATGAGCAGTAGGTCAGATAACACATGTTAACTTGCCCTTAATGTTAACAGTATTACATGGACTCTTGACAACCCTCCTAGAAAATCTGTGAATGTGTACAGATAAATGTGGCAGTCATTTAATTTTTAAATATGGCTTCTAATTTGGCATTTTATTTATTTGGAATCCTAAACCTGATTGTAGTACTCATAAGACTAAAAGGTTTTGTAAAGGGATTGTCCTTAGAAATAGATGAAAATTAGCAATTAAAAAATGATCACTAGTAGAGTCTTGATATTTTTTTTTCTTTTAGCATCCTAATAGAAAATACGTTAGTGGGAAACATGCCATTTTATTCCCCATTCTTAGAAAGGGAGTTGATAAAGATACAAGTTATTTTTTTAGGTCTTTAATGAGAGAAACTTTCTGTTTTCTGATGTGAATGATTTGATATGAATGATTACAAATCTGATATAAGAGCTTTTATAAAAAAATGGTGTAAATTATATTCAGTACTGTAAAGGCAATGAAGACAGCAAGTGATTATTGCTAGAGCTGTCATGCATCCTAAAACCACTGACACTTCACAACCTCAGGAAGTCATTTCCCTCCAGCTCTTTGTCTTCTTTCCTGTTCAGACCATTAATAAGTATTTTGATAAATCAGAAACCACATTTACATCAGTGTTACTACAGTTTGGTACCTTGTATTACATACTTACCTTTTCCTTTCCCACTTTTAAATAATTTAAATTATACTGCCAACCATGTGATTTGTATCCTTTTGTTAAAAATACCCAGTTGGGAAACATTTGGGAGTTGAGGGAAAATTTGTATAATTAAAGGAAAATTTGTTTATTCACTTAAGAGATTGGGGAAGGGTGAAGAGGACAAGTTTCAAAGAAATACGTACCTTAGAAATAAATAATTTTTGTTCATAAAATCCTGTCCTCTCCCACTGCATATTCCAAATGTAGTACTGAAAATTATTGTTATATAAAATTGAAACTAAGACTAATACCAAGGCTCCAGGGCCTAGAACTTTAGAGGCCACAGATAACAGAAAGGACTTTTATACAACAAGACTTTTTACCCCCACTTTTCATTTTGTCATGTGCTCTTTCACAGCAAGTGATATTTTCCAGGTATCCCTTCAGCAGTCTTCAAATAGGAGTCTCACATCTCTGATAGCAAATTTAGAAATACGCTAGGTATGCTATATCACTTGAGCCTTGCCCTCATATCCTTTTGCTTCTTAGTTTCTCAGGTAGATTCTTGCACATTGTCCAGCTCAGCCTCATACCTCAGTTCTTCTGCCTCTGTCTCCTGAGTAAAACTTGCAAGAATTTTTATTATTACTTTTTTGCCTAAAGATAATGATTATCGCCCTCACTTCTAGAAAGCCAGAGTAAAGTTAATAGCAATTACTCTTACTTTGCTTACTTCAGTTCCATAAGATCACTGTTGGTGATTGAAATCCCAGGTGCAAAAGTCATTTTGTAAAAATTTCATTGGGTGATATTTTTTAACAAAAATAAATTAAAATTTCATATATCTGTATAGCCATGTTCCATAGTTAGCTCCAAACATTGTGATTCTGCTACTCATTTTAATGTGTAATGTTACTTTTGTACTTTCTAGTTTTCCTGCTTTGAAATCATGTTTCAGCATTCATTGAGTGTGGAGGAATAGTATGTAAAAATGTTTTTGGCTCTTGAAAACTATATTTCAACAAACATCTGGAGATGGACTTAGTGATATAGTTTAGTAATACAGTAGCATATTTGTGGCCTTGAATTTATTAAACAGCAGCAGTAAAAATAAATGCAACAGGTAGAAATAATTGTCATCATGTAAAATAGATTGGTAAATGACAAACCATAGGTTAAAGATTTCTAAAATCATTCCATTTTAGAATTTTGGTATGCTTGTTTGCAAGTTCTTTATAAATTGTTTCAAGGACTTGGAAACCTGTGTGTTTGCATTTTATCTGTTACTGCACTGTTACTGGTGGTAATAGTGTCAAAGCATAAAACATTCAGCTATATTTAGAGTCCACAATTTAAAATAAGGACAGAAAGAAAATTGTTCTCTTGGAATTTTGAGGGGAAAAATACCTTTTGACCTGATTTTTTCAACGATAGTGAATAAATCATAATCTCATTATGACTGCAAATAGCTAATCATTTTGTATGACATCACTAGGTATGGGTATTCTGTTTTTCATAATTTCAAGAACAAATCAGGAAGGTGAAGTTTTAGGAATCAGGAAGTATGAGGTGATTTGTATTCACTTTCCCTTTAAAAGCTTTGTTTCTAATTGAGAAATACATAAATTATAACTTAGAAATATTTACCTTTATAAATATGCAAAATTAGGTATAATTAGGTACAACTCACATAATGAGAACTCAAATTAATAGAAAATTGACAGGAACCCTAAAACTACCCATGATGAACACCCCAGTCACAACCATCTTACACACACCCTCTGGTAATTACTACTCTCAACTTTGGTGGTAGCTCTCTCCTTGTTCTTATGTTATTACTACCTCTGTGTGTAAATCTAAAAACATAGTTTAGTTTTGTCTGTTTTGGAGCTTAGTAAAAGAATGATGCATTCTTCTGTTGCTTCTTTCATTCAGCATGTGATTCATCCATGTTAGCTGTAATACATTCGTCATCACTGCTGCGTAATTTACCTTTGTGTTCTGTTCCCATGCCCACTTTATTCATTGTATTGACAATGGATGGTTTTAGTTTGGAATAATTCCAGTTTCACAGTGAGATTTTTTTTTCCAGTCATGGGGCTTGAACTCGGGGCCTGTGAGCTGTCCCTGTACTCTTCAGTTCGCTCAAGGCGAGCAATTTACTGCTTGAGACACAGTTTTTCTAGTGGTTTATTGGAGATAAGAGTGTCTCGGACTTTCCTGCCCTGGCTGGCTTTGAACCTCAGATCCTCAGAACTCCTGAGTAGCTAGGATTACAGGTGTGAGCCACCAGCACCCAGCAAGTGAGAATTATTTTAAGTCTTCGATTGCAAATATGGTTTCTTTTTAGATAGTTACCAGCGGTGCATGTCTGTAATGCCCGCTACTCAGGAGGCTGAGAACTGAGGATAATGGTTTGAAAGCCAGCCTGGGCAGCAAAGTCTATGAGATACTTATCTACAGTTGATCTACAGCTGGAAGTGGTAGAGCACTAGTCTTAAGTAAATCAGCTTAGGGACAGCACCCAATCCAAGTTCAAGTCCCTGGACTGGCACAAAAAAATTTAATAGATTACTATAAATGTTTTTCTAAGCACTAGATAAGAAGTGGATGTGCCATTATGTATTACTAGTTTTACTCTATATTTTTCTAATTACCAGTGAAAATGTCAATTCTATTACACATCTTCTTCTTTTGTATTGGCAGATTTTTTTCTTACCAATGCATGAAAAATCTTTAGTTATAGATCTATAGTTGTAGTTATCTTGCCCTCATATTATTTGATTAAAAACAAGTTTATTAAAGGTTAGGTACACAGTGAAGTAATATCAGTCTTTTGTTTGATCTCTTCTAAAAGCCTGAGTTTCTCCTTTTACACTTTTTAGTTTATGATTTTTTGAACTCAAGGCCTCACAGTTTCTAGGCTGGTGTTCTACCAACTTCAGCCACACCTGCAACCCCAACTTTTTTAATTCTTTAGTCATTAATCCTATGTATGATGGATAATGCTTACCACTCATTACTGGTCTTTCTTTTTTTTTTTTTCCAGAAGCACTATCAAGTGGTACTAAAACCCATATTCTCTTGACTGACTATATCTCTGAATTTTAAAAAAAAATAAAAGTATATATCTTGGCTGGGTGCTGGTGGCTCATGCCTGTAATCCTAGCTACTCAGGAGGCTGAGATCTTAGGATCACGGTTCAAAGCCATCCCAGGCAGGAAAGTTTGTGAGACTCTTATCTCCAATTAACCACCGGAAAACCAGAAGTGGTGCTGTAGCTCAAGCAGTAGAGCGCTTGCCTTAAGCTGAAGAGTGCAGGGACAGCGCCCAAGCCCAGAGTTCAAGCCCCATGGCCAACAAAAAAAGAAAAAAACAAAACAGTATATACTTCTATATGCTGTTTTCATCATAGCAGATATGTTTTTGTTACTTGGTTAAAAACTAGTCCAGCTGTATTCTGAGAGTCTTTGTTATTCTTATTTTCAGTTCTCAAATTTTTAATTGTAATCATACAAATCTGTCATTATTGCAGATTCTAGATGTCCCAAATTGTTTAGCTTTTATTTACTTGAACATATAAAACATACTTATTTTGTAATCTGGGTCTAATAATAGACCCTCCTGTGCATCTATTTTGTTGTTTCTTATCCTCATTCTTCTGTCTTGCCTCCTGTATGTCTGGTAATCTTTAATTCCTTGCCACTATTATATTTGAAAACTTAAGGAAAATTGCCATCGATATCCTTCCTCCAGAGATTTTTCATTTTCTTGTGCCAGGTTCTAGACACTAGTAATTTTAGGATTATTTCATTATTATTAGTAGTAGTAGTAGTATTAAATTTCAGAGACTCTCCTGGGCCTTCTATGTGAGTTAGCACTGAGCTGTAGACTGTGATAGACTGTTCACCTTACTCTTAAGGTTCAGCCCTTTAAGGTTGCAAAGTGTGGTAACTAACTGTAGACTCTACCTTTGAATTCCTAACCTGTTAGCTTAGACAGCTTCTCAGTGACCCCTTACAGATATGTCTATAAATGGTCCCGGATGCAGTGGTCACAGTTAAGGTTTACCATGCTGAGTTTTCTGTTTTCTCCCACATGTCAGCCAGGTAATTTATTTGCTAACATCAGTTAGCTGATGCTTACTTAAATTTTTTAAAAAATATACAATTACACCAACTTTTTACAGTTCTCTAATTGTGTGTGAAATATAGTTGGCTTTTTCATGTTGCTTTTGCATCTGGAAACAAAGCAGTGATGCTTTCATATTTGGGGATTAGGATGGTGAAGTTTCAACTTTAAACATAACAATCCAGTCATTCCTAACGTTCAAATTTTGGTTTTGTCAATCTTTATGTTATCCCAGTCATAATTTCCATCCTTCCCAATATTAGTTACTTTTTCTATTAATTAGAAATTAGTTACTTTATTCATTTTCACCTTTATGCACTTGAAAAATTACTATTGTACTGTAATATGATTACATTACCCTACCTCTATCATCTCTAGTTTGGGTTTTAACAGTAATATTTAATTAAAATGTTTTTATGGAAGTGGTGCTGTGGCTTAAGTGGTAGAGCGCTCACCTTGAGCTGAAAAGCTGAGGGACAGCGCCCAAGCCCAGAGTTCAAGCCCACAACTAACAACATAAATAAATAAGTAAATGTTTTCATTTTTATTAGTACTTATTCAAACCCCTGTTTATTTTGGCAAATATTTATTTACCAAACATGACTTTTGTAATGGCCTTTTTTAAATCTTGGTTTTTTTAATTTATTTTCTGTTTATTTGAATTTTGATGAGAAAAAAATGATCTTTTAATCATTTGAATCTGCTTCAGACTCGCTTTGTAGCCTGGAATATGGTAATTTTATGCATTTGAAAACTAGTCATTAGGGGCAGTATGCTGTACATATTAATTATAAGTTTGTTAATTGTATAACAAATTTTCTAATTCCTTACTGATTTTTAATAAACCTGTTATGTCAATCACAGAAAGGGGTGTATTAAAAATGATCCATTATGTTGCCCAGTGCCTGTTGCTCACGCCTATAATCCTACCTATTCAAGGAAGGTGATATCTAAGAATCATGTTTGAAGTCAGCCCAAGCAGAAATCTGTAAGACTTTAACTCCCATTTAACCAGCAAATATGCATCCCCACATTGCAGGTGTGGATCAAGTGGTAGAACAATAGCCATGAGCAAAAACTGAGTAAAAGTGTAAGGCCCTGAGTTCATGCTGTAGTACTGGAACAAAAGGTAAAAATAATTATAATCCACTATGAGATGTGTAGATATTGAGTATAGAATTTCAACTTAGCTTTTAGAACTTCCTACATTATATATTTTTGATAGAATGTCAACATTCAACATTCAGGGGTACTAAGATTGATACTCACTAGTATCTTATCTACTTGGATATCAGCACAAGGAAGTGTATATAAGTGTTCAGTAAATAACTGTTTTTGAGCTTGAACTCAACACCTCATGCATGCTCACTTGTTTTCTCAGCTGTCATCACTTGAGCCATCCTCCAGCCCTAAGGCTGGAGGATTTATGCCCCAACTTTCATCATATTTAAGATTCCTGATTAGTTAACATTGCCTTCCTATTTAAGAGAAAGCCTTACTTAGATATTTTAAAGAGATAAGTTATCTTAATAACAGTAGATATTAAAGTAATGGTTCTTAGACTTCATACAGCATTTACTTGTGGTGCATACTAAAAAGGTAGATTTCTGAACCAACCCAAAGAAACTAATTCATTGAGTAAGAATAGAAGACTCAGTATTTTTAGGAATCACAAGTAGCTCATTGAACTAGTTACTACAGCTGCTATAGCAAGTATGCTTTGTGGCTTAAGCAACAACAAGAACAAAAAATAGTTTCAGGCTAGATCTTAATTGAGACAGGTCAGGTTGATTTCACTACCCACCCCCACCCCCACCCCAGGCCTCTCTCTACTTATAGATTGTAATCTTCCTCTGTCTCACATACCTTTCCTTTGTATGTGTCTGTATCCTATCCTGATTTGGGGGAGGGGGGTGTATGTTGGATGGTAGGAGAGTTTCTCACTATATAGCTGACAGTAACCTCAAAGTCACCATCCTCCTGCCTCAGCCTCACAAATTCTGACATTACAGGTATGTGCTACTACACCCAGCCCTTTCAGCATCTTTATAAGACATTGAAGCTAAAGAATATTAGGAATCTATTCTAGCCATTTATTTTTTTCAGATGAAAAAGTAAAAAGCCCAACATCCAAGTAATTAGAACCAAGAGTAGAGTACAGGCTGCATCTTTTAATTCTTAATTGCATAAATGATTCCCAGATTATGTGGTCATCAAAATAGATATTGAAGTTTTTTTTCCAAATAAATGATGAAATGATATCTGAGACTTTGTTTCACTAGATCTAGTATGGGTGGGACTGATTACAGGTACAATGTACAACATCATATTTGTGAAGGAAATTGATATATAACCTTTCACTGTCCTTTAAAAGGTCATCAGTCGTGCACACCTGTAATCCTAGCTACTTGGCTGATATCTGAGGATCAGGATTTGAAGCCATCCTTGGCAGGAGAGTCTGTACGACTCTTACCTCCAATTAACCACCAAAAAGCTGGAAATGGAGCTGTGGCTCAAGTGGTAGAGCGCTAGGCTTAAGCATAAAAGCTAAGGGACATTACCCAGCACCTAAGTTCAAACCCTGTGACTGGCACCAATAAAAACAAGATTTGAACTACCTAAAGAGTAATATCAGTAAAGAATATGAAAATTCATTACTTCCAGTATCAACATAGATGACATACAGTGTTTCTATTGGAAAAGGATATCTCATAGCGCATTTCATTGATCTAGCCACTAGGGCTAGTTTGAATGACATATTTGATATATTGGTCAAATCAAATTTCAACAAAATCCTACTAAGGTCTTTTAGGAACTGATAGGATTTAGGAAAACTAAAGAATGTTCAAGTGGAAATTGGACAGAAGAAATATATTTAGTTAACCCAGGAAACAAATATCTGTTTAGAAAGTGTTCATTTTATTTGGGAGTGGATTTATCATCCCCACAGTCATAGTCTATGGTTTCCCAGTGAATTGGTTTCATTCTGATAAATTTGTATGCCACATTATTTATTTCTGGTGTCCCAGCAAATTACTCAAATTAAGATTAGGAGAATAGAAGTAACTGCAATATAAATTACCAAAATACATAAGTAATTTTCCATGTTTTATTTCACATGATGTGTGGATTTTTCTTCAACTTCTCACTTCTGTATTGGATTCTTGGCCTAGAAATTATGAGTTGAAAAAACTGGATTAATTAGTAATAATACAAGGACAAATGGTTCTTTGTTTTCAATGGGAATTGATTTCTCATTTGTGCCTAGGACATGGTGGTGGGTGTAATAAATGTTAAATGCTGAATATTCATATAATGTTTTCATTTGTATTTTATCCTGGGCCTGGGTTCCTTTTCTCGTTCTTTAGATGAATGTTTTCTTTATCTTTTGAAGTGTCCTTTAAGCCACTAAAATCTAAAGTTAAGAAAAATAAATTGAGAAAATGTCGCTGATAATCCTAATTCCATCACTGCTCTTACCTTGTGTTGTCAGAGAAAGCCGAATACCAACATCTGTTAACAAGGACCAAAACTTGTTTTACTAAGAATTTTATGCAAGCACATTATTTTTTTCCACATCTCAAGATTTGAGCCATTAGGTGCTCTGTAATTCATTGTGATTTCACAACTCAAGGCAAATTTAAGTGCTCTAAAAAGACTCACTGTGGGGGGGCTGGGAAGGTGGCTCAGTGGTAGAGCGCTTGCCTTGCATGCATGAGGCCCTGGGTTCGATTCCTCAGCACCACATAAGCAAAAAGAAAAAAAAAGCTGGAAGTGGCACTGTGGCTCAAGTGGTAGAGTGCTAGCCTTGAGCTGAAGAGCTGAGGGACAGCACCCAGGCCCAGAGTTCAGGCCCCATGACCAGACCCCCCCCCTAAAAAAAAAAAAAAGACTCACCATGCACTGAAGACATGTCCCCTATGGTAGAACACTAGCCAAAATGAACTCAATTGGTAAAGCACCACTTTGAGATAAAGAGCTGTCAGTGCCCAGGCCCTGAGTTCAAGCCCCACTCCTGGCACAAAAGAAAAATGACCCTTTTGAAAACAGGTTTAATCATTTCTTACGAAGGTAGACATTCATTTACCATGTAAGCCAGCAATCTTTTGGTATGTCTAGATTTTTTTTTACATAGTTGAATGCTTAAGTTTACACAATAAAGTTTGGGTTTAATAATTTCCCCAAACTTAAAACTCTAATATATTCAAATTGGTGAATATATAAACAAAGGATACCTTCAGACAGTGAAACACTATTTTGCTATTAAAACAAGAATAAGGAAATAATGAGCATACTTGTATGAATCACAGTAACACATGCTGAGTGGAAAAACCTATCCACAGGAATATAGTTTATAATATAGATCGCATCTGTATTCTGGAATAAGCAGTATTTATAGAGAGATTGTTGGCTAGAGAGAAAAATGGAATACAAAAGGACATAAGAGTCTATTATGCTGGTTCTGGGGCTTGAACTCAGGACCTGGGTGCTGTCCCTGAGAATTTTTGCTCAAGGCACTTCAACCACAGCTCTACTTCTAGCTTTTTCTGTTTGTTTAATTTCAGATTGAGTCTCACTGACTTGCCTGCCCATGCTAGCTTTGACCTGCAAGCATCAAATCTGTCTTCTTGAGAAGCTTGGATTACAAGTGTGAGCCACAAGTGTTCAGTGAGCTTTTATTTATTATCACATATCTTGCTTGTGTTGATTTTCACCAAATTTAGAAGTCTATACAGCAAAAAGTGGATTTCAAGCCAGAACTTGGTAGTTTGAGGCCATACAGGGCAGAAAAATTCTGAGACTCTAGCTTCATCAATCAAAACTGAACATAGAAGCACATACACACCTGTGATCCTAGCAAGTATGGAAAGCCATGATCTAGGAGGATTGGCATCTGCTAGGCTTGAAGCAAGGCCCTAGCTCAAAAGTAACCATCTAAAAAGTGGCTTCAGGCATGGCTAAAGTACTAGAGAAATAACTGAATGCAAGACACTGAGTTTAAACCCATTAGTCATTAGTCAGAAATGAGACAATACAGAGTAGATCAAAGACTTAGGCTGAAAAAACAAGTATTTAAGTAATAGAATATACTAAGAGAATACCCTGGTCATTTTTTTTCTTTTTTTTTTTGGGGGGGGGTCCAGTTTGGGGCCTGAACTCTGGGCCTGGGCGCTGTCCCTCAGCTCTTCAGCTCAAGGCTAGCGCTCTACCACCTGAGCCACAGCGCCACTTCCAGCTTTTTTTCTTTTTGCTTATGTAGTGCTGAGGAATAGAACCCAGGGCCTCATGCATGCAAGGCAAGTGCTCTACAACTGAGCCACCTTCCCAGCCCCCTGGTCATTTTTAAATAGTGTTTAAAAGCCAGAAGATTCATATGTAGAAGGTAAATGAATAAATGTTTCAGACTCAATAAGAATTCTCACGTGCATAATCTGACCAGAAGTGAACTTTGCTGCTTCAGAAATCAATAGGCCTCTTAACATTAGAAAATTATAAACAAGACAAATGGTCATGTCTTAGTGGTGTTTCCTGTACTGAACAGATGAGTAGGCCCTATATGAGTAATATACTGTATTTGATCATTTTCTGAAATTCTTTCAGATTCTGGGCTTTGTGGTTTTCTATTTTTGTTATGTGACTTCACAAGATTAATAATATGTTTTAAAAAATTAGACTTTTAAACGCATTGCTTTGATGAGACTTTTCAGATAAATCCCTAGTGCAAGTCACCAAACAAACTTGTTTCTCCTCATAATATGTAGGAACAGAAACTACTTTAAAACTGAAGTCTAAACAAGCTGGAGATAGCTTATCTCTCCTCTTACAGCTTGCCCAATGACCTTGTGCAGTAGGGATTGTTGAAAAGAATAATGAGAAACTTTCACTCAGTCAGCCTTGTTCCGGCCCAAAACTGAAATGCAAACAAACAATGTCATGGATCTATCAACTGTGCAGCTGCCTAACAACCTGTGTTCAGCTTAATGGTTTGCTATAATTTTTTGAAATTATTAATTTATAACCAAAAGACTCACAAATTTTGTAGCTGATCCTAACTAACTCTTTATCGTTCCTTCCTTGCTTTATTTTATCTTTATAGTAGAATAAAATTGGGGCTGGGAAGTTGGCTCAGTGGTAGAGCGCTCACCTTGCATGCTTAAGTCCCTGGGTTCAATTCCTCAGTACCACATAAGCAGAAAAAAAAAAGCCGGAAGTGGTGCTGTGGCTCAAGTGGTAGAGTGCTAGCCTTGATCTGAAGAGCTGAGGGACAGCACCCAGGCCAAGAGTTCAGGCCCCACGACCAGACCCCCAAAAAAAAAAATTCTCTCACAGGTCAACTAAAACCTAAGAACTAATTCAATAGTCTCTCCTTAATCCTCACCCATTTTATTCTGTCTGAAGCATCACATACTGTTGACAAACATCCTTTATATTTCCTGTTCAGTTTCCATGACTATATGAATTTGGTTTTTTCTTATCTCTGAACTTGTTTGATAATGCCAAGAAAATGCTAGAATGAAGTTAATAGTCACAATACATGCCTCACACTGTATATTCACAAGAATATCGTGGCACTCCCTTACTTTCCCTGACTCAATGACAAAATGATTTCTAAATGGATAATTTAAAAGCTTCATTACAGTTCCCATGTGGTTGGTGTTACAAAACCTATCTCGGAGGTGAGGGGGATTGTTTTGTTTCTCTAAGCATACCTGTCAAAGGAAGAACTTACCAAAATTTTCATCAGTTGTATATATAAATGGTCTTAAATTTCCTCCAGTCTCCTTCACAAAATAATCGATGACACTGAACAGGTTTGGGAGTGTTACCTGCACACAAAATGAAAGGCTGAGTGTCATCTGGGTAAAGATAGAAGAAGATCATACCAGTAACTCCAGCTACTAGGCAAGTGGAGATAGAATGGTGGCTTACTGCCAGCCCAAGCCAAAAATAAAAACAAAAAGTATGGTAGTACCTGCCTATTATCTCAGTTACTTTGAAGGTAGAAATGGGAGGAACACAGTCCAAGTCCACCCCAGGCAGAAATGTAAGACCCTATCTGAAAAACAAATTAAAAACAAAAGAACTGGGGCTATGACTCAAGTGGTAGAAGAATTGACTGGCAAGCATGAGGTCCTGAGTTCAAAAGAGTAGACATACCTCAACTGGTTTAATCAAATGCAGATTATTGTGTGTTTCCTGACGTCAAGAAAAGAGTCATGTAGTTGGCTTATGAATGACTATACTTTTATGTATCCATGTGTCTGATTTCTTCTAACAGAGACCTTGTCATTTCTCTGTTATGGAATTATTCCTTTTCCACCTGGTTTGATCTAGTGGACAGAATTTAGGTACCTTACTTATCCCCCCCCACCCAAGGTAAATAGTAAGAATGATTCAAGTCAAGCTAGAAAGTGCTCCCTCCCTGAAGTCTGAATACAGAATATAGAAGCAAAAAAGGATAGCAGCTTCATGATTAAATGATTGTTGGTATTGTAATTGCTTCCTAGTCCCTGGAGATTTGCTATCATTTCCAGAATGTTTATTATATGAACATTCAGCATTCTTAGACGCAATTCATTTTAGCTTAAGTTAGGCATAGTTGAGTTCCTCTGCCAAAAGCCAAAGAACCCTGAAGGCAAGACAATGTATGCATTTTAATATTTCAAACAAGGTAATTTACAAGTCTAAGAGTAATTGAAAAGTCTTTCCCACCAATATTTTTATAAAAGTGAAATTTAGTTAAACCTAAAGATAAGTCACTTTAATGACTTTTTCCTTTTCAACTATGTAAAAGAAAAATGTCATTAAAATGCGATCTAGTAGAGAGCTTGTGGTAGTAAAAAGTGAAGGGTTAATTTTCTTTTCATGGTTTACTGTACAGAAATGAGCCCAGTTCACCAGTTATAAAAGGGGTACCAATTATATCATTCCTCTTTGATGTTACTTCTAGACACTTGATTATTTGAATGATCCTTTAGCATCTTGTTCTCTGCCTCCTTCATTTGAACCTTGTTCTAAGGGGGATGGAGAAAAGACCTGAGAAGCTTTGAAAGGCATTCCTGACAAAGCCAGAAGTGAGGTGAAGAATCAGCCACTTTCCAGGGTTAAAGTTGAAATATAAGAAATTCAGCCATACTATATCATTTTTCCTATTTGATTGCCACAATGGGCCTAGAGAGATAGAGGAACTAGGTGCCCAGTTTTAAAGAAATATAGATACCTTCAACACCCACTAGTTCTATGTAAGTTCCATTCAGGAACATCTTTCTTGGTTCAATTTTATCACTGCACCTGATATCACAAGCTATATTTGTTGTTGTTGTTCTGATACTGGAGCTTGAACTCAAAGCCTTGTTTTGCTCAAGGACACTGCTTTACCACTTGAATCAGGCCTCTACTTCCAGTTTTTGCCAGAAACAGAAGGTTCATCAACAAAGAAATAGTTACTTACAGGTTTTTCCAGTTCAATAGTATAGTTTTTTCCTATGCTCATCACTTTGTAGTGCTTGATTCTTGGCATACTAAAATGAAACCAGAATATAAGTTAAAGGGAGCAGAAATTGGATCTAAATTGTAAGACTGTGTGCTTATGACTATAGTTTGACTAAATAAAATACTTCGTGGCTGTTCGGAGGGAGTGGTCTCTTTAGAAGGAATGGCGGTTACCCACTAGGGCTATAGGAAATCTAGATCACTGAGTAGATGAATGAAAAAAATATAAAAAGAGAAAAAATAAAGACCTAAAGATCTTTCAGGAAGAAATAATTTTCATAAAATTTCACATAGAGATATGCAAATCAAATTATATATTATATAATATGTAATATATAGCATATAGCTATATATAATATATAACATATTGCATATAGTTATATATATTACATATTATATACTATATAACATAGTACATAATATATAGTATATATCATATACTTATAGCATATATATTTATAGCATATAAATATAGAAAGTGAAAAAAATCATTTTAAAGAAAAATGTTTTCGGGGGGCTGGGAAGGTGGCTCAGTGGTAGAGCACTTGCCTTGCATGCCTGAGGCCCTGGGTTCAATTCTCCAGCACCACATAAGCAAAAAGAAAAAAAGCCGGAAGTGGCTCAAGTGGTAGAGTGCTAGCCTTGAGCTGAAGAGCTGAGGGACAGTGCCCAGGCCCAGAGTTCAGGCCCCATGACCAGACCCCCCCCCCTTAAAAAAAAGAAAAGAAAAATGTTTTCAGGCCTGGGAAGGTGGCTCAGTGATAGAGTGTTTACCTTGCATGCATGAGGCCCTGGTTTCGATACCTCAGCACCACATAAGCAGAAAAATCTGGAAGTGGTGCTGTGGCTCAAGTGGTAGTGTGCTAGCCTTGAGCTGAAGAGCTGAGGGACAGCGCCCAGGCCCAGAGTTCAGGCCCCATGACCCTCCCCCCAAAAAAGAAAAATGTTTTCTACTCTGTAACTCATCCAACCAGACATCATTCCATGTCTGTTGTTACTAATGTCTTAGGTACCACCCTTCATCTCTGCTAAATCTCTACACTCAGTGATAAGAAAAATGTTAGGCACTATATAACATACAGGTGGGAGAATAAATGTGGTAGATGAATATTAACATCTTCCTCTCCTACAGTTCCATAGCTCTTCATTTTATCACCCTAAACACATGGCATCTTACTCATTTTTAACCTGCTTAAGAAAAAAGGAGTATATTCTATTCATATTTACATCCCAGCATTAAGCACACAATTTATGAAATTATGGACAGCTCATCTTGTAGTAGTATTGACTAGAACTAAAGAAATTTATACTGAAATCAGTTCCATGCCATTCAGCTTTGAAAAACAGTACATTTGTCTTAAATTACCTTGATTTAGATGGCAAGAAAGTTTAGCATGAAAACTTTTTCTAATGTGGAAAACTTAACAGGCTTTATTTTGACACCATTTGTTTGAATGATAAATTCACTCTTGTCTTATGTTTCAGAAACTATCAAAAGCAAAATTATCCATTGGGTTAAGGTGATGGACAGGGCCTTTTCATTTCTTCTCCTATTTCTTAAAGAAAGTTTTTTCCATTTTCACTTCATGTTACACTAGAGCTGAATTATATGGAACACTTCTATCTAATAAGTTCTCTCCTCATCCACCAACATCCTCTCAACTGCATATCTTGTTGAGGAATAATTGGAGGTGATTCTAATAGTCTCCATCCAAAACATGAGTTTAAACCCTTCCTAAAATAAATTGTTCCTTAAAGCCAAAACTTCAAGAATCAGTTAGAAACTGGTGAAATAAACATCTTTGGACAGAAAGGGTTTTACATATACCCTATCATGGCCAATGGATCTGGCTTTATCTTTTCCCTTACTATGAAAAGATCATTGCAATCAGACCATTACCATTCATAAACTGTCCAATTTCCATATCCTCTAAAACAATTCCTGTATCCTCTAAATCCAAAAGTTCTGGTTTGTTTCCCCATGGGGGGTGGTGGTGGTGGTGGTGGTGAATTCAGGGCCTCATACATGCTAGGTAAGACGTTATCCCTTGAGCCAAGGTTCCAGCCCTATTTGCTTTAGGTTGTTTTTCAGATAGGTTTTTTTCATATTTTATTTAATTGTAAAGATGCTGTATAGAGGAGTTACAGTTACATGAGTAAGGTAATGAGTACACTTTCTGTCTTGCCTGGCCTCTGACTATTCGCCTACCTGTGCTGACATTCTGACAGGAAGGCACCACAATCAGTTTGTTGAAATGGGATCTTGCTAACCTTCTGTCTGGGCTGGCCTCTCAATCTCTGCCTCCCAAGTAGCAAGGATTACAGACTCAAATTTCTGGTTCTATTTTGTGTGTTCTCTGAGCCTCCATTTTTAAATCTATGAAATGGCGATGTGATGGCATACCTCACATGATTGCAAAAAAAACCTTCAACACAGCCTCTGACACACATAACACTCACTGAATTCCAAAGACCTTTTACTACATTTTAAATGTGTAGTGTGAATTTGGTTGATCTTATGAGTCTCAGCCACTTCATTTGTAAAACATCAAAAATACTGCCAATCTAGCTTTTTAAATTGTACTTGATAGAAATGTTTGTTAACACCCAAGACAGGGCCCACACATGGTTTTATATAAGGTAGGGGGGACACTTCATCTTCATCATCGTCATCATCATCACCATCATCCTTTATGGGAAGCTGTTGGAGGAAAAGTGATAAAGTCTCTTGCAAGTTTTCCATGAATGGATTTAAATTCTGAAGCAAAAACAGTGGCAGAAAAAAAATTCCATTAAAAATCACTTTGGCTTTGATTCTCATTTTGAACTTTATTCTTTCATACTTTGGTTTTCCAAAGGAATAAACAGAGATTCAGCATCAAGATAGGGAAAATTTGCTACTTTGAAGTTTTCTGCTGATGTTCTCAAAAATGAATTCAAGCTGGGTGCTGGTGGCTCACACCTGTAATCCTAGCTACTCAGGAGGCTGAGATCTAAGGATCGGGGCTCAAAGCCAGCCGGGACAAGAAAAGTCCATGAGACTCTTATCTTCAATTAACCACCAGAAAATCGGAAGTGATGCTGTGGCTCAAGTAGTAGAGCACTCGTACTGAGCTGAAAGAGCTCAGAGTCAGTGCCCAGGCCCAGAGTTCAAGCCCCATGACCAACAACACAACAAAAAAATGTAGTCAATGTTGTGTGGCCTTAACTGTGGTTATCAGTACTTATTCTTTTGTCCTTCATTTTTGCAGAAGAATCTACTTTGGGTAAATAACAATCTACTTCTTCCTTAGCCAATGGCTTTCCAAAAATGTCTGTAATGCTATTATGGCATTTAATCATAAAAATACCAACACAATGTGATTTTGTTATAAGAACATTTTTATGTGCCAGGGGATATAAAGATAGATAACATTCTTTGACCAAGACAGGAGTCTCTTGATAATTTGGCATTGGTTAAGTTTTGTTTATCCCTGAGAATAATCTCTCTCCCACAGTTGATCTGTTAGCACACGCAAAGTTTTACTTTCAAGTACTGCTTTGTAAACCAACTTGACCTCTTCAGCTATTGTTTTACCAGACACACTCATCTAACTTGCATGGTTGAACATTTCTCCTATAAGCAATGATGAAAGAGGATGAATTGGTTTTGTGGGAAACACAGGTGCTTTCTAGTAGTTTAGATTTCTATCAAGCTCTTAACATTAAACATTATATCTTAACCGTCTCTTACAGTGCTATCCTTAAAAATTAAGTGATCCAGTCCATAGAAGATATAAAATATAGACATTCAAAAAAGGCCTCTTGGGCTGGGAAAGTGGCTCAGTGGTAGAGCACTTGCCTTGCATGCTCGAGGCCCTGGGTTCGATCCCTCAGCACCACATAAGAAAAAAGCCGGAAGTGGCACTGTGGCTCAAGTGGTAGAGTGCTAGCCTTGAGCTGAAGAGATGAGGGAAGCGCCCAGGCCCAGAGTTCAGGCCCCATGCACGACCGGACCCCAAAAAAACAAAAACAAAAAAAGGCCTCTTGGTGCATCAAGAGAAAACAGATTATTATCCTCACCATTGTGGCTATATTTGGCTTACTAGAAAAAATTGAGTTAAGTAATAAGTTAGAATTTCTAAGCTACTTCCACATATAAACTCTTCACCAAAACCTAAATTGTTAATACTGACCACAGTGTGAGAGGACTTTTATTTGGCCATTATCCTCATTTCTTTCTAAATATGAACTAAGGGGTTATTTTAATAAAATATTATATTATGTTAAGACCATCAGCAGACATTAATAGAGATGTGAGCTTACTAAAATTGGAATGATGGAAATTTGATATGAATTCCTTTGCCACATTTTTCCTATGAGCTTAAAATACAATATAAATGAAACTAAAAGTTGGATCTCAAATTAATCTCCGAATATGTAGCAGAAACCACTAGTGTTTCTCTTAAGCTTAATTGTATGCAAAATGAAATGTAATATTAAACAAATTAGGCTACCTTCTTAAAAGAGCAAGCTTTGCTGGATTTTGGCTGATGGCACATCTTTCTGCAGAGGTAAACTGCCTTGCAGAGAATAAAGAGAAAAAAGTATTGTGCAAAAATACATACAGAATTTTAAAGGCCATAACATGTAACATGTCCTAAACTCTTGAGAGTTGTTCATTTCACACAGAGTAGTAACACAGAATTCACATCCAAACAGACTGGACACAGACCAGGAAAGAAATGCATGGGAAGGGGAAGTAGACTTAGTCACTCTTATGTCTCACCTAATTTTGCTTTCACACAAATTCTGTTTTAAAAAATGTTCACTGAAGAGTATGTTGAAAATGAACTACACAACTTGTTGGTGGGGATGGGAAACGCTGGGAGAGAGCAAGGGAAGGGGTGACACTAACTAAAAAGAATTGTATGCTTTACCTGACTTATGTAACTATAACCCCTCTATAGGTCACCCTTATAATAACAATAAAAATTTTAAGTACTGGAAAAAAAAGTTGTACATGATGGTGCACACATGTACTCTCACCTCAGAAAGTAGAGATGAAAAGATCATGTTTTAAGAACAGCCTCTGTTTGAGCTCTCCATAGAGTCTATTATACTTTAATTAATTCATTTATAATCACTTGCATATCACCCAGTGTGTTTACTTATAGACTGATAGGCACATTCTAGCTACTACAGATGAGGAAAGCCATGCAACCTTTGTTTCTATGAGTCTAGTTTACTTAATGTAATTTTTCCAAAGTCTTTCCACTCCCTTACAAATAGTACAGTATCATTCTATCTAATGGATAAGTAAAGCTCCATTAAAATAAGTATCAGGAAATAGGTATTTGTAAGAGTGGGGGGAGGGCAAAGGGGAGAGATAGCCAGTGAAGAGTGATGGCCAATAATATATACAGTGAAGAATTCACTATATATATATATATATATATATATCATTAAATATATTATAAGTATATAAATTTTTTAATGGAAGGAGCAGACCAAAGGGGTGTGTGTGAAAAATATTGAAGGGGTGACACAGATAAAGATGCATTGTCTGCATAAACTGTATACAAACAAAAAAATCAATACATATCCTACAAAATTGGAAGTGAGGAAAGGGGTAGATTGAGAGTGTTAGGTGAGAAAGTTGAAAGGGATGGCAATGCAAGACATAGTATACTTGTAAACTGTTTTATTGAATGACAACTTCTTTGTACAACTAGCTAAAGATAATGAAAAATATTTTTAAGAAAGAAAGAAGGGCTGGGAAGGTGGTTCAGTGGTAGAGTGCTTGCCTTGCATTCATGAGGCCCTGGGTTTGATTCCTCAGCACCACATATACAGAAAAGCTGAAGGTGATGCTGTGGCTCAAGTGGTAGAGCACCAGCCTTGAGCTGAAGTGCTGAGGGACAGAGCCCAGTGCCCAGGCCCAGAGATCAGGCCCCATGACCAATGAAAGAAAGAGAGAAAGGAAAGAAGGAAGGAAGGAAGGAAGGAAGGAAGGAAGGAAAAACAATTTCTCCTGGAAAAATATAAGAGCCTATTTCAAAAGTACTATATCAAAAGACATGATGCATTCAGGAATTTGCCTAGCAAGCACAAGGCCCAGAGTTCAATCTTCGGTACTACCAAAAAGTAAAACTTAGAGAACTCAGTTTTAAGTCTTTTTTTATTTTTAAGGAGTGGACCTGGTTTTGAGCCTCAATAACAAGCATTCTACTACTTGAGTCATATTTCCAGATGGTTATTTTTTTTCGGGGGGGGGGGTCTGGTCTGAACTCTGGGCCTGGGCGCTGTCCCTCAGCTCTTCAGCTCAAGGCTAGCGCTCTACCACTTGAGCCACAGTGCCACTTCTGGCTTTTTTCTTTTTGCTTATGTGGTGCTGAGGAATCAAACCCAGGGCCTCATGCATGCAAGGCAAGCGCTATACCACTGAGCCACCTTCCCAGCCCTTTATTTTTTTATTTTTGCTGGTTATTTTTTGAGAAAGGGTGTTGCTTCTCATCCAGGCATAGACCTTGAGCCATGGTCATTTTAGTTGCCGTCTTTCTATCATTGCTAGTTTCTTGGGCAAAACCCACTATATCCACATTCCCTTCATAGAAATGGAATCTCTTTTGCTTTTCCCACAGGTATACCATTGTACATAATTTGTGCATTGAGAGTGGCTTTTACAACTTTTCTGCCCAGGCTAGTCTCAAACCACAATCCTTTTACTCTCAAGCCTTTCAACTCCCTAACAAGGAATACAAATCAGAAAAAGAAAAATGTACTCTTCTCTAAGAAGCTTTTAGCTCACTGATTAATGGCATTCATAACTTCTATTTTTTGGTGCTTGTTTCAAGATAGTAAAGTAAGTTATGAATCAATTAACTAAGAAAAAATGATATTCTACATTATGTCAATGGAGTTGAAAATTTTACCATGAATGTTTAGTATATTTAAGATGTTGTTACATGTACTAAAGACTAATGAAAACAGGAAAGGTAAGGAAGCTATAAGACCAGGTGACTTGAGTAGATGGATTTGGTGGGAGGGATGGAGGAGAATGGTGGAAGGTGTAGCATTGATTAAGATATATTGTACTCATCCAGCTGAAAGTTTTTGGTGCAGCTACTTCATGGTAATAAGAACAATAATAATTTTGTAAAAGGAAGCCACAAGAAGATTGACAGATATTCATTGCAGAAAAATACACCCAGAGAGACACACATGCATACAGAACCACAATCTGATTTAACCATCTAACGTTCTTGTTACCCGACACAATGCACATAGCTACTATATAAAGACAAATGTCTGTTTATATGGTATAATTGCTAAATCAATGAAGTTTCTTGGACTGTAACTCTTTCTAGCTATAGTGGCTAGTACATTGAGCCACAAGTTTAATTTTTTTCTAAAACAATTATTTTCTTACTGCTTTTTATCGACTCTCAAAATTTTCATATTTAGTCTATTTAGAGTGATAAATATTTATGGAGTAGATTGATTTATGGTAGATATGTTATAATAAATAAGTTGCATGCTGTCCCCACAAAGAATAGCAACTCAAGAGTTGAAGTGCTGGGCTGGGAACGTGGCCTAGTGGTAGAGTGCTCTCCTAGCATGCATAAGGCCCTGAGTTCAATTCCTCAGCACCACATACACAGAAAAAGCCAGAAGTGGCACTGTGGCTCAAGTGGTAGAGTGCTAGCCTTGAGTAGAAGCTCAAGGACAGCGCCCAGGCCCTGAGTTTAAGCCCCAGGACCAGCAAAAAAAAAAAAAAAAAGAGTTAAAGTGCTTTTTATGCTTCTATATGAGGTGTTTGAGGTGTTTATTCAATATTTAATATATAAGTACAAAAGCCTCTATATTTCAATTAAATAATCAGTTATGCAAGTGGTCACTGAATCAGAATCCCTACTAAAACACAAGGGTTCATGGACTTTGAAAACTGGAGTACTTCTAACTTTTGCACTGACTTTATTAAAGTTAACTCATTTTATCTGCAAGAGACTTATAAGTAGTCCTTTTAATACATAAATCAGATTATATCAACACTCCAGGGGGCTCTCATGTAACTCAGAGCCCAACTCTCTTGCCTGTAGTGTCTGGAAGGGCTTTGAGTGCTCTGTTCCTATGTGTATCTAGAATCATCTCCTACAAGTTTGCACCTGCACTCTGCCTCAAACCCAATGGCCTCTTTCTGTTTCTTGTTCTAGTTCTGGGCATAGGCACTTGCTGTTTGAAAAGTTCTTGTCCCAGATGCTGGCATGGTTTGTTCCCTCACTCTCTTCGGGTCTTTCTTTAGACACTAATCAGCCAGGCATATTGGTACACGCTTATAATCCCAGCATTTGGGAAACTGAGCCACCTGGGTTACATAGTAAGACAAGTGACTCAAAAAGTAGGTCTTCCAATAATAGCAAGCACCTCTTCTTACCCAGCTCTATTTTATGAGATAAAATCACCATATATTTGATTTTTATTATATATCTACCTGTTCTCTGTGTCAGTTTTACTCCTCAATACCCACTCTATTGGGTTTGTCTGATTACTCTCTCTTTTTTTGATTATTATCTTTACAAAGGAGTTGTCATTTAACAAAGCAGTTTATTAATAATATATCATAATCAATCTCACCCTTTCAACATTCTCACCTATCCCTTCCTATCTACCCTTTTCCTCACTCTTCTTAATTTTGTAGGATATACATTGGATTCCTAACTCTTCTCTTTATCCATCCACCCCTTTCCCCTTGACTCCACCCCACCCCTTCTGTTTACCTACTTCCTGGTGTTTTATTTAGCTGAACTTGGACTTTTGCCTTTCTAAGGATTTACACTATTTGAGTTCTGTATCCCCAGTTCCTAGAGAAATACTTGTCATAAAATAACTGCTCAGTAAGTATTTGTTGAATTCAATGGCTAAACCAAACAACTATATCCAGAACCAGAGTAATTTTGTCTTACTGCAAACACACCCTTGATGATATAGATATATGCATATGTATATATGTATGTATACATATACATCTATATAATATACATTCACATATAGGTTTATATGCTTATATGGGATTCCCTTTCTATTATTATGTTTATAATTTAGCCCCCAATAAAACACATACAGATCTGAGTGTCTGTGCCTTGGATTTTTGAGGTGATGTAACGATTTTAACAATTCTATACATGTTTTAATTAAACATACTCTATCTCCTGCCGGACAGTGATGGAGTAGTTTCTACTGTCACTACCAGGTCTCAGGATCATATTGCCCAAAGAAGGATTCTTCTCCAGCATCTCAGTTGCCTCTTTCCGGGAAACTTCATAAAAACATCTACAGAGGTAAGATTAAAAAATATTTTTAACTAATAAAGATAATTTATTGAAAATACTGCAAAGAAAATACCATTAACAAGCCAGGTGTGTAAGAGGGGGCCAAGGTTAGAGCTATATATAGCTATATATAGCTTCAGCTATATAGTGAAATCTTGTCTCAAAAAGCAAAACAACTTTGAGAGGTATAATTGTTTTGTTAACACTTCAAGCGTTATGGTAACCATTATATAATTGTTAGTATCTGTTATTAAGAGCTTGTGACATTGTAACTATGCTAATGTCAAGGAAATCCTCCCCATCCTTATTCTTCCAAAGACCCTATTCTATTTTTTACCTGTTTGTTTGTTTTGAGACTGGGTTTCCCTTTGTAGCCCAGGCTATGAAGCCTCATGTCTCAGCCTCACTCCCAAGTCCTAAGATTTCAGCAGCAATCTGGTAAGTTTTGTTCCATTGATTCATCAGTTGTGTTTGTTTAACTAAATCAACGACTGTCAGGTTTCTGGGATTGTACTACAGAGACTGTGAATCAGAAGCTAATGTCAAAGATGGCACCAGAGTAAATTTCATGGATAAGAACACAAGATTCTAGGGGGAAAGGACCCATAATCTTTTCAACAAGGTAGCCGTTAGTGTACAATGTTGCTGAATTCACCATGTTCTCTCTTATATGCTTTATATCACATATTTTTAAAGAATAACTTCAATGACTGCCCACTGATTGACCAAATGAATAGAACATTCTAAGTGTTTAAAATTCTTTGGTAAAAAGTATAAAAGGAAAATCAGTCAAATATATAGCTTTATTAAAAAAATCTTTTCCTTCCTTCTTCATACAAACTTATTTAGGTCTAAGCCCCAGAAAGAATACATATTTGGTCTAAAGCAGTGGGTAGAAGAGGATTTCCTGTGTGGTAAGAGAGTTGGTTCTAATGTGCATTATGTTAATCATGACAGAAGAGGAAATGTGGCAGCTACTCAGAGATAAACTGTTTCTCCTAAGACTTTTTAGTGTCCTTGATTTATAAGGTCAAGTGCTAGTGCTACTATGATACTCAACTCCAAATTAAATCTTCACAATTGAATGAGGATCCTGGCATTCATTGCACACTTACGCTGGCCTAGGGTTCAGGACATCCACATAGTCTTCAATCAGTTCCTTCTCTTTTTCCACAGACGTGATCGGCACTTGCTCTGTCCCAATTCTCCTTTTCTTTTCTTTCTCTAGAACTTCATGCAGTCTAATTACTTGCCCAGGCAGAAGTGATACATGTTGGGGAACTGATAGCTGAAACCAGGTAAGACAGTAGGCAGACAAAAAAGATAACTAAACAATGTACTGATTTTAGTCACAATGAGCCAATTAGTTGCCCTATCGAGCTTTAGTTACCGAACACGGATGGGTAGAGAAGAGTCATCAAGAGATGATCTCTGTCTCTAGTAGATGTCCTAGAACCACCTCTGAACCAAGTCTGTAAAGGCTGCCTACGTTTCTCCCAACGTCTCCCTTTTGATATATTCCCAAAGCAAAGTACACCTACCTTCTGTCTCCAGGTAACTAGAAGAATGGCAAACCTCTCACGTTTTATCCTGAGCTCAATTGTTCATCATTCCCTGTGAGGTGTCTCATTCACAAGGAAACTGGGAATATTTTCCACTTTATTATAGCAAAATGAGCTAATTAACATGGATTTTCAGTGGCAGAGGTTAGTAATTAGAGGTTTATATTTTGGTATGTTTGTAACTTTCATTTACATGTTACAATCATGATACTTCCTACATATTAGTCACATTTATTGTTACTGTTATTAGTTCTCTAGAAACATATTTTGGATTGAATTGCCTGCCTGTGCCCTCTTGAATATTCCCAACTTTGTCCCTCAGTTTGACTAGCTATGTTCTCTTGGCAGGTGTAGTTTGAATGCTAGAATATTTTTCTAGACATGACACTAGCTAGTCTATATTCAGAGGGAGCCATATCTGTTGATAGTCTTTATCACTAACGGTAAATGCAAGAAGTGTGGGAAGAAAACAATAGAATTTTGCTGTTTAGTTACTATTTCATTATTCATAATAGTGTTTGCTTTATGTATATCTTATTTATGTATATTTTTTGTTTTATATATGTTTTATTTTATATGTATATATTTCATATATTTTATATACATTTGAAAAATTACTAATACAGGTATATCAATATACACTAAACAAGAAGAAATAAAATGATGGTGGAAAAACTAGTAAGACAGTTAATCTTTTATTTATTGTACTTTGTTCTTTCAACAACTTCTCATTAATTGCCTATTATTATTTTTAGCATTTATATGTGTTATTGAAAATAGGTATAGCAATGGTCTAAAAGAGGTATTTTGTCTCCATTTTGCAAATGAAAACAATCTGAATAAAACCAGAAAATATACTCAAAAAGACAAAGAAGTTGTGCATAGTTGCATAGGTAGTTGAGAAAACAACTCAGATTATTTGATTTGTAAACAAAGAGTCAGCTCTTTAAACAGTAGTCTGTGCTTTTTACACTCAACTAAAGTTACAGCAACACTATAGGGTGATTTGGAAACATAGCACAACACACTTGTACTGCTCAAAATTTGAGATGACTTGTCCTATCTGGAAAATTCACATGAATTTAATTTCATATTCAGTATAAATCTGTGGGGGGTTTTGTTTTTGTTTTTCTTTTCTTCTTTTGGAAGCAGTCCTGCCCTGGGCAGGACTGAAAGGCTAGTGCTATACCACTTGAGCTACACGTCCACTTCTGGCTTTTTGCTGGTTAATTGGAGATAAGAGTCTCACAGACGTCCCTGCCTGAGCTGGCTTCAAAACAGGATCCTCAGATCTCAGCCTCCGGAGTAACTAGGATTATAGGTATAAGCCACCTTGTGAATCTGTATGTTTTAAGAACAACAACAACAACAACAAAAAAGAAGTCTTATTTTCCTTAACCTCAAGGAAAAGATTAAAAACAAAATGTTTGGGCAAAACTTCATGTACACTTAGCATATTAGGAAGAGGCATCATGTTTTCTTCCAATGGATTTAATGTTCTTGAAGTTTAGTGTCATAACATTGTAATACTTGGACCCAGTAGAGAAACAAAGTAGCACATAGGATATTTTTCCACAAAAAAAGAGAAAGTACAATTTCTCTAACAGAAAGATTCTTCCCCTGTCCCTCACCACTCCATACTTTCAAGAGGGCTGTTTCTAAACCTCCTACAACTTCCCTACATGGATGTTGAACTGGTAATCTTTACCTGTTATTGGTTGACATAAAGAACCAACATCCAATAACTTGGTTAAAGTCTGGGGTGTATTTCATGTAACTGTGAAGGCTTTATTTAGGAGTTAGCTTTGGATAGAGTCTGTTTGACCATAGCAAAACTGGAAAAGTTTTACATCCTTTAAAAATATGAGAGAACACGATGCTTTGGGGGTGTGTTGGTTGTCAACATAGCTCATGTTTTCAAGTTGTTCCAGTAGCTTTGTTATAATTAATTAATGGCAGTTATCTGCTGCAGCAATTAACTCACAAGTAATAGATCTTGCTATTTTCCTCTGGTAAGATGCCACTAGTCAAAGAGATAAATATCTTCTTCTTTTTTTTTTTTTGTCAGTCGTGGGGCCTGAACTTGGCCTGGGCGCTGTCCTCAACTCTTCAGCTCAATGCTAGTGCTCTACCAGTTGAGCCACAGTGCCACTTCCAGCTTTTCTGTTTATGTGGTGCTGAGGAATTGAACCCAGGGCCTCATGCATGCAAGACAAGCACTCTACCACTGAGCTACCTTCCCAGCCTGCATATCTCTTTTTTAAATCTCACTATACAAATGTTGAAAGGTGAGTTTTCATTTTGATAGTCTCTCCCTTAGATAGTCTGTGTTCTTCATAAAACCCATCTTAAGTTCATTTTGTGAGTATAAATGAATTAAAAAGGATTGGATATTATTTTTTAAGATGGCTTATTAGTTGCAGATACCAGAATATACAAAGACAGCTGGGTCAAAAAGACATGATGGTAAAAATCAATATTCCTGACCACCTGTTTTAGTTTTTGTTTTAATATTGTATATCACTAGTTTATTTTCTGTATCACTATTTGAAATAACCTTGTTCATTTACTTACTTTTTCTCTTTCCACTCACATAATTAAAATGCAAGGGTTTAAGGCTGTCTTTTCTCAATGGCTGTATCTTCAGCCAATTTGAGCAAATGTTTGTTGAATGAATCAATAACTCAAATGTAATGATCTGCAGGGCCTGGTGGTACACACTTCAAATTGCAACCCTCAGAAGGAATCTCAAGTTCAAGGCTAGGTCAGATACCTACTAAGACTCTGTCTTCAAGTTTCTTTTGATATAATCAGAAAAAAATTCAACTGTAATTACCCTCCTACCTCTGTCACTGTAAGAATGAAGCCTCTCCATTCTTCTCCACTTTCTGTGTTCTCTGTCTAAAGAGGAATCAAAACCAGATAAAGACAAAGAAGAAAACACATAAGACTATTATTTTTATTAACTCCAAATTACTTTAGAATTTCATATGGTATTTTATACCAAGACATACGAAGTATCTAAACGTAGCAAGACTGACAAAATATTCTTTTGTTGAAGCATCTTGCATTTAGAAAAAGTCATATTTAACTTTTCAACTACTTAAAATTATCTGTGATTGATTTTCCTTTTTGCCTAGGACTGTTAACATGCATTTGTTATGAAACAATTTAATAATTTTTTCTTTTATGGTGTAACTTCCAAATTTTTTTTCTTTTTTGTTGGTCATGGGGCTTGAACTCTGGGCCTGGTTGCTGTTCTTGAGCTATTCAGCTCAAGGTGAGCACTCTACCACTTGAGCCACAGCACCATTTCCAGTTTTCTGGTGGTTAATTGGAGATCAGAGTCTCACGGACTTTCCTGCCTGGGCTGGCTTTAAACCGAGATCCTCAGATCTCAGCCTCCTGAGTAGCTAGGATTACAGGCATGAGCCACCAGCACCCAGCTTAACTTCCAAATCTTTTCTCAAATACTATTACTAATCCTATTACTCCTACTACTCCTAATAATTTTGTCAGCCAACCTCTTTTGAGAGCTTATAATAACAGCTACTATACAAAGAACTCCAAGGGAGATATTCATGCTAAAATTTCGTATCGACAAACAAAAATTATCAGTCCTTCCTGAGACCTCCAGAGACAACAGCCAAATTTCTAATGTAGGCCAATTTCAGTTGGTATAACCTATCTTTACACACAAAAAAGAGCCTGATATAATCTGATGTTATTTTTCTATTGTCTTACTATCCTTTCATTACTAGGAGAAAAAGAAAGTGACACATTCAGTTTTTATTATTTGTATTTTATTTTTAGCATTTCTCTCTGCGAAATTGACCAGAATTTTCTGTTTAGCCCATTGAAACAACTACTCTTTTTTCTAAAATAGAAAATGAAGCCAATTAAGATTTTTAAATGAACTTGTTATAATTTTGTCCTTAAAACTACCTTTTATTATTATAAAGTTGTTCATTTAAAATGATCATACTAAGTATGTTTCTAGTTATTGACAAGACAAAAATTCATGCTGTCATGGTTTTTAGCATCTAGCAAGTAAGAATGAATACAAAACTTAATAGTGAATGCACCTGATAATGCCAGAAGGAAATAAATTGGAAAATAAAATACAGAGCAGGGCAAGCCCGATTGGTAGTGTGATTAGAGGGCAGAAAAGAGGAATAAGTTTGCAATTCTAATAAGGTGGTCTGGGTAGGCCCCAGTGAAGGGATTAAAACTATTCAAAAACATTTTTTTTTCCTGAGTGAAAAAACAAAGATTAAGCAACTTGCCTACAATCCCACAGCTAACTCATGCATTAGCTACATTTTAACCTGTGTTCTTCACCAGTGTATCTAGGAATCAACTGAGGAACTTGCTTAAAATTTACAATCTGAACCTGGTGCCAGTTGCTCAGGCCTGTAATCCTAGCTACTCAAGAGGCTGAGAGCTGAGGATCATAGTTCAAAGCCAGCCCGGGCAGGAAAGTTTGTGAGACTCTTATCTCCAATTAACCACCAGAAAACGGGAAGTGGCTCTGTGGCTCAAGTGGTAGAGTGCTTGCCTTGAGCTGAAGAGCTCAGGGAGAGTGCCCAGGCCCAGAGTTCAAGCCCCCCGACTAACCCTACCTTCCCCCCTGCCCCCGAAAAAATATGTTTTGAGCCTGGCACTGGTGGCTCATGCCTGTAATCCTAGCTACTCAGGTGGCTGAGATCCAGCACATGGAGGTTTGAAGTCAGGCAGGCAGAAATGTCCTTCAGATAGATCCTAGCTTCAAGATAGCCAGCAAAAATCAGGGCTGTAAGCAGGGTTCAAATAGTAGAATGCCAGCCAAGTAAACAAGCTGAACAAGCACAAAGACCTGAATTGAACACTAAGAAAAAAAAGTAGAGTAATCTTCTGGTAATGTTTCCAATATCATCTTTATCAATTTCACATTGTTCTCTTTTTGTTATTACTGTAGTTTCTGGGTTGAATTTAACTAAGTCACTTTGTGTACTGATTAAGGAACAACTTTTCAAAAACACCAGGTGGAATCCCTGCTTTTGTCAGAGAATGGAAATATAAGGTTTCATGGTGCTTGTATACTAAATAAATGAGCATGCTTTTCTAAAATCCAAATCCGAAAATGAAGTCTTGGCAAGAAACAATAAATATTAACAAAATACAAGATTTTGACCTTCCTGTATTTCATCTTTATTTCAACTACGGAGTTTTAAGAGGTGCATGCCAATTACAACCACAACTGCCCACAGAACATTATTGTCTTCACTCACCTTCAATTGAACTTCCTCTTTTGGCAAAACAAGGGTGAATTTTGCACAATTCTTTTCAGTTGAAATCTGATCAGTAAGGCATACGAGGTCTAGTATGTCTAATTTGTCGATGTACTGCAAAGGTAAAGGAAAATCTCATTGAGTTATTTCATGGTTAATATACCTTTGTTCTAACAGAATGGAAAAGAACATTTTCAATGAATTTTTACTTTGCATGACACCCTGCTTCCCGACTTATACAGACTTATTAAGTTTCCATGAATTCTGCAAGCTAATTGTTGCAAAGAATCATTATTAAAAATTAAATCATGGAGGTGGACGTGTGATTCAAGTGGTAGAGTGACAACTTTGAGAATGAGAGCTGAGGGACAGCACCCAGGCTGTTCAGGCCCCACAACAGACAAAAAAAATATTCTATTTTAAGGCAGGAGGTGTGGCAGCACTGGCCTAGCAAGCATGAAGCTGCAAATCCAAACTTCAATACTGACAAATACAAGACAAAATGCATCTTATTCAAGTTTCGCCTGTGTGTGTATCTATGTACATGAATACTTATATAGCACTCTATCACCTGCCCCCCTATCCATATTGCTTCTGTTCTTTTTCTAAGGTCTCCCATTTATGCCCTGCCTGCCTGGACCATGATTCTCCTACTTATTCTTCCCTTGTAGTAGGATGACAAGCATTCAGCACTACTGCTAGCTTTATGAGTTCAGGCAGAATCTCACTGACTTTTTCCCCTGGACTGACCTCAAACCAGAATTCTTCCTATCTCTAACTCTACAGTGGCTGGAATACCAGGCATGAGTCACCTCACCCTTCCTGAATAAAAATATTGGTTTGTAATAACTGATCTGTATACAACAGAGCAGACTTGCTCAGTAGTACTAGAAGGAACCACCTCTACTTACTGTTTTACAATTTGTTTGCTTGTTGTTGTTGTTTGCTAAATTAGCAAAGGAACGCAGTCCTTTCGTTTTCTCCTGATTATGCCTAATATAACTCATTTATTATATTCTTTCTGTTTTGGTCTGAGACCAGGACTCAAACTCTGTAGCTGACACTTTCGCTCACCGGCTAGTGCTTTACCAACTGAGCCATGCCTCCAATTCCCATTTATTGTACTCTTGTAAATTCTCCCAATTTTTTCTTTTTTTTTTTTCTGAAGAAGGTACAGGGCATAAAAATGGGCAAATAAAAAATTCTTTTTTTAGGGCTAGGAAGGTAGTTCAGTGGTAGAGCGCTTGCCTTGCATGTATGAGGCCCTGGGTTTGATTCCTCAGCACCACATAAGCAGAAAAAGCTGGAAATGGTGTTGTGGCTCAAGTGGTAGAGCACTAGCCTTGAGCTGAATTGCTGAAGGACAGCGCCCAGGCCCAGAGTTCAGGCCCCACAACCAAAAAAAAAAAAAATTTTTTTTTCTGAAGTCATTTCTACATTGATGTTTAATGTTTAACTTGCCTTTTTGTTTTCCATGAACTATTTATTATTTAAAACTGGAAGGAGAGGTACAAGAGAATGAAGAGAGAATTCAAAATTAAATACATATCTTTTCTGCCTAGATCAGGCTGGGTGAGTTTTGCTGCAACAAAGAGGAAGCAGAAGAGGAAGAGGTGGCTAAATTAGATAGAGGACTGTGGGAGATCCATAGATTAGAGGAAAGGGAAGCTACATCTTTGTTTCTAATTGCAAGGTTGTAAAGAACCCTAAAGGTTATCGGTCTTCTCTGGGCATCCTCTGTGTAGACTTCAGTTTATGCTTGCATATCTCCAAAAAGGTGGAATGCAGGCCTGCTCCTAAACAGCTGTGACGTGTGTGTGTGTGTGTGTGTGTGTGTGTTTGTGTGTGTGTGTGTGTGTGTTTATTTTCTTAAATTGAGCCACTGCTTTTTTTCCCCCAGGTTAATATCCATCCACTAGTCCTAGTTCCTGTTCTCTGGAAAAATACTAAACAAATTCAATTATTCTTTCATATGACTTCCTTATAGTCTTTCAAATATATAAAGATAACTTTAAATTCCTCCTTGCTATAGGCTAAATATCTCAGTTTTTACCTGTTCTGGTCCAGTGCTTTCCCTAAACTTTACTCCCCAAACTGCTTTAATTCCCTCTCCCCCCAAACTTCCCAATGATCTCTATCCTCTTTTATCAAAATTAGTAGATGAGCAATTCTGCAGTATTTCTTTGTAACAACCTCTTTATGGCATAGTGGCTAAGAAGGCTGGCCCATCAAGAGGCCCTGGATTAGACCCATTTTATTTGCTATTTGTGATCTTCATAATTTCTTAGTCCTTAACCTTCACAATTTATCTCTGTATAGTTAGAGATTAGAACAGTACCAATTCTGTAGCATTAGTGTGAATATGAGGGCTTACTCTATACAGTCTACTCTCTTGAGAACTTACAGACCCTACATGAAATGAGCTATGAATTTCATTCTAAATTTTGAAATTTGAAAGCAGAAAGTATTGGAGATTTCTTCAACATCTGTTTGTTTTGGCTACTCCTCTAGATTCACTTTTTATCCTTTTATCACGCAACACTATGCACCAAGAGAGGGACTATTCTGGACAACATCAAAGCCTCCTGATACCTTTTGTTTTCCTATTGGGTTGGACCACTGTAGAACTCTGGCAGGAGAACGGAGGAGTGAAGAAAGTGAAATTGGGTATAGTTGATCTCTCAATCAAAGATCACATTTCCCTTCTATATCATTTCTCCCACTATTTCCTCTCACTCCTACATCTGGCAAAAGGTCACTCTTAGTAACATTATTATACTATCCTTGTGATCGAACACTATCCTTTCTTTTTTTTTTTTTGTCGGTCGTGGGGCTTGAACTCTGGGCTTGGGCGCTGTCCCTCAGCTCTTCAGCTCAAGACGAGCGCTCTACCACTTGAGCTACAGCGCCACTTCCGGTTTTCTGGTGGTTTATTGGAGATAGGAGTCTCACGGTCTCTCCTGCCCGGGCTGGCTTTGAACCGCGATCCTCAGATCTCAGCCTCCTGAGTAGCTAGGATTACAGGTGTGAGCCACCAGCGCCCGGCTCTGCCGTTCTTTTCCTTCAAATTTCTCAATTTAAAGACATTTTTTGGGTTTTGACTATCCCATTCTTTGATAAACTGAGACACAGACAGATGATATAATTTTTTTGGGGGAGGGGGTCCGGTTGTGGGGCCTGAACTCTGGGCCTGGGCGCTGTCCCTCAGCTCTTCAGCTCAAGGCTAGCACTCTACCACTTGAGCCACAGCGCCACTTCCGGCTTTTTTCTTTTTGCTTATGTGGTGCTGAGGAATCGAACCCAGGGCCTCAGGCATGCAAGGCACCGCGCTCTACCACTGAGCCATCTTCCCAGCCCCTAGATGATATAATTAACTCAAAACACCAGTTACAATGGCAGCACCTGCATAAAAACAATACCAAACAATCAGTCTGAACACACTAGGCTTTCACTCACTGAGTGCTTTCCATGTAGTGAGTGGCGATGCTTAATCTTTCTCATTTACTATACAGTATGTAGAATCAATTCTGATTTACTGGTATCAGTGGGAAGCGGGAATGCACAACAGATAATTTGGTTTTTTAAAAAGTGTATTGTGATATTTGAAAAAAAATCCTTGTCTTCTCAGAACTCTGGTGAAAGATGACGATTGAAAATTTGCTTTTTTTCAATAACTCACCATGAATGCTGCTTGATCCCACTCTGTACAATATGGTACAAGGCCGCATTATCCTGCCCATGTAATTGTAACTCCTCTGTACAGCATGTTCACAAATAAAATAAAATTAAAAAAAATATGGTACAAGGCTCTTTCTGTGTTTTGTTCATTAGAGCTGAGTATGATTGTTCTAATGATGATGTTCAAAATAGGTTAATGTTTTCATGATCTAGAATGTTTCTACATAAACAGACTACTGACTCATAAATTCACTGGTAAGTATTCCAAGGAACATAAATATTTACACTAAAATGTTATCTCTTAGTCATGAAAAAAAGAAACACAAATTAAATTAAAGCAAATAAGTCTCAGAATCACTTTGTTGTTTATTCATGTTTATGCTCTTAAGAGAACTGCTTTGTGGGGTGTGTTTTGACTTTCCTAGGAAAATTAAATTGTTACATTATATATGTTATGATGCTCTGAGAATCATCTTGTTCCCGTAGATATTACAAATGTAGGCTAGGCTGGAGATACAGCTCAATAGTAGAAGATATACCTAGCAAATAAGGCTCTGCATCTGATTCCCAGAAACACAAGGAAATAATCAAAAAGCTTCTTTTCTGTTACTTAGCTGATCCTTGGTCAGGATTGAGGGCACACACCTATAATCCCATCCCTGAGAAGGCTGAGGCAGGTATAACACAAATTGAAGGTTAGCCTACTATATAATGAGTTTTAAGTTATCTAGGGCTACATAGTAAAACCAACTCAAGTCATTGTTGTCATTGTCATCATCATCATCATCATCAATACTACAAGCTGAGGCATGATAACAAGTAGAGAAAATTGAAGTTATTACTTAGAATTAAATAATGTAAGCTGGGCACAGGTGGCTACTCAGGAGGTTGATATACCAGGATCCTATTTGAAGCCAGTCTATATAGGAAACTCTGTGAAACTCTTATCTCTAACTAATTACTCAAATAGGCCAGAAGTGCGCTGTGGCTCCAGTGGTAATCACTTGCCTTGAGCAAAAGAAGCTCTGGGATAGCCCCTAGGCCCAGAGTTCAAGAAAATAAATAAATAAATAATATCCAAATATCTAAGACTTCTACTTTTAAACTAAGTTTAATTCTCAAGATCAGAAAGGAAAGAATGCAAAGTAAGAAAGCTGAGTTAATATTTTCTTCTGAACTGTCCAATTAATTTTACCATTGGTCCTGTCATAAATAATGGCCTTCATTGATTTAAATTTTCTCAGTTGAATTGGTTTTATCTTTATTCTAGGATGTCAGAAAATAGATGATGTGACAAAATCATATTGGAAAAAATGGAATTAGCTGCTTACTTAACTACTTTTTAGATTATTTAAGGTCTTCTTACTTATCTACTTACTATTGTACTTTTTTTGTCCGTATAAAAGAAAAGTGTAGTTCCTCTCAACTCTGTCCAATAATGTTTATACTCCTGTTGGAAAGAAATCATAAGCATTATTAGTTTACATTCAACTATTTTTCTTTTAATTTTCTTTTTGAACTTTCCTAATAGTTTGTATATTTCTTCTTTATCATGAACAATTTACATAAGTCTCATAGCTTCCCTTTGTAGTTAATCCTGGATTAAATGCTGTCTGATTTTATCTTTAGCCTGTCTGATTTGTTCATAAGTAGATCATTTTCCAAACTTTCATGATTGATTTAAGACTTCTTACACAACTTCAATGGAAGTTTACACATGTAAGGAGGCCAAATAAAGGCCTACCTCAGGAAAAGTTATGATAACTACTGTCTTAAACAGATCCAGATTGAATCACTTAGCTGAGTATAATGGCTCATAGTTCAGACTCAGTGAATAGTATAGAGTAGTGATATTGATTAAAGAAAATGACAAATTGATACTGAGAAAAATTATACCATCAAAGCTAACTTGAAGATTAGATTTCATTTGTGTGGTAAATATTTATTTATATTTACATTACTGTGGATTCTCTAGAAATATGTTTTAAGTTTAAAATTTAAAAAACTTAATCACATTTTACCCAAATAAGTCTATTTAAATAAATTGGAACATAGCCTACATTACAGAAGAATAGCAAATGAGTTTACAGAATAAAATCTGTTTTGCATTCTAAAGACTTACCTTCATACTAGCTTTCCCAAAGGGATATATAACTGGGATTTTAAATCCCAGTCAGTTTAACAGACATGTTGATTGATCGATCCTTCCTTTAGTGCTTAACAAGCTGGATGTTTACAATTCATTAAAACATTATGGCTCAGATATTGAAGATTAATGTAAGAACTTCACAAAATAAATTTTCTCCCTTTTGTGAATATAAATAAACATTCTATTGTGATATTTTTATTCTTTCAGTTTCAATATTGATAGCATTACCACAGTAATATATCTCAGGGACAGAATTGAAATTTCAAGGTATCTTTGTCCAGCTTTGTAGATTCTCCACTCCATTCTAATTGAGAGGTGACTATAACATGGACAATAGAGTTGCTAATACCTTGTGAACCAAGAACAAAATACCATAGAAAAGAATCATTCAAAAGAGCACATGAGTGGGGAGCAGCCAATAGACAGTCTCCAATACAGCATGCGAAACTGGACAAAGAGATTCATTTAGTCCAATAAAGCAGAAAACTCGAAGTGGTGCTGTAGCTCAAGCAGTAGAGTGCTCGCCTTGAGCTGAAGAGCTCCAGGACAGCGCCCAAGTCCAGAGTTCAAGCCCCAGGACCGACCCTCCCCCCCCCCCAAAAAAAGATATAATGCTGAGGGGAGAAATAGGGCTGACTGTTCATGGAGATTTTTTTTTCTGAATGTTTAAAATGTTCTGCTAATCATGGTGGTGATGGTTTTACAGATTTGTGGATATGGTTAAAACCAATAACAGCTTTTACTATTGTGTCTCCGGTATGAGAGTTCAGTATTAAGGACCAAGAAAAGAAGAAAGAAATCTAGCCTACTACTATTGCCTTTTAGACTTGTCAAAGACTGATTATTTGAGAAAAGGTAAAGCAAGAGATAAAACCAAGAAGGTAAAGCTTATTCATTTGCTTACCTAGTCTCTTAAGTTTAGTTAAACCTAGTATCAGTAATAGTATTTATTGAGTCCCCTTCCCCACCCCCACCTCCACATAAATACATGCAGACATTCATTTGTGCTCCTAAAAATTTAAGAGTTATTCATTCACAAAAAGAATCATATGAATTGGATAGAGTTAATCAGGGACAAATAGGAGCTTGGGAGATAAGCAAATCTATAAATTCATGGAACAAATTATGAGAAATGTGTGAGATGAGGGTAGGAGCAAGTTTAGAAGCCCTGAGAAGAGGGCAAAGCACAAAAGGAGGAAAACCAAGTTTACAAAGAGCAGAAAGCTCTGTGAACTGCAACCATAGACACAGCCTAAACACAGAACAAACTGGTAGTTGGTGTGAAGAGATCTGTACAACATAGATTTTATTTAATTTCTGATATGACATAGGAATATCAGCATAACCTGAGTTATCTGTATCATTTTAAATAAGTAGTATCTAGGCAGACAATTTTCAACTATAGAGATATTTAAACATATCAAAAAGAATTTTGAACCACCACACATCTTTAGATGACATACATTTAGTACTTATTTTTTAAAACAATTATTTTTGTTAAATCACTGCAATAAAAAAATTCAGTGAAGTCTTCTGAATTTAATACTAGCTTATAACCACTAGATAACCTTGTATTTACAGCTTAAGGTCACTGGCTCATTTTTGTTTTAATGACATTGAAAGTCTAAGTTTACTGTTGAGTTCAATATGATAAAATACCCAGCAAGTGAATATCTCTAACCGGTAAAAGCCTACAATCAAATGGATTAGAAATTGAATTGGAGGAGCATAATCACAATGAAATTCAAGCCAGGCTCCCTAATGTTTGAACAACTTTAAACATTAGCTGCATCTTTGTCTGTGAACTAGACAAAATGATTTCTAAACAGAAAAGTTATTGTGAGGAATAGAGGTATTAAGAGCCTTAGCATGATGTTTATATGCGTCACACCTTAAGAAAACCCACCCATTATATGCCCAGTTCAATCATCACACAAATACATTCAATATATACAAGAGAAACTATCCTTCTTACAGAGGAAGAAACAAATTTGAATGTTTAAAGGAACTGCATACATGCCAGACTGATACTTTGATTTGTTGACTCCCCAATATTAAAAAAAATTAATTAGTATAACCTAGAAATAGATTGCCATGCAAACCATTGTAACTAGGAAGATTGGGGTTTCCAGTTAAATGCCTCTATATAACCCTGGAGGGGCAAGAAAAGTGTACATGCCTATGAAAGGATGTTACATAGTAGTTCTCAATTATATAAAACCCCAAGATGTGCAAGATGATCCATCAGGAAACTTGCAGAATGTCTACTTATGTTTCATTATTTCATCTCAATGGCTCTGTACACATATTAAATAACTTAGAGTATTAGTACCAGATGAGTACACATAATTTCTAAATAAATTAAATGTCTCATGAGGAATCTGTGTTCAAATAATTTCCTCAAAAAGGGGTGTTATTTAGGGTTGGGAAGGTGGCTCAGTGGTAGAGTGCTTGCCTTGCATGCATGAGGCCCTGAATTTGATTCCTCAGCACCACATAAGCAGAAAAAGCTGGAAGTGGTGCTGTGGCTCAAGTGGAAGAGCACTAGCCTGAAGAGCTGAGGGACAGTACCCAGGCCCAGAGTTCAGGCTCCATGACTGGCAAAAAAAAAAAAAGGGGTGTGTGTGTGTTATTTTAAACTTTCGGAGCTTTCTAGTGTAGAGGATTGTGTTTGAGAACACAACTGAGATGACCTTAAAATTTTCCTACATGAGATAGAAGTGGATAAAAGACCAGTCAAAGAAATAGTACATTGATGCATTTATGATGACATGCTTATGTTTGGGTTAATAAGGTATAACCCGCATTTTTTAATGTTAGCACATCACAGACTGTTTGTTGCCCAAACTTTTATTTTCACAGTTCTAGTAAAGTTAGACTTCTTTGTCCACTTGTAAGAAGAGCTACATTGATTTTGGTATTCAATGTAGCATTTAATACCTTTTTTTTTAATCAAGTACATCTTCTTGGTCAATCAAGAATTCTAGTGATGTTACTTAAGCAAATTTTCCCACACTATCTTTTCCAAGGAGACTATGCTCTATTTATGAATTCTTGATATGAAATTCAGAGCCCTTCTTGAATTTCATAGAAAATATTATATGTTGACATATTTTCCTAGGGCAAACATCTTTAAATTCCTTAAAATGCCCAATGTAGAACTTTAAAAAAGAGCCTTTCAATATGTAATGCTTTTCTTGACCATGTTACCCTTTAGTTGTATTCTTTGTAATTTAAATATCCTCAACATTCTGCATAGCCCCTCAATTCTGTTAGCCCATTAGCTGAAAAGATGACTTAGCTGTAGTACCTTTGGCTCCCCTGTTTTCCAAAAATTCCCTGGCACTTTGTTGCTAGTTTCATAGAAATGTCACTTTTCTCTCCTGTCCCTTCCTCCCTCTTTCTTTCTTCTTTTCTTTCTTTCTATCTTTCTTTCTTTTCCTTCTTTCTTTCTTTCTTCCGGCCTCCCTGCCTCCCTTTCTTTCTTTTCTTTCTTCCTTCCTGCCTCCCTTTCTTTCTTTCCTTCCTTCTTTCTTTCTTTCTTTCTCTCTCTCTCCTTTTCTCTCTCTCCCTTTCTTTCTTTCTTTCTTTCTTTCTTTCTTTTTTCTCCCTCTCCTTCCTTCCTTTCTCCCTTCCTTTCTCTCTCTCTCCTCCCTCCCTCCCTTCTTTCTTTCTTTCTCTCCCTCTCCTTCCTTCCTTCCTTTCTCCCTTCCTTTCTCTCTCTCTCCTCTCTCCTTTCTTTCTCTTCCTTCCTTTTCTTCCTTCCCTTTCCTTTCTTTCTTTTCTTTTCCTTTCTTTCTTTCCTTCTTTCTTTCTTTTCTCTTTCTCCCTCTCCTTCCTTCCTTTCTCCCTTCCTTTCTCTCTCTCCTCCGTCCCTCCCTCCTTTCTTTCTTTCTTTCTCTCCCTCTCCTTCCTTCCTTTCTCCCTTCCTTTCTCTCTCTCCTCCGTCCCTCCCTCCTTTCTTTCTTTCTTTCTTTCTTTCTTTCTTTCTTTCTTTCTTTCTTTCTTTCTTTCTTTCTTTCTCTTTCTTTCCACTTTGTAGGTCCTGTGGCTTGAACTCAGGGCCTGGGCACTATCCCTAAGCCCTTTTTTGCTTAAGGCAAGTCTGGTCTACCACTTTGAGCCACAAAGCCACTTCCGGGTTTTGAGTGGTTAATTGGAGATAAATCTCACAAGAACTTTTCTGCCTGGACTGGCTTTAAATTTCAGTCCTCAGATTTCAGCCTCCTGAGTAGCTAGGATAATAGGCATGAGCCACCGGAGTCCAGCTTCCACTTAGCTTCCTTACTTTCCCTTATAGTTTCTATTGTCAAGCCTCTGTCATCTCCATGGTTTTCTTTGAACCATATTTGTAGACTCCAACCTTATTGTTACAGAAATATGAATGGGGAAGAGAATGAGTCTATCCTTTAATGTGAAGTAGGCATTATTGTCATCCTCTGATTCTCCTTCCTGACATACAAGGAGAAGGTACTTTGTTATGAATTCAAGTGGAAAAGCAAGTTAATTTCACCTAAAGTGTGTGTGTATGTGTGTGTGTGTGTTGTAGTGCTGAAGACAGAATGTAGACTTCAGCTTCACAAATGCTACCTAAGTGCTGTATCACTGAGCTACATATCCTCATAAGAACTATTTATTCCTGTGGTGTATTTATTTTGTTTCAGAGCATGTTTTCTAAGAAAAAAACAGACTAGGATTCAAGCAAAAGTCATCACTACCAAGCTAAGCCTCTTTGATGTTAGGGTCTTTTACTCAAGGTGAAGCTTGGTGTAAGAGAGACAAAAAAGAAATGTTGCTGAAATGAATAAAGTGATTCAGCACTTACTTATCCCAAACACAATAAATAATGCATTGTAAGTGAAAAATTGTATTCGAGGAAGTAATCTGTAGACTCTTTATATTATATTTGAAGAAACTGAGTCTGAAGGAAATTAATTTGTACAAGGTTACAAACTGTGACAAAACCATTAGGTAGAGAAGTTTTACTGATACCCTAAGATTTTTGTTCTGTGTGTTAACTATACTAAGGGATGCATGTTTTAAACATTAAAAAGAGCTTGCTATCAGAAACAGTTACTACAAATACTTTGGACAAACATTTGATGCATAAACAAATTTAAATGACAAATTATTAATGTTTTGGCAATTCTTTCATTTCCATAAACAGTGGTGAAAACATTGCACTTATGAGCATATAGAAGTAAACAAAAATTCCAAAATAACTGACTAATGCCTATTTGATACTCATAACAATAAATATTAGCATGTTTTTACTAATAGTGAATGGTCTATACATACAGAAAATATGAACATATTATTTATATGATAGTTTTATATACACAATTTCCTCATAAGTATTAATAAATCCTAAGACAAGTTATTTTATTATCATCATTAAACAATTGAAGCATTTCCAAAAGTTTCAGACAATATTAAAATATAAAATTTAGCGTAAGGACTTGCCTTCTTTTTAGTATGCACGTGTTTGTCTTTATTTCTCTACTTTTAAATTATTCATAATTACAATTTTTAGAGGAGTGATTTTAACTAACTAGGGTTTTAAATTTCACATTCCAAGTATAGGATGTGCTTTGTTGATATTTTAGATCAAATGTATTTTTGTAATCTAGTGTATTTACTCCTCAAAGTAGTCTCTATCTGGTAGCTTTTTAAAGTCACTATTTTCAAAAATGTTGTTAAATGTATTACTAAAGACAATGGTTAACATCATCAACTTTATGATTTTCACAATTTTTGCGGTAGCTTACCATTTTTATAATTTGATTATTAAACACTTCAATATACCTGAGGTATTGTAGTAGAAAGTTTAATATTAATCAATATTTTATTTGATGATGTACATCTTCATTGAAGTTTAAATTGGGCAAAAATCTTCCCTAAAGTTTAAATAAATTCTTCAGAAATTTACTGAATATTTGATGTTAGGGGTTTATCTTTAGATGCTTATGATACATTATGTATTTAAGTTATGTGAAACTACAGGGAACAGACACAGGGATAATCAAAATATAAAGAATAAGGTTTTTATCACATCACATTGCCATGAAATAAATGTTAAGACTAAATTTTCAAAAGCTAAAAAAAAAAAGACCAAAGACACAGGTCTAACATTATCTCCTAGAGACGTACCTGGTATTCTGACCGTTTGACTAATAAAAATCCTTCAAAATACAAGGGCAGAGCAGTCATCTTAAGCCTTTCCTGGAAGATTCTTCGAGGTGCTGGTTTGGGGGGCTTCTTGGCCATCATACCTTCTCTCCGGTGTGTTCGTAGCTTTCAACTGTATATAGTCACAACAAAATGAAATCGCCTTTGTGTGAGAGGAAAAGGCAACTGTTCAAAGAGGAAGTCCCTACTTGCTTTTAAACCACCAACCACCTTCAGGACACACACACACACACACACACACACACACACACACCACTTTTTTTTTTCCTTTTCCTTTTTGTGAAGAAAGAACAGGCACAGACCAACTTTTAGAGGTCAGTCTCTGAGTAAACATGCAATAAGCTATATAAACAGAGATTAACATCACCTGAAGATAAAAGCACAGGTGTGTGGAGATGGGGACCCAAGAGGAGACATGAAGGACACATTTGTTTTTTCCACTGTTTTTAGGGGGGTTTGTTTGTTGCTGCTCATTTTTATTTCCAAAGGATATGATTTGAATAAAGTCTTAAAAATAATAAACTCATGAAAATTACTTCTGAGGGCAAGTTAGTTAGGACTAATTCTGTTGGTTAAACATTTCATGGCCAAGCTTTGTTTAAATTTTAAAATGATCTAAATTTATCCCATGCCTATTTTTGTACTTCACCAAATACAAATTTTTCACCTTTTAATCAACAGTATGAGGAAGACCAGTAGGTATTTGGCCAAAAAAGTTAATAATAATTACAAAGAAGGCTGTGTATTTTCTAACTTTTATTTGTTCTTTCAGATTTCTAAGTTGTGGACCACTGACACTGTCATGCATGACAGGGTCCTGAAAGTATTTCGATAACATAGAACATTGGGACAAAATTCATAAGAAAAAATGTCCCTGGAGAGATTGCATTTGGCCAAAGATTGTGCAGGGAGTTATAGGAAAGAGAATTAGAAGAATTCTAATTTGTCTTAGATGAGTCCTGAGTACTTTCACCGCTGCCTATTTCAGTATACTCTAAATTTAAGATAATCTGAGGCCAGTTAGAGCAAGTTATTAGAAATCAAAGTAAGAAGAATTTAAAGCAAATCAGGTGCATCCTCATTTTCTAATGGAGAAATCACATGATTTCTCTACCCAAGATGAGTCCTGCTAAAACTATAGCTGTGGGTATAGGAAGCCAAATTGTTTGCAATTGAGCTGGAACAATACTAATTAACAGTAAATTAGGAAAGGGTGTGCTACTGCCTTAATGAAGGAAAAAATGCAGCTTGAAACAGAAATTAGGAGTTGAATATCCAAAATTATTAGGGCCTGGTGGCAAGTGCCTATATTCCTACATACTTGGGGGGCAGAGACAGAGGAACTCAGTCCAAGGTCAGTCTGGAAAACAGCAAGATCCTGTCTCATAAACAAGCTGGACATGGTGGATTACACTTGCAATCCCAGCTACTCAGGAAAAAAGAGACCAAAAGATTAGACTGGAGGCTGGCCTGGACAAAAACATCATTAGCCCTAACTGAAAAGCTAAAGCAAAAAGAAATGGGAAGGTGTGGCTCAAGTGGTAGATCACTTGCCTAGCAAGCCTGAAGTTCTGAGTTTAACCCACAGTAATGTGAGAAAGAAATGGGGAGGATACACAGGCAAGGCAGGGAGAGACAGCTTCTTTTGCTCAAGGAGAGCACTCTACCACTTGAACCATAACACCACTTCCAGACCTTTTGAGTCGTTTATTGGAGATGAGTCCCATGGAATTTTCTTCCCAGGCTGGCTTTGAAACAAGACCCTCAGATTTCAGTCTCCTGAGTAAGCTAGGATTACAGGTGTGAACCCAGCTCCAACTGGTTTTTTTTTTAAGATAAAAATAACAGCTATTGGGGCTGGGAAGGTGGCTCAGTGGTAGAGCGCTCGCCTTGCATGCTCAAGGCCCTGGGTTCGATTCCTCAGCACCACATAAGCAAACAGAAAAAAGCTGGAAGTGGCACTGTGGCTCAAGTGGTAGAGTGCTAGCCTTGAGCTGAAGAGCTGAGGGACAGTGCCCAGGCCCAGAGTTCAGGCCCCACGACCAGACCCCAAAAAAAATAAATAACAGCTATTTTAAAAATTTCAACATTCTAATAAAATGAATTGAATGACATAGGAAAACATTCTGCTTTAATGAATGATCTTATCCTCTTTTTTTGGAAGCTGATAGCTGTTATAATATACAGGGAGGAAGAGAAAAGAGACATGAGAATGAGCCAATGAAAAGATGAAGACAGAGGAATATATCACAGTTGGAATATGAGAAAAGTAGTCACTGATTTTATGGTCATAGAGTTTTGCAGGGGAGTAGAAAGACTGCCTCCTGAAAAATGGAGGTAGAAATAATTTTTTGACATAGCCATTTCATTAATTATGTCTTTTTTGGAAAAAGCAAAAAAAGTTTTCAAGCCCAGTTCCACCAGCCATTGGAGGTTACTTTGGTCTATTTTTTGGCTTGAACTTGGGGGTTTGGGTGCTATCTCTGAGCTTTTCTGCTCAAGGCTAGTACTCTATCACTTTAAATCACAGTGCCACTTCCACTTTGGTCTTTATATACCAAGTATCAAATTATGTTTCTGTACCCCACCCCCACTAAAAACTATAAAATGTAAGCATTTGGCTTAAACCTTATGAGTCAGATCTGTCAGCAATTCCTACATCATCATGTGTCTACATCATTATAAAGGAAAAAAGAAAATCCTCTTACAGATATCTCAAAAATAGTCTCATAATCCGCATTATTTTAAATTTAAAAATGCAACCTAATCAAGACACTTTCTTCTTTAATACACTTTAATGATTCACATTGCTTTGGAAAATCCTTCTTTCTTTTTTTTCTCAAAGAACATTAAATATGTATGATGTAACAAAAATGTATCCAATCACAGTATACAAATCTTTCATAACAGGACTTCTAAAATCAAGTAGCCTTGCTCCAGTAATTTTTCTCTACTCAAACTTGTCACAGTACACTGTTGATCTTTCATATCTTTTCATAGCTTTCAACTACAGTACAGAATGACTGCACACTTTCTTTATATGATGATATCCTACCCATGCTTCAAGGTGTCTATGAAGAATTCTTGATCACCTGAAGTATTCTTCACCTCAAGGAATAGAATTTATTACTCCCTCTTCTGTATTCTTATAGCCCTTTTCAGAGGTCTCTATTATATTTACCTTTTGTGTATTATTTATTGGTTTATTGGTTTATATTCTGTGTCAACAAGAAACAACTTACCAAAGGAACAAATTGTGTTCCAAGTCGAGGTTGGTGAAAAGTAGATTGCAATATAATTTGTTTACGAATAATTCCTCACTCAAAACAGTTGATTCTCACTTGGAGATCTGTTGGCTGACATTGTGACAAGAGTTTCCTGTTCCCTAAATATATGTGGTCATGGCTGACATATGGTTCTTGTATTGCCATGAAGAACAATTGTGTTGCTGCCAAATGATTGGAAATTCATCAGAGCCCAACTGCCATGTTTATCAGCAACATTTGTGTCACAGAAATTTGTTATAAATTAGATGATGTAGCAAACTCAGTGATTTTGGAGGAATATAAGGTTAATATAAAAAACAACAATCCTACTGTTCTTTTTTTTTCCAGCTGTGGGCCTGAACTCTGGGCCTGGGTGCTGTCCTTTAGCTCTTCAGCTCAAGGCTAGCGCTCTACCACTTGAGCCACAGCGCCACTTCCAGCTTTTTCTGCTTATGTAGTGCTGAGGAATTGAACCCAGGACCTCATGCATGCAAAGCAAGCACTCTACCACTGAGCCACCTTCCCAGCCCTCATACAGTTTTTAATATAAGTCATCTTTTTATTACTCTTCGTAGAAGAAAATAGTATTTTCAACAGAGAAAATTCAAGTGTTTAACAGAATCACAGAAATTTTTAGATATTCAACATGGGGATTTCTACCCTCTTTGCCTAAGAATTACTGACATGGTGAGCCATTATTACTCAAAATATGTTTTCCTGACATCTTTTAGGACAGAAAAAAAAATGTAGTAACTGCTATAGATGTGATACTAGAGACTGGACATGGTCTAAGTAGTACAGGGCCTGCTGAGCAAGCTCAAAGCCCTGAGTTCAAGCCCAGTTTTGTAAAAAATCTACAAACAATATTATTAATAGCTCCGTGGAATAGTTAAATTTGCTGACATTATCTTTTTCAACATAGTATGAAGAGTTGCTCCTGGGATGATCAGAGGTTTTCTTTCCTTGTCATGTATTCCTTCTATTTTTGTGTATAGGGCTTTATTCATAGTATTTGGAAATACTTTGGGGGGGATTGTAGAAGATAATCTTGATTGTCAATTTGATTAGATGAAGAAGTACCTCAGACATAGTAAAATATACCTTTGGGTGTGTCAATGAAAGCATTTCCAGAGAGAATTGACTAAGGGGAAAAAACTTTGTCCGAATGTTAATGGAACCATCATATTGGCTAGGGGCTCAGATGGAATTTTTAAAAAAAGGAGAAAATCAGGTTGTACAGACATTCTCTCTCTTCTTCTTGACCAGCATGCTATGCCCTCTTTCACTGCCATGATGAATTGAAGCTAAAGCTGTGATTAAAATACATTTTTCCTCCTCTTAAATTATATCCCTAGGTGTTCTGTCACATCAACAAAAAGTCTGACTAACACTAGTTTCCAAACTAGATAAATGGAAAAATGATAGCTTTACTAGAATAGGGAAAGTCAGAATAATGATATAGTTTGAGGGTAGAGGCATAATGGATTTGTATTAACTATTTTGTTTCAAATAAATGCATTTGAAATTTGTTCTACAATTTCAAAATCACACACACATATGTATACATATGTATTTTTCTTCATTTTTATGATCTTTTAATGCTTCTTTAGGAAATAAGTTGAATTGGTGCTTAACATTCATTTACATTCCTTCAAGTACATCTATCTTCATGGTAGAAGCTAAATGACTAAAAACTACAATTCCCAGAAGTCTTTCCATTTGAAATTGGGAAACATCAATAATGACTGGCAAGGCAGAATTCATCCTTACACTGCCTTTGGTTTTTCTAACCAAAGAAAAGACAACAATGCTTTTTAGGCATCTGATTTTTTTCTGTGGTAATATTATTAGAAGACTCAATCTGTCTGATCACCAGTTCTAAGAATGTTAATAGCCAAGCCATGGGACATTGATTGGTTTGTTGGTGCATATCACATTAGGTATTGTGGATTCTGGATCCAGAAACAAGAAGAAGGCTGCTACTCACCATACAGTTCTTATTTGTGATGTTTTCCATGACATGGGAGTTTTGTAATTGTGGTGGTTTCCTGATTGCAGTGCTAGTGTGGTCTTAGAGTTATCAACATTAACATCAACTTCCCAGTTATTCAATTTGGCTGTAGAACCAGGGGCTTACTTTTGCAGTATGTCTTTGGGAACTATTCAAGGCTCAAAGAACAGTTTCTTCATTCCTCCCAATAATTCCTACCTGATGGTAGATGCCTTTTTTTTTTTTTTGTCAGTTGTGGGGCCTGAACTCTGGGGCTGGACACTGTTCCTCAGCTCTTCAGCTCAAGGCTAGCGCTCTACCACCTGAGCCACAGCACCACTCTGGCTTTTTCTGCTTATGTGGTGCTGAGGAATCAAACCCAGGGTCTCATTCATGCAATACAAGCACTCTACCACTGAGCTACCTTCCCAGTCCCACAAATTTGTTTTTTTAAACAGATATGTCTTCATCAATTAGCAACTCCATTTTAGGGTACAAAAATCATTCTGGAGCTGTTAATTACTGTTCTGAAATGAGCACAGATAGAACTGGAAAGTTTGTTTAGAAACTGTGGACTGTTACCTAATCTTCATATGGGTATTTTTCAACTTTCTCTCTAGAAACAGTTCATCCCCAATATCCTCTGTGCCTTGCATTTTATCTTGGCACAAGAATTGTTTTTCAAGTTTCTCAAAATAACCATGCAAGTTCTTGTTTCCAAGTGGAAGCAGGGGATATAGTATATGTGTGTGTGTGTGTTTGTGTGTGTGTGTGGACTAGTCCTGAGGCTTGAACTTAATGTCTCAGGACCTAGACACTGTCCTTGAGCTTTTTTGTTCAAGGTTAGCAATGTACCCTCTACTGTTGAGCCACAGCTCCACTTTCAGTGTTTTGTTGGCTGATTGGAAATAAAAGACTCCTGGGGGCTGGGAAGGTGGCTCAGTGGTAGAGTGCTTGCCTTGCATGCATGAGGCCCTGGGTTCGATTCCTCAGCACCACATAAGCAAAAAGAAAAAAGCTGGAAGTGGCGCTGTGGCTCAAGTGGTAGAGCGCTAGCCTTGAGCTGAAGAGCTGAGGGACAGCGCCCAGGCCCAGAGTTCATGCCCCATGACCGACCGGACCCACCCCCCACCAAAAAATAAATAAATACCCCCACAGACTTTCCTTCTTGGGTTGGCCTCTTGAGTAGCTAGGATTACAGGTGAGAGCCACTAGTGATAAGCTAAGAGATATAATTTTACATTTATAATTTTGCTGGTTAGACTTTCTCACTTGTAGTGAAGAGTGAAAAGGCCCAGTCTTGGAAGTGAAATTCCTGGATTAATATACTGCTCTGCCATTGGTGGTGGTGGTGTAGTGTTAGACAAGTCTCCGCATTCTAGTGCCCTTTTCTGTGAAACAAGGACATCAATTTTTCTTTCATTGGAATGTTTAAATGCTTAAAATGCATGTGAAATAATGAATGTTAATTTAATTATGTATTTCTAATGCATTAGCACGAAATTTTATGTGATGTAACCTGGAAAAATGCTAAACATTTAAAAACTTTTCATGATCTTTACATCTTTTTGTACCATTTCTAGGGCTTGGACCCAGGGCCTTGTGCACTTTCTTGAGTTTTTCTCTTGAGATTTATGCTCTATCACTTGAGCACAAATTAATTAGTGTTTTGCTGATTAATTAGAGATACAAGTCTTAGGGACTTTTCCATTTTGCTGGTTTTGATCCTCAGATCTGAGCTTCTACAGTATCTAAAATTACAGGTATGAGGCATCCCGATGCTTACAATTTTAAGAGGAATTATTTAGTTCTAACATCTCAACAACTTGAAAATTATTTCCATTTTACAGTCAGGAGATTGAGGATTAGATGATGCAATTAACTTGTCCATTCTAACAGAATTAGTGCAAAATACAGGCAAAATACAGGCCTATATAATCTTATAACTCTAGTTTGTAATCACTCTTTTGTACCAAAGAAGAAAAAAATAAACTTAAATATATAGATTTTTAATCAGTGTATTTTTAGATTGTATTTTGTCTTCTAGAAAGCCTCTAATGCAAGACTGATTTCCCATTGGGCTTCATGTATATTGTACAGTTACAGTAAAATTCAACCTTTATTTTCTATTGTTTAAAACATTGTTTAGTGTAAAGTGTTTTTATTTGAAGTTTTATCATTTTATAAGAAAAAGAATATTTAAGAAGTATCTTATAAAATTTGTCCCTTTTATCTAGATTTGATATTTGCTGCAAATGAGGAGGGTTCCAGATACATATGTTCAATATAAAATAGAAAATATGTTAACATTTGAAATTTAAAAATAATAAAAATAGATTTTAGTAAATGGCAGAAAGTTTAAAAATAATGTTTAAAAAATTACTACCTGAAGGACTGGGAGAATAGCTCAAATGAAAGACTGCTTGCTTGCCTAGTGAGTGCAAAAATTTTGATTTCAACCCCCATAACCTCAAAAATAAATAAATAAATAAAACAGCAACAGTGAAAAAATGAAACAACCCCCTCTTTCTTTATCTATCTTAGCTCAATTCTTGATTAGAAAATTTATTCAATAAATCAGTTTTCTAACCTGACAATGTAGTACATGCCTCTAATCCCAGCACCAGAGACAGAGGCAGGAGCATATGAGTTCAGGCCAGTCTGAACAACACAGCAAGACTTTATCTTAAAATTTAAAAAATCAATTTTTTGATGAAAATTTTCTTGTATTTATGAAATAGTTCATAGAGTTATACATATACTAGTTAGTAAACAGGAAGCCTTCAGGCCATCTAATTTAAATTTGTGCTTTATCATTAAGGACATATCCAGAATCATGCTACAATATTGTTTTATATAATATAGATAATTTGAGGTTTCTCAGATTTGTTTTTAGTTTAATGAACTAGATATTTGGTTAGAATCAGCATTTTAATATATTTGACATTTTTAAAATGTATATGTATTCTAATTAGTTGTCAAATAACTAGATTGATTTGTACAGCATTTTTTCAGCATTGCTTTCCCCTTACCACTTGCCTATGGTTTTAAGTTTGGCACATCTGTAGTTCTCTTTGGGCCAGTATCAATAGATCCTCCAGATGCCTCTTGCTTTGATTTGTATTCTTTAATCCTGTCCACGAATCTCTCTGCACAGGATGGAGTTCTTTCTTAAATGCTACTGCAGTGACACCCATATTTCCTTTGCAGAAGGGACTATTTATCCATGTATATTCTAACATTCATGAGCTTCTATTTAACAAATAACACGTAATCTTATAAAGTAAAATTCTTTCCATCAGAAAAAAAATATGAAGATAGAATTGTATTTCATCATGCTTGTCAGATTTGGGCGGGTTGACAGGTTAATGATATATATATTTCAAACGGGCATTTGGTTGGCGATGTTTCACACACAAAATGTCCATATGCTTTAAAAAAAAAGTATGCAAGCCGTGGTCACGATTTTACTGTCAAGGATCAGGTACAGATAAGTTGTGTGGCTGACCAACCTGCTATTGTAATCGTTCTCTTCAAAATACCTTCTGAATCTCCTGCCTCTGACCTTTTCCAATAGTTCTTGTTATTTCACGACGGAGCTAATGGAGACATCTTATATTGGATAAAGATAGTGCTTAAGGCAATGCCTTCCAAAAAAAAAAAAGCCATCTATTCAAATAAAAGAAGAAAGATTGCGCGAACTTGATGGAGAACTGGGCTGTGGAAGGAAAAGGAGAGGTGGGAGGGAGGAGAGCAGGCGGGGTCAGGAGGGAGAGTTGAGCGGCAGGTGGGCGGAGTCAGAAGGAAAGTGGGCGGGGACAGGAGTGGACTGAGGAGTCTGGAGGGAGGTGGGCGTGGTCAGAAGGGAGAGTTGGAGGGAGCTGGGCGGGGATAGGCAAAAGAGGCGGGGCCAGGGAAAATGACGGTCCTCTCGCGGCGACGGGGCGTGGCCAACGACAGCTTGCTTTTTATTGGGTGGCGCGTCCTGTATTATGCGTTTCAAATCCTCTGGCGCGCGGGCGTGAGGGCTTGTGGAGGGCGGTACCAGACGGGGAGGGGGGGGGACCGGAAGTGCCCGCCAGACTGTGGCACCTCTTTTTCCGGGTTGGGCGCCTGAGGGGCGGTCTTCGATTGCAACTTCGCTTTTCGGCCAGTCAGTCGACTTAGAACTTGCAGTGCTCAACCCTTCCGTGGGTTTGGGTTTCTGCTTCTTCACGTCCCTTGCTCCGGCCGAACGGGAGCCGAACATGGCCGCTTCGGGGCTGGTGAGTGCGGGCCGCGGTCCGGGCGGCGGCGGGCTCGCGTCGGTGTCTCGGAGGGGCTGCAGCTGGCTGGGTCCGGGGAGGCGGGTGGGCCGCGCTGGGCGAGTAATTTGAACTTCACCGGACTCCATCTGTCTGTATTGTTTTCCTCACCCAGTCGCACGTGATGGCGACTGTACATGCTTTTCTGTTTTCTTTTTTTCTCTAAAGAAAGTGGGTGATTTCCACCTTTTAACCCGGCTCGACTATCTGTGGTACTCCCAACAATTGTTCCCGCCAATACTAGCGATAGACCTTAGGTTGGATCTCTCTGCTCTGAAGCGATGGTTGCTACGTAACAAATTGATCACGAAAAAACGGACGTTTCCAAGTATCTGGTTGTCACAGGGTTGAGTATGGCTTGCAGCTTTTGAGGCTCATGTGGAGGGGGGTGGGCATCTCTTACTGGCAAAGTCTTAGGAGAGGCAGCTCTTCGTGCCGGCTTTGCACGACTGGACAGAGCCAGAGCTCGAGTTTTGTTTCTGTGTTTCTTGGCACCTTCGTATTTACTCGTCTGTCTGTCAAAAGTTCCTCCTCATTGCTATATTTTCTATCGTATCTACGACTTGTATTTTCTAATTCACTTCTCATTAAAAAAAAACAACTTCAGCTTCGATGATCTGCTTTTATGTACTGTATGTATGCTTATCTATAGAGATGTAAAGTTTATATGCAGGTGGCTTGTGTGCCCAGATGTATAAAAAGATGAAATAGTGTGTACACAGACACTTGGTACAGAGAACAGTATATTGTTATGTACAATCAGGAAAAAAGAAAACCCAAAGCTATAAAGAATAAAACTTACCAAATGCTTGCAGTTCATTTTACTTAACTGTTTTGAGCCTTTTACTTTTAATATCTGAATTTGTGTTATCCACTTACAAACCAAGGGGAAAAAGGTGTTGGGAGTTACCCTCAACTGTTCCTGTACTGTGGTTCTCAAGGTGGAAATTTTGCTGCCTAGGATGGTACATGGTGCTCTCTGCGGAAACGTTTTTTCCCAAGGAGGGTATGGGATTGGGGGGAGGTAGGATGAAGGATTACTACATGGCACCTAGTCGGTAAACCAAAGATGCTGCTAAATTTTCTAACTGCTTGATATAGCCCCCCACAATAACAACAACCACAACAAAGTTATTCTCTCCATAGATCAGTAGCTTGGAATTGACAAATCCACCTGCATTGTGAAATATATTTTTTGAGAAGCATAATCTCAGAATGAGTGGAAGAAACCCAAATTGAAATCAATTTAGGACTAAGCTGAAGTTGGAGTATATATTTATTTTAAAGCTATAAATTTTTATGTTCTAACTTTTCAGATGAAGTGATCTTGTTTGTCTTGTTCATGCCATCCTTTCTAGAGTGCCAAATGATGTTTGGCATTCTAGTAGGTGCTTAATATTTGTTGAAAAATGAACTATTTTTCAGCCTTAGCAATTTCTTAAAAGAGGAAGAGATAGTACTTTATGGGTGTTAAGTTTCAAAGACATTTCCCTGTACAAAATTTGTCATTCTTTCAATTAAAGAATGACCATAAATTAGGCTTTAGAAGTTTGTGTAATGAACATGCTCAGAGTTGAGTTTGTTTCAGTATTTCACCATGATGAAAGTGGTCATAGATCCTATGTGCTTGAATAAAAAAAATTCATCACACAAACAGGGAGTCTATTATAAATATTATGATAGGAAGGTTGGAGGGATGGCATGGTGATACAGTACATTGCCTGCATGTCTAGGGCTCTAGATTTCGTCTTCAGTACTGGGGGTATGGTGAGAGATTCATAATGAAATGGAAACTTGTTATATATCTTTGGGTGCTGTCAGCTTAAGCAGGGAAAGGGAAAACATTCATATAGGAAATGAGATGTTGAGTCCAAGTGAGGTAAAAGTAGGTGTTCTAATGGAAAGGCAGCAACCTGTTGTGGAGTGAGGAGGAATCCATAAAGGAAGGGAAGTATTGATTCAACATGATGAGTTGGAACCTGATTGGTGTCACAAGGACATCTTCACAGGGCAGTGGCTTGGTACAAGTAAAGATGGAGGATATAGGATTGATAGGTCTGAAAAATGCCCAACTGTGTTAGTTATGAAAGCCAGTGTCCATACTGTGGAGAAGGAAATTATAAATGTGAGAAAGGATTGGAATGTTAAGAATCACTATGAAATCATAGCTTTCAGTATTTATGATAGATATGTAGAAATATAGGCTTAGATGTGTGATATGGATGTGCAGACATACATTCACTTTCTAAGAGGCTGGAGAATAGACAGCAGCTTTTGTGAAGTATGGGGTACATAACCTGTTCCTGTCTTATAAGGAATATTCTTTTAAAAGGAGCCTAGTCTCTCTGCTCTTTTCTAGCTCTTTCTCAGCTCTTTCCTTTCTCTTTCCCAGCTTCCTTCTTTTTACTAGCTCTCTCTTTCCAACCTTTCCCAGACGCTCTCTTTTCTAGCTTTCTCTCTTTTCTAGCTCTTTTCGCTCTCTTTCCCAGCTCTTTCTCTTTCCCAGATCTCCCAGCTCTCTTTCCCAGGCCTTTCCCCACTGTGTGGAGGACCAAGATGGCCTGGTGTCAGCCGGCACAATGAATAAACCTACCCCTTACCTGAAAAAAAAATAAAATAAAAGGAGCCTAGTTATCTAATTGAATATGTTGACTTTCAGTGCTGGGATAGAGTATAAGATAAACCTAGAAAATTGTATATTTTTTTTACTAAATTATTTCACATATTCATTTTTATATTCATTAAGTTATGTAAAAGTGAGGCTCAATACACACAATATTGCTAATGCTTTTTTAAAAAAAGCATCTACTATTTATAATTACCCAATCTTCAATTAAGAAATAACCATTATAGATTTTATAATAGCATAGAAGATCAGCTATTTTCTGATCTTTTGATTTCAAATATCAACAATTATTTGTGTTTTATTTTTCCTGTTATCCCTATTTCCTGCCTCTTTGTTGGTAGTAAGGATACATTCACTGTTTTTGGAAGCATTCTGGAATCCTTTTATTAACTTTCTGCTTCTCTTCCGCCATCTTCCTACAGACTCCAGATTTTATTTTATTGTCAGTTTTTACTATTACTTTCAGAGATAAGGATTTTTCAAATTCATTGTGCAGTACTTTGTGCCTTACACATTTGAGAAATTTGATTTTATATTATGTTAGACTATAATTTCTTTTTGTTCTTTATTGTTTTTCTTAATTATTTCAATCTTAGACAATCATGTTTTCCATTGCTAATAATTTTTCTGGTTGGACATAGTGATGCATAGTTATAATCCCAGGTTTTTACTAGATTCTGGCAGGAGGATTATGAGCTCAAAGCTAGCTGGGGCAATGTGGCAAGAGGTTCTCAAAAGCAAAAACAAAAACTAAGCATGGCTTAAGTGGTAGAGTACTTGCTTAGTGTGGTTCTGTGTGTAGTGCTGGTCCCTAGTATTCAGAAAATTTTATTTTCTTGCTCTAGTATTTATAACATGCATTTATTTTTTACTTGATCTAGAAGTATTCTAATTAAGTTTAAAATGGACATTTCACAGATGCTTTGCTGAATGAATAAATGAGAAAATGAAATATTTTATATGTTCATATTGGAAACAAATTCCTTTGAAGGTAAATTATATTTGATTGTATTTTAAACAAAGATACCAAATTAATAATTAACTTTTCTTTCAGGACTATCTCAAAAATGACTACAGGAGGAGGTTTTGCCGGCCTTCCAGGTGATTTTTTACAAATCTATGTAAACTTTTAAGTACATTCTAGACATAGTATCATAAAAGTGCCCAAATGAGAATACTTAGTATTTGTTAGTATCAAACAAACCTGATTTAAAAGAGTGAATATGATAGAAGTTGTAGAAAGCAAGATCAGATGAATCAAATGGATGTACTTGATATAGGCATCTACTGTAGGCTTAACTATGTTGTCTGAAGACCTTGAGAATAAGGCCAACAAGATGTATTCCCTCCTATATTTTATAAAATATCATAAAAGTTTAATGCAGGACTTGTCATAGTATGGCTAGGGTGCTTTTACACCAAGGTAGAATGAGTTGAGGAAGAGATAAAACAAATAAAGTTAAAACCTGTAGGACTTGGTGAGTAAATTATATATTTCCCCTCTGAAAATTAGAAAAGACTACTCAATCACTTGGTAACTGTCAGATGTCCTATTTTATTATCAGTTAGACTTTCTGTTTTACCATCAGTCTAGAGTGTATTGTTGACCCGTGTTTTAACACTGACTCTGCATAATTACCTTTGTCAAGTCATTTCATCTACTCAAGCCCTGTCTATAAGCCAGGGAGTAGCAAGGCTGTGTTTGTAATGGCAGTATGTATACTGATGCATATATTAAGGATAGTGTCCAGTCTAGAATTTGTAATGGCAGTCTGCCATCTGGCATTAATCTATCATTAATACTAGTTAGATTTATAAACTCAGGTCATTTGACCCATCATTTTTATGGGCGAGGGAAGGATGGTGGGAAAAAAAAAGCAGGGGGTAACAATGTTCAACAAGAAATGTACTCATTACCTTACTTATGTAACTGTAACCCCTCTGTACAGCATCTTTACGATAATATAAAATTAAAAAAAAATTTATAGTCCTGGCTACTCAGGACAATGGAAGTTCAAAGCCAGTCCAGGCAGGAAGGTTCATGAGACTCATCTCTAGTAAACCGAAAAACTGTTAGAAAATGGAAAGACTTGGAAAAAATCATATTAAGTGAAGTAAGCCAGATCCAAAGAAATATAGGTCCCATGGTTTTCCTTGTAATACAATAGTTAGTATACATCTAGGATAATCTTATCAGATGCAGAAAAGCTCAAAAGCTATATATATATGACCATATAAAATGATGCTAAGCGAAATGAACCCCAAGATGTAGACATGAGGTCTTTCTTTGTTGGTATTTTTAACATACTACGTGATTTTCTTCTGTCTCCATATTAACTGAGTTTTATAATGAATATACAGGAATTAAAGTTTTAAATATGAGGTGATTATTTGTACAGACTTTTTTCAAATAGCATTTTTTTTCTTTTAAATGGAGGATTAATTAGTGGTTGCCATGGGTTAGGCATGGAAAGGAGAGAGGAATCAAGATAGAAGTTAGAGTGAGCTAGATGTGTTTATGAAAGGGCAATAAAGGTGTTTATGATGGTCAAACTGTTTAATATCTTAACCCTGGTTGTTTTGTTAGGTGAGCTTGTAGAAATTATAAAAACTAGAGTCACAAGTCATATAGCAGTTGAGTCCCTGTAGAACAGGACAAACCTGGATGTTGGATTTTTATCGCTAGCCTCCTGGTTGCGATATTATCTTAGTTTTTCCAAATGGTCCTATTGGGGAATTGGGGAAAATGAACAGTGGATCTCTACTTTTTCCTATTAAACCAACATTTTATAATAAAGAATTCGGGAACTTTCAAGTAGGGGTAACATGACTAATGTCTTACAGAAGCTGTATGGCATACTCTCTCTTTTTTCTTATTAGGGTACCTGAAATTCATGCAAAGCAAGGCCAGGACATGTTGGAAATCTTACAAGACTGTTTTGAAGAAAAGAGTAAGGCTTTATTATTAGATAGCTTTGGGGGATATAATGAATCTAACTATACATTTGTCATGTGAATTAATATCAAATGTAACAAATATGTTCTAGGATTTATATATAAAAATTTTCATGTAATTTTGGGTATAAATATGAAATCCTTTTATATTACTGAATACTGATTAAAAACCATAATAATTTGATAGTAATTTTTTGTTGTTGTTGTTGGTTGTAGAGCTTGAACTTGGCTTGGGCACTGTCCCTGCACTCTACAGCTCAAGGCTAGTGCTTTACCACTTGAACTACAATACCACTTCCAGTTTTCTGGTGGTTAGTTGGAGATAAGAGTCTCCAAGGGCTTTCCTGACCCAGCAGGCTTTGAACCGTGATCCTCAGATCTCAGCCTTCTGAGTAGCTAGGATTACAGGCATGAGCCACCAGTGCCTGGCTTGATAGTTATTTGTTATCTTTAGTTCTCTGTTTCTTAACTATTATATATAAGAGAAAGAATTTTATATACAATTTGAGCATTTCTAATTGAAAATCCAAAATCTGAAATGTTCCAAAATCCAAACCTTTTTGAGTTTAGACATGATATTACAAGTGTAATTCCTAACTATAAACCTATTTCATGCACAAAGTATTAAACATTGTATAAAATTACGAGCAGGCAATATGTAAAAAGTATACATGGAACAAATGGATTTTGTGTTTAGACTTATCTACAAGATAAATGTGTAGAATTATTTTGGGATCATTAGCACTTGAGGTAATCTTTGAAATTACATCTATCCCTTTCTAAGGAAGTACTTAATTATGGCAAAAACTTTTCTAAGTTCTGATCATCATGAAAAGAGTGGAATAAGAGTAGGCCAGCAAAAGAAATAAAGGAGAGATTGTGAATACTGTTGTTTGAATTTGTCCCTCAAAAACATATTGGAGCGGGGAGTAAGTGGCCCACACCTGTAATCCTAGCTACTCAGAAGGCTGAGATCTGAGGATTGTAGTTCAAAGCCAGCCTGGGCAGGAAAGCCCCTGAGAATCTTATCTCCACTAAACTACCAGAAAACCTGAAGCGGCGCTGTGGCGCAAGTGGTAGAGCACTTGCTTTGAGCTGAAGAGCTGAGGGACAGTGCCCAGGCACATATATGGTTCAAGCCCCACGACAAAAAAAAAAAAGGAAATTTAATTTCTGATGCACCAAGATTAAGCAGTCAGATTTTGCGAGGCCCATTGCCAGTTACTAAAGTTCTTGAGGCTGTGAGTTCTCTGGCTCTCAGCTGCTCACAGTCTTAGCACTCTGCCTTGGTATGCCAAGAAGGTACTTGATAGATGCCAGATCTCTTAGGCTGGGGAATAGCTTAAATGGTAGAATACCTGCTAGTAAGTAAGTACAAGCTCTGAGTTCAGACCACACAATCAAAAAAAATTCATATTTTTTGTAAATCAGCAAGTCTCAAGCTTTTTTTTTTTTTGGCTGATCCTGTGGCAAGGCCTAGGTGCTGAGCATTTTTTGCTCATGGCTTGCTAACTCATATCCCAGTCTCCTGAGTAGCTAGGATTACACTCATGCCTGGGAAGTCTCAGGCATTTTCCCCCTTCCAGGGATAAACAGTCACTAGGCAAGTATTTTCACTGCATTACATCGCTATCCTTGCATGAGGTATCCTTTTAGAGTAGCACAGAAAAAGGCCAATGGAGAAAGTACTCTGAAATAAGAGCTCATATATGTTTCTTCAAGAATCTTGTTTATTTTGCTTTTAGGTTAATTGTTTAAAGGGTTTTATATATTGATGTAATATTTAACATGGTATATATTTTTATATCATATTTTAAAGTAGGTTTTTGTGTTTGTATGTGCTCATATAGAGCACATACTCAGTGCTTGGGTGCTGTTCTTTAGCTTTTTCACTCAAGGCTGGCACTCTACCACTTGAGCCACACCTCCTCCTGGCTTTTTTTTGTTGGTTAATTGGGTGGAAGAGTCTCAGATTTGTTTGCCTGGGCTGGCTTTGAACTATGGTCCTCATCTCAGCTTCTTGAGTAGTTAGAATCCTAGGCATAGCTACCAGATCCCAGTGCAACAGATTCTTTATATAGTTATTTATGCATTGTATAAAGTCACTTTCAATTCTAGCCATTGGATAATATGTAGTATTTAATTTTTAAAAATTTCTTACTTTTAGGTCTCGTCAATGATTTTATTATAAATTCTAAAGAATCCATGCATTGTTCAGCAACCAAAGTGAAAGGCAGTTATATTTGTTCACCAGGCAAAGAGGTAAGCCAAAAGAAGAATGAATATAGGTTTAAAATTTTAATAAGTGAAACTATACACAAAATACTTATGTATTTTTAGTCTTGTTCCTGAAAGAGAATACTATATTCTCATTAATTTTCTATAAACTTTGGAGGAATAGTATAAAAATCTTGATTTGATGTTACATAGGTTTAAATTGGGAGTTGAGAATTAAAATTACGAATTAATTATAGCCATCATTTTCATTATTCTACAATGATAATTGAGTTTCTACAATGATAATTAAAGTTTCTCGTTCATAAGTTTGGTTATTTTCTGAAGACAAAGGAACTATATTGCTGTACTAGAAAACCAATCTTTCATTGTATATATCTTAAAAGAATGTTGATTTAAAAAGATTTTGTATACATTTGTATACAAAAGAGTAAATTTTCAATGAATTCTTTTTTTTTTAGTGCTGAGTTTGAACCCAGGGCCTTACACATACTAAGCACCCAGTCTATGACTGGCTGTATTTCTAGCTACAAAGTATTCAAAGCTAATGATACAGAGACAAATTATTTAAATGTAGAAATGTTTATTAGAAAAGTCATGTAGAGCTAGCAATAATATTTACTAAAAACTTGTAAATATGTAGTTACCATACGATATGCACATATGTGCATGAGTATGTGTTGTTTGTGTGTATGCCCACATATGTATTATGTGTCTCCAAGGAATGAAGAATGCCATTTCTTTCAGAATTGAAAGAACTATAATGTGATCAATTCATTTCTGGGATAATCTGACCTGATCATAAAGTATTAACTTTTCTGATGTGGTTGCTAATATTTAAGATATATACATCCATATTCATTCACAATATTTTCTCTGTTTCTTGAAGTATATCATAGGTATTTAGTACCAGTGTTTTGAGAGAAGTTCATAGGCCAGAAACACTCCTGATGTAACAGTTTGAGACATTGAGCTAAAGACTATCCACATATATAATTTTCTTCACTTGTGAGGCAAAATTTCTCTGTGAACCCTAATCTTAGTGTCCCCTAACTTGTAGAAATTTCCTACTCTTACTGGCAGCATAGGCATTACTCTATGTGACTAAGAGAATTATTTCCCCATAGACTTAATTTTAGCCCTTCTCTGGCTTCCCATGGTTTTCTCTTACATATACTCTGATCAGTATATATTGAGTGCTTGAGAGAAAGGTCTACATCTCTTTGGAGTTTTTCACTTTGTGGTGTTCTCTGTTGTTCTATGCTTTACCCTGTAAATTCTGACCTTCCTAGATCCTCAGCTTTGCTTTCTCACCTGAGTGTTTGCCCTTCCTGTGTAGACTGATCAAGTAGTTTCTTAAGGCCTGTATTGTGAAATACAGACTTTATTCTATACTTTCCTAAGTTTTGACTTTTTGGCTTTTAGCTATTTCTTCTACCCTTTCATTATTTTTTTTTTGTCAGTCATGCGGCTTGAACTCTGGGCCTGGGCGCTGTCTCTCAGCTCTTCAGCTCAAGGTTAGTACTCTACCTTTTAAGCTACAGCGCCACTTCTGGTTTTCTGGTGGTTTATTGGAGATAAGGACTTTCATGCCTAGGCTGGCTTTGAACCGCAATCCTCAGATCTCAGCCTCCTGCAGTTAGTATTACAGGCATGAGCCACCAGCACCCGGCCCTGAACTCTTTTACCCAAGGCTTAGTGCCCTATCACTTTGAGCCACAGATCCACTTCTGGTTTTTGAGTGGAGGTAAGAGTCTCACGGGACTTCTTTGCCTGAGATGGCTCTGAACTGTGATCCTCGGATCTCATTCTCTTGAGTAGGTAGGATTATAGGCATAAGCCACCAGCACCCAACTTCTTCTACCTATTTTGCTTTTGTGTTTCTAATTCTATTTGTATTTGATTTTTTTTCAGTCTTATTACCTGTTGGCTCTCTTATATGGGGGTTTATATATATATACACACACACACACATATATATATATATATATATATATACACACATATATGTATGTATATATATAGGTATATGTTATATAGTATATTATATATTTATGTATAATTTATATATAAACATATATATATTTGTGTATGTATATATGTGTATTTATATATGTGTGTATATATAACTATCAAAGTTTATTAATCTCCTATTATACTTAGTGTATACTACCAGCTAAAAATGTGTTTAATCAGAAGTGATAATAGAGTTAATAAATTTCTTAATACCCAGAGCGAGACACCACATCCAAAGTCAATTCCAGTTTCCTCAAGGAAGAAAGAAGCCTCTCTTCAAGGTATTGTAGAACCAACCGAAGCTGTCAGTAGACCAGGTTGGTAGTATTTTCAAATGTATTGTCTAGATGTAATTTTTTTTGCTGGTCCTTAGACTTGAACTCTGCCTGGACGTTGTCCTTGAGCCTCTTTGTGCTCAAGGCTAGTGCTCTATCACTTGTGCCACAGTGCCACTTCCAACTTGTTTTTGAGTAGTTCATTGGAGATAGGAGTCTCACAGGCTTTTCTGCCTAAGCTGGCTTCAAACCACGTCCTCATCAGATCTCAGCTTTCTGGGTAGCTAGAATTACAGGCACCTGGTTTCTAGATGTAATTTAAAAAGTTAAAACTGATTATGGTGGTTCAGGTAGCAAAATCATGGCCAGCCTAAGGAGAATTTAATGAAAATATATTTTGATTTTCAAGTTCATAGTTAATGTTTTTTTCCTTTTTCCATTTTCTGCATTCCTTTAGTCAATGATATGTGTTACTTTATCTTTTCCAATTAGAAGGATTCCATTTGAAAGTAGTAGAGTCAGAAATTCAAAAGGAGAATCTAATCATTGTCTGCATAATCCTGTTCCTTAGTGCTCATAAGTGAAAACATATGCATATAAATATAAGGATTGATATGTTTATATATATATATATGTATATATATATATATATATATATATATTTAAGTCCGGAATTTGTGACATTTTTCCAAATTAAAACAACACTATTAAATTTTGTTTTTTAATTTTTTATACTGAATACTTTGTATCTCAACTGATAAATATGTGATTTTGTATCACAAAGTTTCCTATTTTGGTTAAAAATCTTCTTTACCCTAATGTTATATGTAAAAACTTAAGCTTTCTTCTTTTATTTTTGGGTCCGGTTGTGGGACCTGAACTCTGGGCCTGGGTGCTGTCCCTCAGCTCTTCAGCTCAAGGCTAGCACTCTACCCCTTGAGCCACAGTGCCACTTCCGGCTTTTTTCCTTTTGCTTATGTGGTGCTGAGGAATCAAACCCAGGGCCTCAGGCATGCAAGGCAAACGCTCTACCACTGAGCCACCTTTCCCAGCCCTCGAGCTTTCTTCTTTGTATCTTTTTTTCCCCCTCAGCCTTTAGTCTATTTGAGTGTTGGTATATAATGTATGTAAATCTTCCAAATTTTTCTTTAGATGGTTTATTAGATCTGTTCATTATCTTAGTAATATGGTCTCCTTTAAATGTACTATTTTTACTATGTATTGAATATCATATAATTTAATATGCTTATAAATTTTGGTCAGTTTGTTTCTCCCTGTGTCGGTACAATGTTGTTATGCTGCAGATATTCAGTACTTATGTAAAAGTAACTAATCTATTCTCATACGTAGGAAAATACCAGATTTATAGCTTCAGTGGCTGGTAAGGTGGTTCAGTGGTAGAGTGCTTGCCCTGCATGCATGAGGCCCTGGGTTTGATTGCTCAGCACCACATAAGCAGAAAACGTTGGAAGTGGTGCTGTGGCTTAAGTGGTAGATCACTAGTCTTAAGCTGAAAAGCTGAGGGACAGCATCCAGGCCCAGAGTTCAGGCTTCACAACTGACACCAAAAAAAAAAAAATATAAAAAAGATTTGAGCTTCAATATTTAAAGAGCTACTCTCACTTTACAACTAAAAAAAGAAATAATTGAAAAATGGGCAAAGGACTTGACTAAACATTTCTCCAAAGGAGATGTATCAGTGTTAATGAACTTCAGAAAAGATGCTCAAAAATCATCCTGCATAAAAGAAATACAAATCAAGAAACCAGTGGTATTTCACTTTTTGCTCACTGGGATAACTGATACCTGGAAACAGGGAAACATAACAAATTGCTGAGGATGTGGATACATCAAAACTCTCATGCAATTTTTGGTGAGAACGTGACATTGTTAGCCACTATGAAAAATCAGTTTAGCAATGTTAAACATAGGACCCAGAATTCTATTTTTTAGTATATACTCAAAAGAATTAAAAGAAAAGAGTTAGACACTTGAATAGTAATGTTAATAGGATCTTCATTCACAATACCCTAAAGGTGGAGACAACTCAAATGTCCCTCAACCAATGGTATATACAGAAAATACAGTATTCAATTCTAGCAAGTAATGAAGTTCTGACCCATGCCTTCACATGTTGCAGGCCTCGCAGGTGTTCAGCCCAGGAATGTAGGAAATGAAGAGAAAACCCAATAGATCACATTGCCTGTTCCTCTTAAGTCTTGAGCTTTCTGGCTAGTCTCCTTTCTTCCTTCCAGCTTTCAGAGCCTTATGATTGTTGATTGATAGGTAATTTCTTAGAAAATTATTTGTACTCAGAGGAACAAGCAAGGAAATGACATTTCATTTAAGAACCCATGCCCTCTTTTTGGTTCATTTAATATTAATAGTCTGCTTTTTAAATGTATAAATTAATATGAATATCTTGCCATTCTTTTTTTTTGACACTTGATACTTTAAGACTTAGGCTTAAGAGAATATATAAGCACATAAATATATATTTTGCTTAGATATACATGTATTAGTACATACATGTATGTATGTGTATATACATATATATGCATATATATCAACTCTATCTGTGTATATTTGTATTTATATAGCTACCCTACTTACCAGTTCTTAGCCTAAACATAGATGAATCTCATGATTTCTTTATTTTCTTCATTCTAGCAATGTACAAATTTATTCCCATCTCAAGACTGTCAGTATGTTTATGGGATTTCTGTAGTCAAGGATTTCTGTCTTTCTAAAACTTAAGTTAACATAGACCAAATGCATGTTTATTGGTTTGATTGATTAGAACTTTAAAAGCATATATGTATTTTAATCATAGATCTTTGATTCTAAATGTAGTAGCCTGAAAGCTACTTCTGATTAAATTATTGCTGAATTTTATAAAACTGATCTTGATATTTTTATAATTGACAATATCTATATAATTTTCTAGTTCATGTGCATGAAGTTCAGAAAACGTTGGCAGCTGATGTTGGTTCTAAAAATACACCTGACTCAAAAAAGAAGTCAAGTAAGAAACTAAGTGGTCATTACAGTAAAGCTAATGAAGAATTTTATATATCTGTTGGTTCACCTGTTGTTCTTTTGGATGGAAAAACATCTACAGTGCAAAGTGCTATTCCATCTGCTAACCAAAAGAAAGAGACTTACAATTTTAGAAATTCAGCAAATAGGCCGTCTTCAAGTACAGAAATTTCTCTTAAAACCAAAAAAAGGTAATTTCAATAGTAATAATCCTACTTTAATTTTCACCATATATATATATATATATATATATATATATTTTCACCTTTTATATAGTTAACTCAGTCTTTTAATTTAGTTTGTAGAAGATTAAGGTATAAATGTAAGAAAAATACACTGGGTATATTTTCAGTTTTTAATTGGTAAGGGGGGCTTTAAAGTATACTTCTGAGAAGTTAGAGGGTTATATTTTCTATAGTCTGGGAAATTTATTTCCTTTATGAGAGTTGTTTTCCATAATTTCTTAAATGAAATAATTAGTATTTTCATTATTATTTGTAATAGAAAGGAGGGATCAATATTTGAGGGTAGAAAAATACAAATGAGTTGTAAATCTGGTTCTGTTGTTTAAAACTTTTTTTTTTTTCTGTCAGTGGTGGGTCTTGAACTCAACCTGGGTGCTGTCCCTCAGCCCTTCAGCTCAAGGCTAGCACTCTACCACTTGAGCCACAGTACCATTTCTGGTGGTTTATTGGAGATAAGAGTCTTACGGACTTCCTTGCCTGGGCTGGCTTTGAACCGTGATCCACAGATCTCAGCCTCCTGAGTAGCTAGAATTACAGGCGTGGGCCACTGGTGCCCAACAATGTAGATACTTTTGTATTGGAGACCTTGGAAATAAAGATCATTTTTGTCTTATAAATCCATGATCAAGGAGTTAAGTATATTTTTTATAAGTGGTCTATGTAGTCACTGTCAAAGAGTAAGGAATAACCATAACTCAACACACCATGGGAACATTTAGTTTGTCTTGCTTTTAACTTTTCAGGTTAACCTTTGAAGGTAAAGATATGAAAAATGTAGAAGTAGAGAATAAAGTACCAGAAGCAACAGATAAAATTTCAGAAGGACAACAAGAAAGGAACTCAGCAGAAACACCTCAGACAGAAAGACAAGATTTAAAAAATGAAATTCAGCCACAGGCTAAGAAGAGTTTTTCAACATTGTTTTTAGAAACTGTAAGGAAAAAAAGTGAATCTAGGTGAGTTACCAGGAAAATGTCTTTGAGATATTTGTTTTTTTTTTTTTATCTATGAATGACATCCAAGGATTACTAGTATTATTTAACTTAGAAATCTTTTCATTGACAGACATACTCTTCCTGACCTATAAAGAGGGATAATCTAGTAAACCACCCCACAAAGCCACCCTTTAATTGATATTAAATTAGAAATGAAAGAAAATAAGCTCAGGAATGTTTTCTAGTTTGTGATACCAAGAAATAAAAGCATTATGTTGAAATAAGGTTATGTCATTGTTATCGTATTAGTGCCACCATTCATTCATCTTTGTGCAACAATCCTGGCTGCACAGTTAACTAGAATTAATGGCAGAGAGGGTTATGAGCAAATTATTGGTATAACAAGCTTTAGCTTTGTCAGCTTTCACTTTCCTTAGGCACCAGTTTTTTTTTTTAATTTAATTTTATTTTATTTGTGAACATACTGTACAGAGGGGTTACAATTGCATGGGCAGGATAATGCCTACATTTCTTACCAAGCATTGCAGCCTCCTCCTTTGTTTACCCTTCACATCACTTCCCAGCCTCTCCCCTCCCCCCACCAGTTTCTTCCTACTTGGACATTTGCATGTCTGCTTTGGAAAACATTTTCCCCTTGTCATCTGTGAGCCATCATTCTTTTTTAAGGTCTGTAATCAGTTTCTAGTCTTTTTCAAGTTTCTCTTCAGTGTTCTAAAAGTATTTTATTGCCTTACAGTTTTGCTTTCTTTTTTATTTCTAATTTAAGACTTAAGGGAAGTACTTCTCTCAAGGAGTTCTTATATATTTTCTGTGATATTTGTTACAGTGTAAACATACTAGGGTGTTTCTGTAAAACCATGTTGAATGAATGGATGCAATTCTTTTGTCTCAGTTCCCATAGTTAATTTCTCATAGTTATTTTTTTATGTGTGGTTTTCTTTTCCTGTGTAGGTCCTGGAACTTAAGCCACAGCTCCATTTCCAGCTTTTTGATAGTTAATTGGAATAAAAGTCTCACAGGCTTTCCTGCCCATGCTTACCTTTAACCATTATTCTTAGATCTCAGCCTTCTGAGTAGCTAGGAGTACACGTGTGAGCCATTGGTGTCTGCTTCTCATAGTTCTTAAGAATTGATTATACCATATCTGAAGTTACTAGATATTTAATTTTTTTTTTTTTTTTGTCAGTCATGGGGCTTGAATTCTGGGCCTGGGCGCTGTCCCTCATCTCCTCAGCTCAGGCAGGTGCTCTTCTGCTTGAGCCACAGCTCCACTTCCGGTTTTCTAGTGGTTTATTGGAGATAAGAGTCTCATGGAGTTTTCTGCCCATGCTGGCTTTGAACCGCAATCCTCAGATCTCAGCTTTCTGAGTAGCTAGGATTACAGACATGAGCCACTGGCACCCGGCTGTTTTTAATTTTTTTATAAACTAGTGAATAAAATTAATGTGTGATATTTTATTACTATAGCCATATGTAGCAATAAATGATTTCATATGCTTTGTAGCATGATTGCTTTCGTTTGCTTATTTTCTTTTTACTTACGTCTCTTGCATTTTCTCAGAAACAACTTTTATTCCATGTAGCTCAGATATTATGAGATGTTTGCTTGTTTTTTATTTAAGTAGTTGACAAAAGGAGTTTCAGTTCAACATGTCAGTTTGTGAGTACAGTTCATCTTGATCAGTGTCACCCTTTTCATCATCCTCACAAGGCCTTTTTCTGTTGTGCCTATCCAGAAATGTTCTTTTTTCTTTTTTTTTCTTTTTTTTAATTTATTTTTTTGTTGGTCGTGGGGCTTGGACTCTGGGCCTGGGCGCTGTCCTTCAGCTCTTCAACTCAAGGCGAGCGCTCTACCACTTGAGCCACAGTGCCACTTCCAGCTTTTTCTACTTATGTGGTACTGAGGAATCGAACCTAGTGCCTTATGCATGCAAGGCAAGCACTCTACCACTGAGCCACCTTCCCAGCCCTCTTTTTTCTTTTTCTATTCTGAACAGATTTAGAGAGTTCTTGTTCTTTTGTTGGAGATAGCATCATTTAAAAATTAATATTGATTCCTTGGTATAAATTAATACAAATAATATGAACAAAAGCAAATTAGATTTATTTGTAACTATTTTGCTATTTCTTTTTTTCCAGTCCTAGGGCTTGAATTTAGGGCCTGGGCGCTGTCCCTTAGGTTTTTTGCTCAAAGCTAGCACTCTACCACTTGACCCACAGCAGCACTTCTGGCTTTTTCTGTTTATGTGGTACTGAGGAATCAAACCCAGAGCTTCATGCATGCCAGGCAAGCACTCTACCACTAAACCACATTCCCAGTCCTGTTGCTATTTCTTTAAATGTTGAAAATAATGTATCATCAGTAAGCATTCATTTTTGTTGTATATTAGATTTTAATTATGTTTCTTTTTTCTGCCAGTCCTGTGCCTTGAACTCACTGCCTGGGTGCTGTCCCTGATCCTGTGTATGCTAGGCTAATGCTCTATCACCTGAACAATAGCGCCACTTCCGGCCTTTTCTGAGTAGTTTATTGGAGATAAGAATCTTATGAATTTTTCTGCCCAGGATGGCTTTACACCAGGATCCTCAGATCTCATCCATCTGAGTAGCTAGGATTACAGGCATGAGCTACTGGCACCTGGCTCTGGATTTCACTTTTCTAAAATAAAATCGCAAAATTATAGAAAGTTGCACTTATTAGAATATAGTCTATTTTGTAGTATATTTACTACTTTTTATGGTAAGATTTATCAAGAGTTTGAGACCAGAGAAGTAAAAAAGGCATTTTCATCTCCAAATCGTTTTATAATACACAGTATCCTTTCTCTTCATACATAAAGATTAAAATATTTCTCTTCTACCATTGCTTATATTCTGACTAAACTAATTATCTTTCTTTACCTAAATGGAAAAGGTAGAGCTATTATATATATACTAGTTGGAATTTTTATGTTTGTCTTACTTTTTGATTTGTGTATCTCATTGCAATATGTGGTTTAAACATGTCAAAAAAACCCAAGGAAATGAAAATGGAAAATGAGTGTGTTACCATAATTCTGTCTTCAGGAAACTTTTCTATCTAATTAGAGCAGTACTGGTTAATACCAGCGCACTAGTCTTGTTTCTACATCAGTAATCATGTGAATTGTTTTGTATGTACTTAACATGTACATGGTTTTATGACTATCTGAGAATTAGAGTTAGTGTCATTGTAGATTGCAGGATTAGAGTTAAAATTCAGATCCCAAAAGGCATCTATACAAAGAGATTATTTAATATTACGAGAGTAGCCTTTATTTCATTTTTTTCTTTCATTAGTTGTGGGGCTGGAACTCTGGGCCTGGGTACTATCCTTTGACTCTTCAGTTTAAGAGAGTGCTCTATACCTTGAGCCACAGAACCACTTCAGGTTTTCTGAGTGGTTTATTGGAGATAAGAGTCTCATGGAATTTCCTGCCTGTGCTGGCTTTGAACCATGATACTCAGATCTCAGCCTCCTGAGCAGCTAGGATTACAGGCATGAACCACCTATACCTGGCTTTCATTTCATTTTTATACTTACACATTTATGGGTTCTAAGTTTTGGAGAGGGCCCAGTTTTAAAAAATTCTGTGAACCTATTAATGTTATAAATGACAGTGATCAGATAAAAAAGGTGAAGATTAACAAGATTAAGGAAAATTTCAAAGACCTTTGAATTTCTCTTTTACAGAAAATACAGATTTTATTTCCTCTATAGGGTATTTTCTTTACTTTCAAAGGTGGAACTTTGTTTTTTAATCTGTTAAAATAATATCTTGTTTTAGTCCCATTGTTAGGCATCCAGTAACTACTCCACCTCCTTCATCTCCAAGTGATAAGACGTTATTAGAGGATGAATTTGTAATTGATGACTCAGATAAAAGTTTGGCCAGTCCATCTTGGATTACAATACCAAGAAAGGGTGCACCTCTGAAACATCACACAATATCTCCAAATGAGAACTCTTCACTCATTCAGGATAACAAGTCAAGAGGAAAACAAAAGAGTATATTACCTAAGACTTTGACAAGCGACAGACATTCTCGTAAAGCTCCCTCAGTAGAGAAATCTCAGCCCTCTGGTGAAAAAATACTGGGAACGAGTTATACCTTGATAGATGAATTAGAAGATAATCATGCATCTATGAGATATAAAATGTGTTCTAAAAATGTTGAAAAACATCCTAGTAGCAAAAAGACTATAAAACAGAAAGAGAGAAGATCATTAAAGGCCAGCGTGGTTGAAGAACAATGTGATATGGGACAGTGTGAAGATGAAAATAGAAACATGTCACATATTGCCCAAGACAAGTTAAAGAGAAACTCAGGAAGAAATACGGAAGATTGTGAAGAGACAAAAAATGATCACATTTCTGAAAAACAGACATTACCTGTGGGTAAGTGTTTATATTAAATGTTACTGTGAATATTATTCGACTGTTTATCTTTGGGAAGTATGGAAACCAAACCTGTGTTTACAAAATGCCTCAAAACCTAATAGATTGTTTTCTTTTTGTTTTACATATAGTTCAATTCCAACTCATTTGGTTTTTGTTTAGTTTCTAAGATAGCAACATACATGGAGACATGAAAGAGAAAGATGAATAAAATGGTTAGTAAGACAGGACTTCTGTTGCTAACTAGATCATTTTAGTGGGGTGTATAGACAGATAAATGTACAAGATGAAATAGGAGCGGATAGTTTTTATATCTTTGTATTCTGTTTTAAAATGTAGAAAGTCACCTTTTATTTTCAGAAGCTTTTGTATCTACCTTGTCCCATATTTTTAAAAATTAATTCTACTATTTATTACTTACTTTTACTCTTTTTAGTTCCTATTGGCCATTTTAAGAAAATCTAAAGAATTAGACTAATCTGAGAGTGATAGTGGCAAAAGTTTTTCCTACTACTTTCTTACATGACATATGAACTCACAATGTTTAAAGGCAAATTTTGATTCATAATTTCTTATAAAAAGACCTATGAAGGATTTTATGCCTTAAAGATACTTATACTTGAATGTTGTTAATAAGTATGAAACATTTATTGAGTACCTGCTATATACCACATATCAACTTCCTTCCTTCCTTCCTTCCTCCCTTCCTTCTCTCTCCATCTTTTCCTCCTACCTCCTGGTACTGGGATTTGGATTCAGGGCCGGCACTTGCTAGTTGCTCTATCATTTAAGCCATGATTTCAGGCCCTCTTCCCCCCTTTTTTTTTTTAACCTTGGCTTGCTTTTTGCCTGGTTTGAGTTGTGGACCATAATCCTCCTACCTCTTCCTCTTTAGATTTCAGATATACATCTTTGTTTTGTTTTGGCAGAGCTGGGGTTTCAACTAAGGGCCTTGCTCTTTCTAGGCAGATACTTTACCACTAACTCCTTTTGCTTTAGTTATTTTTCAAATAGCATATCCCATTTATTCCAGGGATGGCCCGGACTGGAATGCAGGTACTTACAACCAGACTCAGCTTAGTGGTTGAGATGGGAACTTAGGAGAGGTCAGAAGTTTCACAGCACTGACAGTGGTTGTAGTCTATTCTGGTGGCTCTACTAGAGAATCCTTTTTTCTTTTCCAGACTTTTGAGCCACCTGTGTCCCTTGCCTGATGGTCCTCTATCATGAAAGCCAAACATGCCAGCCTTCTCACATTTTTAATTTCTTTTGCCTCTTCTATCATTCCATTTCTCCCTAACTTTTAAGGGGATACATGCAGTTTTAAGGACCCATAGATTGGGCCAATCTGGATAACCCAAAATAATCTCATTTCAGAGTTTATAATATAATCACATTTATCCTTTTCCAAATATTAGATTGCTGAAAATTATTTCAAAACAAAAAGCAGTAATGCTGTATTTTAACTGATGTCATTGGTAAATAGTAAAAAGAAACATTTTTTTTTCTTGCTGAAGATATTTAAAACTTGAATATTTTAGAGTTATCAAGTAGTGTATAAAGTTTGCATTTAGTTGGCAGAAATTTAGAGGGGTTGTGTTGAAAATGTGACCTAAAAAAAAAAAAAGAAAGGGAAAGAAAACCAGGCATGGTGGCACAAGGCTCTAATCCTAGGTAGTTGGGAAGTAAACTGGAAGATTGCAGTCAAGCCCACCAAGGCAAAAGAAGTTTGTGAAACTCCATCTCAAACAATGGCTGGATGAGGTATTGTTCTTCTACATCCCCCCAGCTATGCAGAAAAACACAAGTAGGAGGAATGAAGTGCAGGCGTAGGCAGAGTGATCCCTTCCTCAAAATTAAACAGGAGAGAAAGGTGTTAGAAGTATTGCTAACAAAGGCCTTGAGTTCAGCCCCCAGTACTGAAAAAAACATAACAAAACAAAAACCCAAAATAAATTCCCAGAAAATAAATGTAAAAAATTCCTAATATTGATAGTTTTATTATTTTTTTGTCTGTCATGATTGTCTGAAAACTCATACAGATTTAGGATTGTTTTTATGGTTTCCTTTATTTAAGGGAGCAAGAAAAAAAAAGGGTGCACCAAAAAAGATAAAGAAGTAACAGAAAAGAAAGTTAATTCCAAAGGGTCCAAGAACAAATTTGTTCCTGAAGAAGTGACCTTTAATATCACAAGAAGTCGAAGACTTTCCAGACGTCCATCTAATTGGTGGGTGGTAAAATCAGAGGAGAGTAAGTATTTTTTTTAAAATTTATTATTTTTAAGTGGTTGTACAAAGAAGTTCCCATTTTGTAAAACAGTATATGAATACAAAGTGTCTAATAAGATTGTCACTCATTGTTCCTAACCCACCTCTTCTCTCCCTTTTCTTTTCTTTTTTTTAATCGAGATTAGGTGATTACATAAATTTCACATATTTCACAGTATTGCGTGGAATAGTGATACTTTGTTAAAGTCACAAACACATTTTAACCTTCACAAGGCAAATTGCTATTTTCATGGTCTATAACGTTTGTGAATTCTATGAGCTTTGACAATACAATTATTTCTTCCACATCAGGTGATATTTACATTTTTATTTAAATTATGTTCTTTGAGAGGTGCAAAGTATTTTCTATAAAGGATTTTATGTGTAGCTTTATATTTCTGTTATATAGGAAAATCTTGATAGGACAAAATTAAATTGGATTATCAATAGAAATAGTAAGGCAATTGAAGGAAGATTCTTTGATATTCCAACATATACAGTGTTCTAGATATGGAGATATGCTATGAAAAAACAAAGCTACAAACTGAAAGTTCTTGTGAAGTTTACATTGTAGTTGGAGAAGACTAGAGATTAATAATTCATAAAGGATGATAAGAAAAAATAAAACACAAGGATAGAGGTGGAGGAAGGAGATTACAAAGATGGGAGTAGATAAGAAGCTAGAATTAGATACTGTTTTTATAAATGTACTCATAAGTACGACTTTTGAAAGCCAATATATGAATAAAAAGAAAGCAATAACTGAGGGAATGGAACATTGCAAGTGAAGGGGGATAGTATTTATAATAGTCTTGATGGAATGTGTTTGGCAAGCTGAATAATATCAAGACCACCAGTGTGGTTGGAGCAGATTGAACTAGAGTAAAGTCAGACAAGCCATGATAAAAAGAGATTAGATTAAATGTATTTAGAAGTACTGGCAGATTTAAATAGCCAAGTGACATAATTGAGTCATCTCTTGATGGATCATTCTTTTTTTTTTTTAATGTTTTTTATACTGTACAGAGGGGTTACAGTTACATGAGCAAGGTAATGGATACATTTCTTATCATTGTTGCCTCCTCCTTTGTTTTTCCCCTACCATCCCTTTCCTCCCACCTCCTCCACTACCCCTGCCTGCGCATCCCCCCCTTGCCTAAATTGTAAGGTTCATTTTTCAGCATAGCATCTTGTAGTGGGTCAACCTGTATCCCTATTTAAACAATTGTTTTTTTCCCTTCCCCTCCCAAAATTATACCAGTATCAAATACAGTGAAAACAGGGGTTATACTGTGGGGGAGGGGATGGATCATTCTTAACTGCTACAAAGGAAAGATGAAAGCCTAAAAAAGAAAGTGTGGTGTATTCAGCAGATTGTGGAGGAAGAAGCTGAGAATTGTTAGTTTCAGGATTTTTGGATTTTTCTTTGAGAAAGTCTTACTTCATAGCTTAGGCTTAAATTATGATCTGCCTCTTCATCTCATAGAACATACCTGGAATTTCTGGTATGTTCTATACCTGGGTAGGATTTAGGATGGTTTTTGAAGGCAACCAGAGGAAGTACTAGTGGATTAGAAGGGCAAGAGCCTACAATTACTCATAGCCTTTTACTTCTCTTCCCTTTTTTCCTGAACAAATATAAGAATGAAATTATTTAGTGAGATAAAGATATACCAGAAGAATATTTAGGAAGGATTTCAAAATTTCAGTTTTTATTTCTTAATTTCAAAGTATATTGAGAAGATTTTTAGATCACTAAGTGAGTACTTGCCATGAATTTAAATCCAAACATTCTTGATTGACATCAGCAAGTATTACTTCATTGTCTGCAGTACTTCTTGATCTTTGTATCTATCTATATATCCGTCTGTATGTCTATTTGTATTTAATTTGGGGGCAGTTTTGGAGTTTGATTTCAGCCTCACTTGCTATGCAGGTACTCTTGAGCCACTTGAGCTACATGTCTCTCCCTTTTTGTTTTAGATTGTTTTTCAAATAGTGTCTCAGTTTTTGCTTAGAGCTGGCCTGAGACCAAGGTCATCAGATGTAACCTCATGCTTAACTCCAACAACAGGTCTATGTCCCTGTGCTCAACTTGTTTTGTTGAGATATATGTGTTCCTGACTTTTTTACCCTAGATGGCAGCCTCAACCATGGGCCTCCCAATCTCTACCTCCCAATTAGTTGGAATTACAAGTGTGAGCCACTGGCATCTGGCTGATGTGGTCCTTAATGGTCTAAGGATTGCCTTTATAGAGAACCAGTGCTTTAGAGGACCTGTAATAGTTAATACTTTTCTTAGTTTGAAAGAAGGTGTTGAGAGTTATGATTAATGAAATAAGTGAATTCTAGATGTTGAGGTATTTTAGACTTAATTGTGAAGCTATAGATATTGAAAGTTTTTTTTTGTTTTTGAATTAGGTTCTTAATATTGCTAAGGCTGATTTCAGGTTTGTAAATTCAAGTGATCACAGGCTACAGTGTCTTGGCTTCTCTCTTTTTTTTTTTTTGGGTCCGGTCATGGGGCCTGTACTCTGGGCCTGGGCACTGTCCCTCAGCTCTTCAGCTCAAGGCTAGCGCTCTACCACTTGAGCCACAGCGCCACTTCCGGCTTTTTTCTTTTTGCTTATGTGGTGCTGAGGAATCGAACCCAGGGCCTCATGCATGCAAGGCAAGTGCTCTACCACTGAGCCACCTTCCCAGCCTTCTTGGCTTCTCACTACATGATTTTAAAGCAGAATTGTAATGATTCAAGTTTCATTTTCCAAAGATGATATTATTAAAGTACAATTGAAGTACAATGAAGAATGAGTTAATAGTGATACAGAAATGGTTAGGAAACTGTTTTAATAATCCAGAAATGAAATGCTGACCTTTTCTGATGACACACAGGAGAACTTCAAATAATCAGATTTAAAATCCATTAAGAGACTAGTGCTAACAATTTAAGAATTGATTGTAAATATGGGTGAGAGTCCTTTGATGACTCAGATTTGTGATTTAGGAAACTGGATACTTTGTTAAGATAGGAAACAGATTTAGAGAAGAATAATTGTTAAGTTTTATGATATCAACATACAGATATTTATTAAAACTAAAGCATTATTCCAAAGAAAGGTCACAGAGTAAAAAAATCTGAGCTGGAACTTTGAGGAGTAACAGATATTAAGGATGGTCAGAAGAAAGAGTATGAGCAGAGCTAGAGACTGTTATTTAGGAAGCTTGTGAAGGATCTAGGATCAAATGTGGAAACATATTGAGTCTGTGAGAGTGTTCTGGGGATAAGTGGTTACATGTAAATGTGATGATGGTAGTTCATTGAGCTAGATCATCTTGACAAATATTTTAATAACTTCAAATTATCATTGAATCTTTTAGGTCCCATTCATGGAAATTCTCCAGTAAGAAATGAATTATCACTGAATTACAGCAGTAGACAAAAACCTGCTAAAAAAAATCAGTCATCTAAAAATGTTGGTAAAAAACCTGTTTCATCAAAAAAGCAGAAGAAATCTACTCAAGGAACCTCAAAAGTACAGAAGTCTTTAAAGATTAAAGATTCTGGAGGCCATGATGAAATTTCTGGTTCTTCTCAAGATGAGCCATTGGAAACTGACAAGGCAGAACTGGCTAAGAAGAAAAATCTTGATTGCCCTGGGTAGTTACTTTTGTCTGTTATTTAATCATTTACAACAGAGTATAAGAACACTTTTTTCTATAGAGCTACTATTATATTAATGCATCCTCTGCCATATATATATATATATTATTAATATATTTTTATTGTGAAAATACTGTACAGAGGGGTTACAATTACATGGGTAAGATAATGAGCACATTTCTTATCAAGCATTGTAGCCTCCTGCTTTGTTTCCCCTTCCCATCCCTTTGTATCCTCCCCCCCCCAGCATCTCCTCCCCCTCCAAGTTGTAAAGTTCATTTTTAGACATAACGACTTGTACATCTCATTGTTGCAATGGGTCCTCCTGTATCCCTGTTTTAACAATTTGTTTTTTCCCTTCCCCTCCACATATACCAACATATATAGTGAGCTCTGCCATATATTGAGTGACACTTCATCAAAGTGCTGCTCTGAACTTAATTTCTCTGTTTAAAATGGGGAACAATTAATAGCACGTAGAATTGAGTGTTGTATTTTAATAGGGTATTGTTACCTCAGAGTTACTTTTTTTTTTTTTGGTCCCATCGTGGGGCCTGAACTCTGGGCCTGGACACTGTCCCTCAGCTCTTCAGCTCAAGGCTAGCGCTCTACCACTTGACCCACTGCACCACTTCTGGTGTTTTCTGCTTATGTGGTGCTGAGGAATCAAACCCAGGGCCTCAATACATGCAAGGCAAGCACTCTACCACTGAGCCATCTCCCCAGCCCCAAGTTGCTTCTTTTTAAAAAAAAATATAAAAAATGCATGATATAAAATTTATTCAGCACCCAAGCCCAGAGATCAAGCCTCAGGACTGGGGGGAAAAAATAATTGTCTTAATAACTTTTATGTGTAGAGCTGTCTGTTCTCCCAGCTTTTTTTGTTTCAGTTCTTTTTTATAGAGGGTCTAGTGTTTTTGCTAGAGCATATAAAACCTTATACTGTTATCTTACCTACACCCTCCTATATACCTAGAATTGTAGGTACATGCTACATTTCCCATCATTGTTGAGATGGGGGTCTCACTAACTTTTTTCCCGGGCTGCCTTCCAACCAGGATCCTGCTGACATCTGACTTATAAATAGTTGGGCTTATACATGAGACATTCTGCTTGGTTCAGTTTTTGAGTTCTTATAATATGCCAGGTATTTGCTAAATGATAGATGCTTTTAGTGAATTCTTATTAGTCTTATCCTTATTAAGTACTGTTTTATATTTTCTTGCTTTTTGCTATAACATGCATTCAACAAATATTTTATACCTGGTATGCTAGAAATATACTGAAATACTCTGGAAAGCAGTATGGAGGTTCCTCAAAAGATTACACATAGAGCTCTTCCATGAAGTAAGCCAGACCCAAAGAAACATAGGTTCCATGGTTTCCCTTATTTGTAATAATTAGTATACATCAAGGATAATCTTTGCAGACGAACAGAATAGCTCATTAGCTATGTGCATATGACCATATAAGATGATGCTAAGCGATGATGCTTGATTTGATGGAGCTTGTCGACAAGAATATCTGTTTATATAGAAGTCTGCTATGCTCTGGTATCAAATATAAGTAAATCTCTGCTTCATAAAATCTCCACAGGAACCCTGTTTTGAAAATAATGTCACTATAAAGTGAGTCATCTGCAAAAATATGAACATAAAAATAAAATTATATAGCAATTCCTATTGCTATATGATTTTGAAAGAGAAATAGTGATAAATGAAATCATAGTTTAATGTTCACTTTACATCACACACATCCACATACACACTGTACACCCTTAATGAACTACTGACTTAAATAGAGGAATATGTTTTAAACAAACAAGGCAAAAAGTCTTACTTTTGTGTCTGAAATTACCTGTTTAAATGTATATTTAATCAAAATTCATGATAAATATTTTCAAAAAATCTAATCATTAGCAACTATTATGAGAACTATAATGAGAACTCAGTCATTCCACTTGCTGAAAACTAATATGCTTTTTAAAGCACTCAAAATGTGTTTTAGGGAAACTATGATAATTATAATCCTGACCAAATATGTAAGGCTGCCATTTCATTTTCAGTTAATTAAATAAATACTGTTGTGCTTACAGTCAGACAGTAAGCAAAGGTTGCAATTAAAAAATCACACACGACTCTGGATTTGGAATTAATAAAACGTAATTGTTACTGCAAAAATAGGAAAGGAAAGGCTGTGTAAATAGATTATCTTAAAAAGGAAAAGCTTATTACTCAGTATCAATCATTTATACTACCTATTATCCCCAACAAGTTTTCCAGTGATCTAGTAGTTCATCTATTATATTTTATCTTTTCTCATACCCATATTTGATGTATTATCTAACGGTCCATTTGAAATATGTAAGCTAAATTGTAACAAGAGATTACATTTCATTAGTACCTCTGCTAATAATATAAGAGCTAAAATGATTTCATTGGCATCTCACATCAATTCTATAGGAAAGGCAAGAAGTTTAGCTTTCTATAGTTCAGAACTGGAACTGGCCCTAAAGGCACAGACTTGTGCTGATGTGACCTGCCAAGAACAGGTCCTGAATCTTGGAGGGAAAAACAAGTCTCATACTATGAATATGAGCCTTACTTACCAGAAGCAATACAAAAATAACTAATACAGCTATAGAATCTCTCCAATTCTACCTATAGCTGTTGATGAAAGACACATATATCAAATAGGCTAAGATTTGAAAACATTTGATGATGGATACAAGCTTTTTATTATAGGATGCTTTAAATGCTTAAACATGCTTGTAATACTTGATGAAAATATTATTTTTTTAAAAAAGGATATTGCCTAGAATATTACAAAAAGTTCATGCTGGAAGGAACCCTAACATTCACATGGCCCAGGTCGCAGAGCCAGAGGCCCCAAAACAGGTAACCAGAAATCAAAACTAAAGGCCAGTTTCTCTAATCCGCACAGCTGTTCTTCAACCCCTTGCCTACATTATATTATGCTTTGCTTTTGTTTGTAGCTCTTCATAGTTAAGTGAAAAGCTAAATATTAAAAATTTTAATAATGGGAAAAAAAAGATGATGCTAAGCGAAATGAACTCCAAGATATGGACACAAGCGGTTTCTTTGTTGTTGTTCTCAATGTACTAGAGATTTATTTTTCTTCTTTTGTATTTTTTTTCCTCCTATGGTTTATCAGGCATTGTATATACATTTATCTGAATTAGGGAAGGGAAAGGTAACAACAAAATGGTGAGATAAAGGACAAAGTGGGAACCTATGCAATAGTGATACAAGACAATATGCTGGAAATGATCTTGACAACTTGGGAGGAGGATTGGGGTGGGAGAAAAATGAGGGAAGGGGTAACAAATTAGATAAGAAATGTAATCACTACCTTACTTATGTAAGTGTAACCCCTCTGTACATCACCTTGATGATAAAATTAAAATAAAATAAAAGATGATTGTTAAAGCTGGTGCCTATGGCTCATGCTTATAATCCTGGCTACTCAGGAAACTGAGATCTAAGAATTGTTTTTTAAAGCCAGGGGAGGCATGAGTCTGTGAGATTCTCGTCTCCAAATAAGCCACCAAAACACCAGATATGGAGCTGTGGCTCAAGTGGATGAGTGCTAGCCTTGAGCAAAAAAGCTTAGGGTTAGATGCTAGGCCCTGAGTTCAAGCCCCAGCACAGACACGTGCATGCATGCATATGCACACACACACACATGTGCGCATGTGTGCATGTATACACACAAAACAAAAAACTAGACAGAGATGAGCTGTGTTCCTCTGTGGACCCTATTGTCCTCTAAAGTAGAGTATGAATATCAGTGAAAACAATTTTAGTTATTTATTGATTTCATAGTGAACTGTAATAGCTTAAGTATATCATAAGCTGCATCTAGTAATGTTACCCACTGTCCTTTCCTCACTACTTTCTTAAAGTCTAGGTTTGTACCATTTCTCTCAACAGAAGGTTGCAAATTAGAAATTTTGGTAGGTTCCCAGAGTGTGTTTTGTTTCACAACTAGTTGAATGTTAGGACCTGAACATGGTGAGTTGATATTAGTTCTAGCCAACATTACATACATTGTTTATATGTACTCACCTGCATATTGTTTCTGGAAGAGAGTTTTTGCAGAATTATGAACTGTTTCAAACTTTATTTTCACAGAACTACTGGATATTCCAAGGATCAAGATTCACAGAATGTTCATCTAAAATCTCCTACCAGTGAATATCCATGCAACATACCATTAGTGTCTAATTTGGATGCTGGAAATTCTAAAGTTTTAGATTTGGAAGAAAGGTATGCATATTTTCTAAGGATAATAGGATTTACTTGTTATATTAATTATCCATTACTGTGTAAGCTGTTTTGTAAACTTTTTAAATTTTATTGTTTATAGTTTTTGTGGGTCAGAAATCTGGTAGAGTCTTAGTTATTTCTAGCTTAGGTATTTTTACAAGAGAGCAATCAAGTCATCTTTCAGTTTTATAAGTCCTCTAAGAGTTAATGAGTCTGAAGAACCCCCTTAGCTGGATCTCATGGTTGTTGGCTAGAGCTATCACTTTGCTGGCTGTTAGAAGACCCTGGTTTCTTGCCATGTGACCCTTGACACAGGTCTATTCATTGTAACAACTGACTTCTACAAAGCAAATGATCTGAGAGAAGAAAGCCTAACTATTAAGTTAGGCTTCAAGCATGGTTAGGAAGCAAAACATCTTACTTTTTTTCTTACTAACAAAATGATTTTAATGAAGAATAATTACTCCAGTAGAAAACGGTTACAATTACATTATGTTTGGCATCTTTACATTTAACCACAACTTGTATTAAAAAACCTGAAATATTAGAGCTTTTTTGTTGTTGTTGTTGTTGATTGTGGGGCCTGAACTCTGGGCCTGGGTGCTATCCCTCAGCTCTTCAACTCAAGGCTCATGCTCTACCACTTGAGCCACAGCACCACTTCCGGCTTTTTCTGCTTATGTGGTGCTGAAGAATCGAATCCAGGGCCTCATGCATGCAAGGCAAACACTCTACCACTGAGCCACTTTCCCAGCCCTAGAACTATTTTTATATTATATGTCTATCAAGTAAGATTTATTTTAGCAAGATTTACAACAATGCTTCAAATGCTTACTCACTGAATTTCTAAAACTCACTTGATGTGCATGGCAGGCTCTCAAGTTCTTTTTTTTAATATATATTTTTTATTGTAAAGATACTGCACAGAGGGGTTACAGTTACATGAGTAAGGTAATGAGCACATTTCCTGTCGAGCAGTTACCACCCCCCTTTTGTTTTTCCCCTACCATCCCTTCCTTCCACACCTCCCAAACTCCTCCTCACCCCAAAGTTGTAAAGTTGGTTTTCAACAAAGTGTCTTGTACATCTCATTGTTTCAATGAGTCAACCTGTGTCCTTGTTTCAGCATTTTGTTATTTCCCTTCCCCTACCCAAATTAGAAAAATGTATACACAAGATTCAGGGCAACAGAATCAAATGTAGTGAAAACAGGGATTATACCATAGGGGAAGAACATTCGAAAGAAAAAAATCGCATAGTACATTAAAAACAACAGCGACAAAAATAAAATCTCTTGTGTCCCTATCTTGAGGTTCATTTCGCTTAGCATTATCTTATATGGTCAAATATACTGAGCTTTTGAGTTTTTCTGCCTGTCCTAGACATATACTAGTTATTGCAAATAAGGGAAACCATGGGGACCTGCATTTCTTTGGCTTAGCTTACTTCACTTAATATAATTTTTTCCAAGTCTTTCCATTTTTCCATTTCCTAACAATGTCATTCTTTCTGATGGAGGCATAGAATTGTATTATATATATAAAATATATAATAGATATATAATACATAGTATAACATATAATATATAGTATATAATATAATATATACACATATAATATATAATATATATAACACACACACACACACACACACACATATATATATATATATATATATATTGTTGTGATAAACATAGTAGTGCTGGTAGCTTTAGTATGGCCTTGTTTGTGATCGTCTGGGTAAATGCCCAAAACAAGGCACTTTTAACACTTGAGCCACACCTTGACTTCTCTCTTTTTGCTGTTTAAGTGGAGATAAGAATCTCCCAAATTTGCCTGTCCAGTCTGCCTTTGAACCATGATCCTCAGATGTCAGCCTCCTGAGTAACGGATTAAAATATGAACTAGTGGTTCCTGGCTTATACTCCCTGCTATTGTATTCTGTTCCCTAGCAATAATTCACCACAAGTCCAGACTACATTCATGAAGGAGGATTCTATCTTTTGAAAGGAAAATAATATCAAACAACTAATAGATAAAATGTTATAACATCCATTCACTTATTAAACAGCTCAAGTTAATCTACTTGTATTTTATCTGACTTCACTTTATAAACCTTTCACAAAGGGAATGAAAGATAATTTATAGCAAACCTTTAGAGCTTTTAAGAATGACAGGTTTCTTTATTCTTTGGGATTTTCGCTAGCATATCTTGGATTCTTTTTTTTTTTTTAATTCTTCCCTCCTGGGGCTTGAAATCAGGTGCTGTTCCTGTTCCTGTTTTGGTTCATGAAGTGCTCCACCACTTGAACCAGCTTTTTTTTCTTCTTCTTTTTTTTCTTTTCTTTTTTTGTAGTTTATTGGAGATAAGAGTCTCATAGACTTTGCTGCCCAGGCTGGCTTTGAACCATGATCACCCTCCTGAGTTGCTAAGATTATAGGTGTGAGCTACCAGTGCCTGGCTATAGCTTGGATTCTTAAAAAGAAGAAAGATCTTGAACTAGAATAACTTGTATTATTTCTGACAATTTCTAGGCTATATTTTATATTCCATTAAAAAATAAAGGCTATGTTTTATTCAAGTGAAGATTTGCTGATTTACTTTTCATTTTTCTTATATTTTGATTTTCATTCTTTTTTTTTTTTTTTTTGGTTGTGGGGCTTGAACTCTGTGCCAGGGCACTGTCCCTGAGCTCTTCAGCTCAATGCTAGTGCTCTAACACTTGAGCCGTAGCACCACTTGCAGGTTTATTGGAAATAAGAATCTCATGGACTTTTCTGCCTACGCTGGCTTTGAACCGAGCTCCTTAGATCTCAGCCTCCTGAGTAGCTAGGATTATAGGTGGGAGCCACCAGCACACGGCTATTAAATAATTTTGATGTTAGAGTTGAGTAAATTTGTAAGTGATCCATAAGTTAGTTTTATGTAAAGGTTACTATGTTTTATCATCAGTTACCATACTTTTAAAATTTTTGTTGTATGCAGCATATAATTCTTGTATGACCTATATGTAAGTATATTCTTGGTGATCTATAACTCATTATTAGTTTTATAAGAACAAAATCTGTAGTTTTAGGGTAAAAATGATCATTAAGCTTATATTTTATGATGTTTGTTTATCTTAAGTGGACCATCTCAGTTCAAGAATCATTTAATGCCTGGAAAGAATAATTCTGATATGGATGACAAAGTTCAGGAAAGTTCAGGTAAATTACTGTTTATTCTATTGTTTTACTTTTTTATGACATTGTAGGTATATAATAAATTCTGTTGTGTTTTGTTTACTTACATTTTTACTAATCACAAATGTATATTGACTACTTAATTGTGAGATCCTTACTGTTTAGTGGGAAAATTAAAAGAAGATAGTGACTGACAGTTCTTTCTTTTAAGTAGAACATAATAAAATACTCATACTTGAGTATGTACTCCAGTGTGTAAACATGTTCAGCTAATACAAATATTAAGGGATACATATAGCAGGTTTAACCATCTATTGATGGATGTCAGTAGTCTTGGGTTATAGTATATTCTTTTTCTTTGTTGGAAATAAAACTTCCCATGTGAAAGTTTTTTTTTAATGTTTAAAGAGAGGCCATAATTTATTCCCATGTGAAAGTTTTTTTTTAAATGCTTAAGGAGAGCCATAATTTATTTCATTCTCCCACAGAATGTGTGCTTAAGTATGATTTGTTACATTACTTTTTCCTTTCCTAACTCACTAATATCCTTCCTTTTTCTCTTTTCTTTAGATGTATGTTTTTCCTCTTTTTAAATTCTTGAACATTTTCTATAATTATTAAGGAAGAAATTTTTTCTTTTTTTTTAGGATAGAATTATTTATTTACCAGACAAATCATATGCCTTATTTAAATATATCAATATCTCCATATTATAAATTACAAATAACTCACATAACTTCACATAGGGAGAAAAATAGAAATAAATTCTAGGAAAATTTAAAATGTATGTCTCTACAGTTTAAAAGCTATTTTACTCAACACTTAACTCTAAAAGGAATCATAATGACACAAGATTATGGCACCTGGTAATTATGGACCAGGAAGAAATTTTTTCTGAGTACAATTTTAGCTTTGTTTTTTAGACTTTATAGATAAAGTTATTATGATCTTTTTGCACAAAATAGTTTTTCATTATGCTATTCTCATCTGTGTATCAAATATACTGAGATCTTACTCCTTCATTCTTTCTTATCTCCCTACTGACTTTCTCTGGTGTACCCTCTCACCATACTAAAAGTAAATCTTCTTTGATATTAATTTTTTTTTCAATTTAGATTCCACATATGGGACCAAGCATGTAGTATTTGTCTTTGTGAGTCCAGCTCATTTTGCTTAACATCAGTTTTCCTGCAGATGACAAGAGTGTATTTTTTTTTGTCAGTCATGGGGCTTGAACTCCAGGCTTGGGCACTGTCCCTTAGCTCTTCAGTTCAAGGCGAGTGTTCTGCCGCGTGAGCCAGAGCTCTACTTCTGGTTTTCTTTTAATTTTTTTTTTTTTTTTGGGTCCGGTCGTGGGGCCTGAACTCTGGACCTGGGCGCTGTCCCTCAGCTCTTCAGCTCAAGGCTAGTGCTCTACCACTTGAGCCACAGCGCCACTTCCTCTACTTCTGGTTTTCTAGTGGTTTATTGGAGAGAAGAGTCTCACAGACTTTCCTGCCTGGGCTGGCTTTGAACTGTGAGCCTCAGATGTCAGCCTCCTGAGTAGCTAGGATTACAGATGTGAGCCACTGGTTCCCAGCTAAGATTGTATTTATTTTTATGGCTGAATAATATTTCTATGTATTTATACCATAATTTCTTTTTCCATTGATCCATTAATGACACCTAGACTGGTTCCTAGAAATATATCTAAATATATATTGCTAGAAGTAATATATAGTACATATAATAGATAGTATGTAGTATAGTATATGGTATCTATTGTATACTGGCTTTAATACCTTTGTATATATGATCAGGAGCAATATAGTTGAATTATATGGTAGAATTGTTTTTAAAGCCTTCATACTGACTTAGACTTAATTTGTGACTTTACTAGCTGTCTTTTTATATATTTTTTGTGTATATTTATATATGAATGTATATGTATATCTATGTAAAATATATGTATGTATATGTGATACATATATGCATATATGCATGTGTGTGTGTGTGCGCGTGTGTGTGTGTGCGCGCGCACCAGTCCTGGGGCCTGAACTCAGGGCCTGATTGCTATCTCAGCTCTTTTTTTTTTTTTTTTTGTCGTCCATGGGACTTGAACTCTGGGTCTGGGTGCTGTCCCTGGGCCGTTCAGCTCAAGGTGATTGTTCTACCAGTTGAGCCACAATACCACTTACAGTTTTCTGGTGGTTAATAGAGTCTCATGGACTTTCCTGCCTGGGCTGGCTTTGAACTACCACGATCCTCAGATTTCAACCTCCTGAGTAGTTAGGATTATAGGTGTGAGCCACTGGCACTTGGCTGTCTCAGCTCTTTTTGCTCTGGGCTAGTGCTCTAGCACTTGAGCCACAGCTCCACTTTTGGTTTTTTTTGGTGATTATTTGAAGATAAGAATCTCATGGGCTTTCCTGTGGGGACTAGCTTTAAACCATTGTCAGCCTTCTGAATATCTAGGATTATAGGCATGATCCAACAATGCCCTACTTTTTAAAATATATATATTTTTTACCTTTAAGTAATGGTACAAAGGAGTTGCCATTCGACAAAGTGCTTATGAATACAATACATCTTGATCTGTATATCCCCTTTCATCCTTCTCCCCCATCCTTCCCAACTTCTCCTCTTCAGTTTTCTTAGGTTTATAGAATATGCATTGAATTTTATGACTTCACTACCTTTGCTTATCTGTGAAATTGTGATATTCTAATTGCATAGCTTAATAAATCTAGTGTGTGATAATTAGCTAATCTGTTATTTTAATTAGTTTTGTTCTTTTGTTAGTATTTTCATATTTAGTTTCACTGTTGTAGAGATTTTTTTTTTTTGTCTTTTTTTTTTGGGTCCGGTCGTGGGGCCTGAACTCTGGGCCTGGGTGCTGTCCCTCAGCTCTTCAGCTCAAGGCTAGCGCTCTACCACTTGAGCCACAGCGCCACTTCCGGCTTTTTTCTTTTTGCTTATGTGGTGCTGGGAATCGAACCCAGAGCCTCATGCATGCAAGGCACGCGCTCTACCACTGAGCCACCTTCCCAGCCTGTAGAGAGTTTTCCCTGTGGTGTGTGTGTATGTACATATGTATATATTTATATATGCATGTGTAAATGGGTATGTTTATTTATTTATGACTGTTAGAACTCAGAGCCTCAGGCTTTCTAGACAGTTACTCTTCTACTCCAGCCATTCCTCTAGCCTCATTTGCTCTGCTGATTACTTTTGAGATAGAGTCTGTTTTTTTTTCCCCTGGCAACTCACTGTCATGATCCTTCTATTTATACTTGTCATTGTAGTTGCTTTGACAGGCACATGTCAACATACTCAGTATTTTCTGCTGAGATGACATCTTACATACTTTGGCTAGGCCTTGAACCAATATCTTTCCAGCCTACCCGATGGCTAGGATTATAGACATTGGTCACTTCTCCCAGCTCTGTATTACTTGTTTGAATTACATTGTTTGGAATTCAAATGTATGCTTACATTTTTTTATAAATGTTCCATAGTAACTTTAAAAAGGGAATTTTTAAAATTATTTTTGAATTTTTAAAAATATATTTTTTATTGTAAAGATACTGTACAGGAGTACAGTTACATGAGTAAGATAATAAGTACATTTCCTATCGAGTATTGTTACTCCCTCTTTTGTTTTTCTCCTACCATCCTTTCCCTCATTACCTCCCCAAATCCTATTCCCCTCACCCCTTGAATTTGTAAAATTCATTTTCAACAGTGTCTTTTACATCTCATTGCTACAATGGGTCAAACTGTATCCTTATTTCAGCATTTTGTTATTTCCCTTTCCCTCCCCAAGTTAAAAAAATGTGTATACAAGATGCAGGGCACCCTAATCAAATACAGTGAAAACAGGGATTATAGGGGAAGAACATATAAAAGAAACAAAAAAAAATCACACAGTATATCTGATCCATGGATGGGAAAGGGAATCACAGAAACAGAAGGACAAAGGATAAACTAATGTAACAATGATACTTATTAGACACTATGTTGGCAATGAACTTTATAATTTGTTGAGGAGAGGAGTGGAGAGGGTAGGATAAGTGAGAGAAAATGAGGGAGGGATTCTTTTAAAAAGAATCCAATACTTATTTATATATTTATATTAATAGGACTTTCTGGTTCATAACCATCAGTACAGACACAGACAAGATGAGTTAGAGAACCATGCTGCTGATGAAATAGTGCCCCATTGGGAAGGTCAAAAGCAAGTCCAAAAATTAACATTGTAATTTTAAAGTGTACTGTTTGCAGTTATTTCCCCCTTTGGTTTATACCCTGTTGTCACTGATTTTGATTTAGGTACCCTTTGTCTTGTTTATAAGGTTATCCGGTTTGGGGATGGAAAGGGAAGTCACAGAAATGGTAAGACAAAGGACAAAGGGTGAACCATTGCAACAGTGATACTCCCAAGACACTATGTTGGAAATGAGCTTTACAGCTTGTGGTGGGGATGGGAGCAGGGAGAGTCAGGGAGGAGGGAAAGCGGGAGAAAAGTAGGGATGGGGTAACAATGTTCAAGAATTGTGGGCTGGGAAGGTGGCTCAGTGGTAGAACCTTGTCTCTTCTATGTATATGTTTACATATTATTAATTGTTTGTGAACTGTTTGTGAGAGCAGCTGCGTACGTGATGAACTATTGTTCTTGAATATTCTGGAGTTCAGAACTATTCTCTTCAGATCAGAAATGAACATTAATACAACACTGTTAATCATTTTGTTTTCATTTAAATTTTAGCAGCAGCCTATCCAAACTTCTCTGGTTTACAATACAGTCCTGAATCATGGATTGCATTTAAACTGCTATGTCTCTTAGTCTTCTTTGTCTTGGAATTGTTCTGTAGCCTTTTTCTAACCTAACCTTGACATTTTTGAAGAATACAGGCTTTCATTCTTTGGGGTGATCTTCAACCTGAGTATCTTTGATGTTTCTTCATGATCAAAGCAATGACAAAAGTATTTGACAGGAGTATTACAGAATGATTCTTTTCTTTGTGCATCACAGTGGGAGAGGTGGTATGGTGTTAACTAATCTACTTCTGATGGTTTTAATCTAGTCTCAAGTTACTGTCTGCCAAGTTTTTCACTTCTGTAATATGTGTTTCTTTTTTCTTGTGGAGTGATATTTTGATGTTGTTTCTATATCCTATCCTATTTTACCCTTTCATTTATCAACCATAGGATCCATATTCACTTTTACTTCATTAATTACTTGGTTGCCTACTGTAAGAAATATTTTTGACCTCATTTACATCAGTGTGGACTACTGATTTCTTTTTTTTTTTTTGGTTGGTCGTGGGGCTTGAACTCTGGGCTTGGGCTCTCTCCCTCAACTCATCAGCTCAAGGCGAGCACTCTACCACTTGAGCCACAGTGCCACTTCTGGTTTTCTGAGTGGTTTATTAGAGATAAGAGTTTCATGGACTTTCCTGCCTGGGCTGGCTTTGAACTGCGATCCTCAGATCTCAGCCTCTTAAGTAGCTAGGATTACAGGCGTGAACCACTGGCGCCCGGCTCTTTTTATTTTTTATTTAAATTTTTTTATTATAAAGTTATTGTACAGATGGGTTACAGTTACATGAGTAAGGTAATAAGTATATTTCCTATCAAGCATTGTTACCCCCATCCTTTGTTTTTCCCGTACTCTCCCCTCCCCCCAAGTTGTAAAGTTTGTTTTCAATATAGTATCTTGTACGTCTCATTCTTACAATTGGTCAACCTGTATCCTTGTTTCAGCATTTTTTTACTTCCTTTCCCCTCCCCAAGTTAGAAAAATGTATATACAAGATGTAGGACAGCAGAATCAAATATAGTGACAACAGGGGTTATACAATAGGGAGAACAACATTTTACCCTTCCATTTATAAGCCATAAGATCCATATTTTATTCACTTTTACTTCATTAATTACTTGGTTGCCTACTCTGTGTGTGTGTGTGTGTGTGTGTGTGTGTGTACTTGGTTGCCTACTGTGTGTGTGTGTGTGTGTGTGTGTGTGTGTGTGTGTCGGTTGTGGGGTTTGAACTCTGGCCCTGAGTGCTGTCCCTGAGCTCTTCAGCTCAAGGTGAGCACTCTACCACTTGAACCACAGCATTACTTCTGGTTTTCTGGTAATTAAATTGGCGATAGGAATCTCACAGAGTTTCCTGCCTGGGCTGGATTTGAACCACGATCTTCATATCTCAGCCTCCTGAGTAGCTAGGACTACAGGCATGAGGCACCAGCGCCTGGCTTGTAAGAAATTTTTGACCCCATTTATTTACATCAGTGTGGACTACTGGTGTTTTCTTTTACTCGATGGGGTTTTAATGTTAAACTATCATTTATTCTAACACTCATGTTATGCTAGATATATGCAGGTGGTGTTCTTTCATCTGGTCTTGATGAGTTTTTTTGGTCATATTTCTATCATTCTTGAATGCTGTCTACTTTTTCCGGGGGTAGGGGCGCGATGGTGGGAAAAATCACATAAGATACTGTAGGCTTTTCTCCCTGACTAGCTTTGGAAATAGTTATTTCTTTGAAGGAACCTATTTCTTTTTAAAGTAAATGCCATCTAGAATCTCAGATCTGGGTATTGGTTGCTATCTGCTTCTTTGCTTTTTCAGTGAACCTAGTTAAGAAATATAGACAGACAGACAGATAGACAGACAGACAGACACACACACACAGTAACATGGGAATACATATCATTATTTCTATTTAGAATCCATGAATTTAAAATAATACCATTCCAACATAGACTTCTCCCCCTGCCTTTTAAACAAATAAAATTCTTCACAAGTAGTGAGAAACTTGATTCCCATAATTCCAGTACAAATCCCAAATTCCCAGAACAATTGCTTATTTGTTCAATTTCTTCTGTGTTACCACCAACTGCCTCCAAGGGCCACTGCTATTGAAAAATTTTCTTCTGTGTCGCACCTGAGAATAGAATAAAAGCTTTGACTTACTTTTCAGTAAAATATGTATATTTCATACAGCATGAAATGTTCCAGTTATGTATCATGGCATAACAACCCTAAATTCAGTGTCTTTGGACAGTTGTTGATTGTGTGGTTCTGTCAAGTTGGTTTTACTAGATAGTCCTTAATGGTGTTTTCATGGTTTTATAGTTGGCTACAAGCTTTTGAGTGCAGTCATACAGAAGTTCAGCTGGGCTGGACATCTACAATGACTTTCTCAATTTTGTTTTTGGTACTCATCTAGAATGGCTGGAAAGCATAGGGCAAGTTCAGAATCTCATTTATACATGGCTTTTACCCATGACCATCTTTGGTTTTCTCACAGCATGACAATCTCAGATGGTTAATCTTTGTATCATTGTTGTCTCCTCCAAAGTGAGATTCCCTAGTGGAACTTGCTAGCCTTCCAAATCCTAGAAAGTCATTTTGTTGCATTGCAAGTTACTACAGCAGGAGATATTCCCTGTTCTCCCCTTCCCTCCTCCTCTCCTTGCCTTCCCTAGATCTACTTCTAGAGATGAGAATTTCTTAGTCTTTCCTGCCTGGATTGACTTTGAACCTAGATCCTCAAATCTCAGCTTTTTGATTAACTAGGATTACTGGCAAGAGCCACCAGTATCTGGTGAAACATCGTTTCATGATAGGGAAGAATTCTTCATAGAAAGGAAATTGAGGACTGCTATTTTTAAATCCTTCACCACAATTAAAGTTGAATGTCTGAACAATTAAGTTTACACCTATATTTTTGAGTGGATCATAGGTTACATTAATTCTACAGAATTCATCAGTGATTTATTTCTCCTGTTAGTGAACAATAGAAAAATTGTGTTTGTTATATTTAACTGGTAATGTTATTTACGTTTATTCATTATGTCAAAAACTAGAGAAATGTCGGGGCTGGGAAGGTGGCTCAGTGGTAGAGCACTTGCCTTGCATGCATGAGGCCCTGGGTTCGATTCCTCAGCACCACAAAAGCAAAAAGAAAAAAGCCGGAAGTGGCACTGTGGCTCAATTGGTAGAGCGCTAGCCTTGAGCTGAAGAGCTGAGGGACAGCACCCAGGCCCAGAGCTGAGGCCCCAAGACCGGACCCAAAAAAAAAAAAAAACCTAGGGAAGTATTCTATTACTATATTGTTTTTTCTTAGTTTTCCTTCCTTTACAATGAAAAAGAGAAAAGCAGTAAAATGTATTGTCCTGTCAAGTTTTGCTTAAAATACACTTCACTTGGCCAAGTCAACATGGAATTTAAGTGAATGTAGGTCAACATGGAATATGAAGGCATTAGTTATAACATTATCGTTTGCATTTTACAGATGGTTCACCAGTAAAAAGATCTAAAGTAGCACCAGATAAGAAATTACATCATAAATTAGGTAAGTCTTTTGTATATTATTTCCACTGAAGAATGGAATGCTACTAAGTCTCAACTAAAAAAAAAAAAATTGCAGTGGTGTAGGTTGAACCCAGGGCTTTGTGCATGTTAGTCCAGTGTTTTTTTTGTGTGTGTTTTTTCTTTTTTGGGGTCCGGTCATGGGGCCTGAACTCTGGGCCTGAGCATTGTCCCTCAGCTCTTCAGCTCAAGGTTAACGCTCTACTACTTGAGCCACAGCACCACTTTTTTCTTATGTGTTTCTGAGGAATAGAACCCAGGGCCTCATGCATGCAAGGCAAGCACTCTACCATTGAGCCACCTTCCCAGCCCATAGTCCGGTGTTTTATCACTGAGTTACATCCCAGCATTTGTTTATTTTGGTAGGTGGGGCAAGTCACAGTCACCAGCTGCATTCTAGAGAGGTGATTGTATAACGGCACTCATTACCTTGAGAATAATATGTCTCCCACATAATGCTGATTTAGTTGGAAAATTTTAATTGTTTAAGGATTTTCATAGTACTAATTTGGAATCTATACTACTTTTTAAAATAACTTGCTGTCTTGAGGACGGAAGTTGGGACAAAAGAGAATTATGGTAAAAGTTGCCTGAAAGTTACCAAATAGGAAGAGTAAGAACCAGTTTCTTGGAGGGCAAGGAGAAGAAGAAGAAGGAAGAGAAGGAAGGGAGGGAGAAATAGCAGGAGGGAGAAGAGGGGGGAGGGAGGAAGAATGGGAAAGGAAAGGAGTTTATGAAAGTGTAGGTATAAAATAAAAGATTATGGAAGAATTAGGCAAACAAAAAGGTAAATGTTAGAAAGATTTAGACAAATTAGAATTCAAAGTGAAAACTGATTAAGGTTAGGCAGAGTGCCTATAGGCTCATGCCTATAATCCTAGATACTCAGGAGGCTGAGATTCCAGGATCAAGGTTCAAAGCCAGGCCTGGCCACAGAAGTCCATGAAGACTCTTTATTTCCAACTAATCACCAAAAAACAAAAACCAGAAGTAGAGTTGTGAGTCAAGTGGTAGAATGCTAGTCTTGAGCACAAAAACTCAGAGATAGCACCCAGGCCCTATAAGTTCAAGTCCTAGGACCACCATACACACACATACACAAAACCTGATTAAAGTTAAAGCTGAAGTTGATAAGGACTTAATGATAGTCATTTATGAAGAAGATAGAAAAATTAAAGTTGTATGTGCCAAATAACCTAGCAACTGACTATGAATAAAGAAAAATAAATTGAAAAAGCAGGAAGATACTCACTAAAACAATATAATTATAATGGAGAGCTTTCAAAATTAGAAATCATTAGGACACAGAGCATAGAAGGATATAAGAATTTGACAGTATAACAAAAAAGTATTTCATATATGCAAGTTTGCATTGTTTAGATGAAGATGAGTGCCTTCCACATTATTAGCCCTGGGAATTAGCAAGGTTATATATATGTCTTGACCCATTTAGAAGCCTGATTTTACATTGGCTCTTCTTTCTCTATCTGCAAAATCATATCTTAAAATTTTGTTTTTCTAGCTTTTTATCTAGAAGCGTTTATGATTTAAGAGATAATATGAATCCCATGACTAAACACTCCTCTTGACTGAATATTTACATTTTAATCTAAAATCTTTTTCAGTATTACCTTCCCATACACCAAATGTTCGAAGGACCAAGAGAATACGTTTGAGACCTTTGGAATACTGGCGAGGGGAGCGAGTAGATTATCATGAGAGACCATCAGGTGAAGTTTTACCTTACAGTATAGAATACTAAGCCTTGCACCACTCAGTTGCTCAGGCCTATAATCCTCAGGAGACCAAGATTTGAGAACAGCCCAATAAACAAATGCTTGGGAATTTTATCTCCAATTAAACAGTTAAAAGCTGGAAGTAGATGTGTGGTTCAAGTAATGAAGTGCCAGCTATGAGAGAAAAAGCTGAGAGCTGGCACCAAAAGAAGAAAAAAAACTAAAAAGTTGTATAACTCATGTACTAGGTCTATAACTCATTTACCAGGTACTGTCCTATATATTTACATGCATTACCTCATTTAATCATTACCTTCCAAAAACAGGATAAGAGTAGATTTACCTGATTACTGCAGAGGTGATCATTTAAAAAAAAATCTCTTTGGTATTTAGTTGATTGTACGCTTTGTTGTGTTTTATTATTTTCTGACAAGGTTTCTAGTTACATCAAATGAAACATTAGATTAGAACAAGAATATAATAGCTGGTTAAGTTGAAGTATTTTCCATAATTATATTTATCAACCATTCTCTAATATTTTTCTATAAAGTAGCAGCAATTAGGCAATAAACTATAGTGTTATCCTAAAATTCTTTTGGTGAGTAAACTTCAGAGGACACACATATATCCTACTACTAAGTCATTATTGGCTTCTGCTTTTTTTGTTTTAACCAACTCACTGAAAACTGTTGATTTCAAGTAAGTAATTATTTAGTCATATTTTATCAATGTGTCTAGACTTTTAGAGTAGTAGAGACACAGTAAAACTGGTTAGTATTGTGTTCGAAATTGAGCTTATTTGCTATAGAATCTAGTAATACCAACTTTCCTGGATACTTTAAATGGAAATGGAACATATTTAAAGAGTTTTGTTTCAAGTTTTTTTGCTTGATATTTTTTTACCTTCTTTGTTGTTGAATTTCAGGAGGATTTGTGATTGGTGGAATACTATCCCCAGACATAGTATCATCTAAAAGGAAAGCAAAAGAAAATGTGGGCAAAGTGAACAAAATAACTAATAGGAAAAGGATCTGTCTTGACAGCAATGAAAGAAGTATGAACTTATTCTTAAAAGTAACTTTTATATTTTATTTTAAATAACAATACTTTGGGAAGAAACTGCAAAATTTGAGATTTTTGTTTAAGAATTTCTGATATAATTAAATAAAAGTCCAACTTTTTGTCAAGTTTTTAAAGTAAGCTAATTTTATTCTTAGAAAAGTGTCATTAATGGCATGTTCTTAAACATTTTCTCTTGAGTAAATTACACAGTCAAAATGGAACTTTCTTTTTCCATACCCATACTATGCTTACAGTAGACATTTTAATAATTTTTTTTCTAAAGTTTATTGTGTAATTCTGTTTTACACAGTATGTAAAATTCCATTTAGATTGTTCATGAAATAAGCATTTGAGTTCATATGTTATATGGGGTTTACAGAAAAATAGGACGTTTCGGATATGTGCTTCTATATTAAATCATTGTGGGATTTTTTTGAATGTTTTTGAATTTTTGTGTATTAGAGTGACTGTTTATAAACAAAAAGTGATATCTGTCAGTTTTCTTGCATAACTTCTCTAACTGTATTTTGTATTGGACTTTTAAAATATAACTGAGAAGAATTTTAAGTAAGTTTATATTTTAATGGTATCTCTTTCACAGAAAATCAAGTTAAAGTAACTTTGGATATACCTGTAGGAGATCCTTTGCAGCCAACAGAAGTAAAGGACCCAGAAACAAGAGAGATTATTCATATGGGTAAATTCAAGAATGATATGGAAGATTTTTAATGATAACAAACTGGTGACTTTATGATTCATATGGCTACTTTCTTCACTCTTTTAGCACTGATGGCTTAATTCCAATAAGCATCCTATATGAGAAGAACTGTGGAGAAATATGGATATCATTCTATCAGGGACTTACTGTTCTCTAGACTGCAAGTGTTAACATTGCAATCAGGAAGATTATCTTAGCTAGGCACTGGTGGCTCATTTGTGAACTGCTGCTAGCTATTTGGAAGGCTAAGAGCTGGCCTGGGAAAGAAAAGTTCTGGGAGTGTGGCTCAAATGATATAGTGCTATTTTAGCATGCACGAAGCCTTGAGTTCAAATGGCAGGACAGCCAAAGAATAAGTGTTACCCCTTACCCAGGAGAGTTTGGGTCTTTTTTTTTTTTTTTTAACTAGAAAATAATATGAGAACAGGAGTTGTTCATGGATAAAAATATCAAGTTAGTTCGAAGACCCCAGGATATACTCATTATGGGGCCAGGCATGGATTTTGGCAGAGCCAGGAAGTTTTTTGAATCTGTGGATCTATCATAGTACTGAAGACACAAACCCTTTGTGAGGGTGACCATCAAGGACATCATTGAGCTATACCAATATCAGCCTCAATTAGTAAGCCTGGCAGAAATCCTAGAAGCCTCTTGCTTAGTTTCTGGGATGCTCGTAGAGAAAGATCCCAAGTGGTAGATTATAGATGGGTGGAGGCTTAGGACATAAGGACTTGTCTATTTACCAGTCAATATTTACATACAGTAAATAGGTAAAATATCTCATCAATTGTTAGGACTGTGCCTGTTAGTACAAAGGATTATTTATCCTAAGTCAGAGTATGAATAGGTCAAACACAATGGTAGCAATGATATTTCCTTTTAGAATTTTGGTTTTGAAATAGGTTTCACTTTACATCTTAAGTTATTATTTTGGCAGAAGCTGATGATTAAATAATGTGTTAATTATAGGACTGGAGTGGTTTGCCAGTCATTGGGAATTTTTTGAAAATAAAATAGTGAACAAGTATAGTCTTAAATTGATTAAATAAAGACTTATTTAATTATTTTCATGATGATGAACTATTTGTATTATAGGCTATACTCTTTAAAAACATACTCTTTTTTGTATTTCAACTTATTTTCCATTTTAGCTTTAATAGAACAATAATTTCATTATTATGACGCTAAAACTAACAATGCCTACTTTGAGCCAGACATTGTTTTAAATAGTTTAAATACATTAACTCTGATGTTCACAGCAGCTGGTTAACATAGCTTAACGATTATTCATTTTTTACAGAAAGGGAAATTGAAGTACAGAGGAAGGGAGGGAGGGATAAAAGAGAGAAGGGTAGCACATAAGCACAGTTGTATGCCTGGGTATGTAATTAACTTGCCTTCAGTTATGCTGTGTGTGAAATTTGACCTCTGGTATTTCAGCTTCAGAATAAAAGGTCATCAATGGTAACAGTGTTTATTTATGTAAGGCAAGTTTTATATCTAGAAATAACTTTATTGTAAAAAATGTATGTATAATATTAATCAAAATCATTGTTATTGCTTTCCATTACTGTTTTTCCCCTAGATCTTATAAGGCTCCGAGATACATACCAGTTTTTTATTGAGCATGGTGAGTTGAGAGTATATAAAACATTGGATACACCATTTTTTTCTACTGGGAAATTGATACTAGGACCCTGTGAAGAAAAGGGAAGGCAGCATGTTGGCCAAGATATATTGGTGAGTTATTTTTTAAAATATTCTTTAATTTTTGTTGGTTGCAAGGTTAGAATTCAGGACTTGGGTGCTGTCCCTGAGCCTCTTTGTGTTCATGGCCACAGTGCCACTTCTGGTTTTTGTGTGGTTAATTGTAGACAAGAATCTCACTAGGTCTTTTTTGCCTGGGCTTCCTTTGAACTGTGATCTTCAGATCTCAGCCTCCTGGGTAGCTAGGATTACAGGCGTGATGTTGTCCGCTTCTTGTTTTTTATAGATATAGTTGTGATTTATTGAATTTGATGAGGCATTAAAGTGTTATTTTCTTCGTTATCATGTCATATTACTCTGAATCCTGTTGTTGCACAGAATTTTTTTTAAAAATATCTTGTCTCTTTGGAGTCAATTAGCGAAAGTTTATTTAAAAATACTAGATTATTGAAAGGAATGACATTGATCAAGATATATTCATAAACTGCCTTGTTAAATGACAACCCAACTACTTAACTACTAATTAACTACTTAAAGGTAATAAAAAAAAGTTATTGGATACAAAAAAAGATACTAGTTCTGTGTATTACACTATAACCTTAGGTTATGGGATTTAAAGCATGATCTTTATTTAAAGGATTTTAGATTATAAATTTCCAAATCATTGGAATTTCAGAACTGGAGAGCATTATAGAGATTGTCTAATCATATTTCTCTGATTATGCATTTGAGAAGCCAAAATTAAAAGACTTCAAAAATTATTTAGAAGCCAAAATTAAAAGACTTCAAAAATTCTTTAAGTAGGGACCAGTAGTATGTGCCTATTAATACATTGGGAGGCAGAGGAAGAAAGATCTGGAGTTTGAAGCCAACCTGGGCAAAGTTAGCAAGAGGAGACAGTATATTAGAAACAAAAGGGCTTTGAGCATAGTTCAAGTGGTGGAATGCTTACTAAACCATTATAAGGCTGTGGTTTTAGTCCTCAGTACCACAAAGTACTGATAATATTACAGCAACATTGTCTTTTAACTGGTTAGCAATAGACTCAAAGTCACCTTTGTCCTCATTGGAGACATATCCATGCAACGTTGATCTTGGGTGTATGTGTGTAATCCTGTATTCTGAACTTGAAAATTGTAGAATTTTAAGGTATCTAATGTGCCTTCATTTAAAAAATGTACTTAAAAAATTATAGCTAAGGGATATATATATATATGTATGTGTGTATATATATATATATATATATATATATATATATATATATATGTATATACATTTTTTTTTTTTGGGCTGTCCCTCAGCTCTTCAGCTGAAGTCTAGCACTCTACCACTTGAGCCACAGCGCCACTTCTGGCTTTTTTCTTTTTGCTTATGTGGTGCTGAGGAATCGAACCCAGGGCCTCAGGCATGCAAGGCAAGCGCTCTACCACTGAGCCACCTTTCCAGCCCCAGGGATATTGTTTAATATGCAATCTCTTAGGAATCTGAAAGGATGAAGTCAACAAAATAGGTTCTGAAGATTTGAGAGTTATCCAAAGAGAGTTATTATTCTGCATATTGTATTTCTTGTAAGGAAATCTGAACTGTCATTATTGTGATTCAATGTATTTTGTAGGTTTTTTATGTCAGTTTTGGTGATCTTTTGTGTACCTTACATGAAACACCTTACAGAATAACTACTGGGGATTCATTTTATGTTCCTTCAGGTAAGAATAACAAAAGACATTTTATTTCATGTTTAAATATGTATTTGTTGCTTATGTACACCATGAAAACTAAAGAAGCCACAATGGACAAAATGAAGTACTAGCCAGACATCAGTGGGTCACACTTATAATCCTAGTTACTCACAAGGCTGTAAGGCAGGAGTTCACATTTTGCAGCCAGTCTGGGCAGAAAAGTCTGAAAGATTTCCATTTTTAAAACAGCAAAAATCAGGGCTGAAGGCTTGCCTCTAGTGATAGAGTATGCCAGCTGAGCAAGCAAAAGAACTTGAATGACCCTGAGTTCAACCCCTGGAATGGCGGAGGCAGGGAGAAGTACTGTCAAAGTAGTTGGGTATATATTTTTATTTTACCATTTGATAAATGTATAGTGTTTTTGCAAATAAGGGAAACCATGGCACCTATGTTTCTTTGGGCTGGCTTACTTCACTTAATATAATTTTTTCCAAGTCTTTCCATTTCCTAACAAATGGGGCAATGCCATTCTTTCTTATGGAGGCATAGAATTCCATTGTGTATATATATACCATATTTTCTTGATCCATTCATCTACTGAGGGGCATCTGGGTTGGTTCCATATCTTAGCTATGGTAAATAATGCTGCAATAAACCTAGACGTGCAGGTAGCTTTAGTGTGGTCTTGTTTGTGAACATTTGGGTAAATGCCCAAAAGTGGGACTGCTGGGTCATAGGGGAGCTCTATGTGGAGTCTTTTGAGGACCCTCCATACTACTTTATAAGTTCTTTTTTATAGCTACACCATTCTCTGAGCTTACATTTTGATGCCAGGAAACACTTTTTATGTACTTCTTATGTATTAACAGTGTTGTTTGTTAATATTTATTAATTCAGTTAATTATAATGTGTAGTTATTTCTAATACATGGAAAGTCAAAGTAATGGTAATCACAGTCTCAAATGACCCTGTCCATTTATATTTCATTTTTGCTGTTATAGAAACTCATTTAGTGTTAAGAACAGCTTTTGCCTTTAAAAAATTTTGAAATCTGTGTTTTACTTAACATTGTACCTTTTATACTTCCTTATGTATGTATAGATCTAGTTCAGGGAAACCTCATGATGATTGCTTGCAGGCAGAGGTTTTCTTGCACCATGTCTAATTTATTTCTACATTTGCTATGGAATGGTGAGAAATTTAGATTCTTTCAGGCTTTATCTAAATTAAGAGGTAATGGTTAACACTTAGATCTTCCAATTCATGGAACTGAATCAAATGAGTTAGAGTTAGATGAATTGTTTTTCTGTTATATTCTGCAGTGTTCAGATGATGATGGGATGCTTGGACTCCTATGGAGATGGAAATAACTTTTTTTCTTATTGCTTCACTTTTAGGTAATTATTACAACATCAAAAACCTCCTGAATGAAGAAAGTGTTCTTCTTTTTACTCAAATAAAGAGATGAAAAGGCAAAGTTTAAATGTGTTTGTGTGTGTAAATATATTATGTACATATTACACACATGTGTATATATAAACATATATACGTATATATGAAATAACTGTATAGTTGGGATATTTTTGTAATTGTCATTTTAAAATAAAAATTTTATTCAGTTTTATGTAAATTTGGATTAAACATTTCATATTTTTAGTAAACATTTCATACTGCCATATGTACCTTCTAAGTTTTCCATGAATACCCACATTGCCTCTAGTGATGTCCCTGTTGATGATACTATTTTAATAACTTAGAAGGAATATGAAATCATCCGCACAATGAATATAGAACACATCCTTGCCAGAAGAAATTGTCTATTCATTTAGAACCATTCCAAATATAAGACCATTGATAATTAAATAATCTAATAATAGAAAACTGCATATAGTAAATGACTGTCTGTATTAGTTTCCTAGGACTTAGTTGACAAAACACCACTCGTGACTTAAATTGTTTTGTCTCAAAGCAAGATGTCGTCATGGTAGTGTTGTCTTCGAACCTGTAGAGGATAACTTTCTTCTCTCTAATTTCTGTTGGCTTGCTGGCAGTCTTTGGCATTCCTTGGTTTGTAACTATAACCCTTCAATCCCTGCCCATGCTGACTAATTTATTTTAATGAATATTTCTGTAGTGATATGATACTGACGTGATTTCTGTCCATGTATTGTATTGTCTGGGTATATTGTCTATATTTATATTATATAGTTTTTTGTGTTTATTTTTTTTTGGTCGTGAGGCTTGAACTTTAGTGTTGGGTGCTGTCCCTGTGCTTCTCAGCTCAAGGTGAGCACTCTACCACTTGAGCCAGAGCGCCATGTCTGGTTTTCTAGTGGTTTATTGGGAGATAAGAGTCTTACAGACTTTCCTGTCTGGGCTGGCTTTGAACTGTGATTCTCAGATCTCAGCCTCCTGATTAGCTAGGATTACAGGCGTGAGCCACTGGCATCCGGCTATATTAGTTTTTTTTTAACTAGAAAATTAAGATGGACATTTTACTGCAAAATGTGGTAACATTGATACGTCTCCCTACAGAAGCGCTATTTCCACATTGTAAGTAATACTTGGGATCCATTTCAAAAGGAAATCTAGGCAGCTTTCATTGGATTCTCTGACTTCAGTATTTTCTTCAGTCAAGTATAAAGTATATCCTTAATCCATTTGACATTGTAATTTCCTTTAGGTCATAGTTTCTTTAAAAGTATATGTGAGAAATTGTATATTAGCATAAATCCAAATGCTTAAAGTACTTAATCAAATAATTTACACCCTCTCATCCTGTCTGATTGGCACCTTCTTCCCCAAATAATCCTGCTTTTCTTTCTTGTATTCCTTTTCTTCTTTTCTTCAAATCTAGATGCCACATATAAGCAAAAAAAAAAAAACCCAAACAAACAAAAAACCCCCAAAATATGTCTTTCTGAGCCTGGTTTTAATCACCTACACTCTTTTGGGCAGGATTGTGCAGTGGCAGGGTTTTGGTGTAGTTTCTCACAGTTACTGGGTGGTAGCTCATTTTCTTTCTTTTTTTAAAATGTTTTGTGAAAATACTGTACAGAGGGGTTACAGGTACACGAACAAGGTAATGAGTACATTTCTTATCAAGCATTTTTGCCTCCTCCTTTGTTTTCTCCCTACTATCCCTTTCCTCCCACCTCCACAACTACCTCCTCCCCTTCCCCCATCTAAATTGTAAAGTTCATTTTTCAACAGAATTTCTTGTACATCTCATTGTTACAATGGGTTAACCTGTATCCCTATTTAAGCATTTTGTTTTTTCCCTTCCCCTCCCCAAATTATACCAACATCAAATACAGTAAAAACAGGGGTTATACTGTGGGTGAGGAACATATTCAGGGAACCAAACCTGATCAAGAACCATTTCAGAAGAAAATGAACTGGAGTCCTTTGTAGTTCCTTTCCCTTGTGTCTAATCAAGGGGTCTACACTGTTTGGGTAAGCAACAGTGGTCCAAGCCTGTGTTCTCTGTTCTAGCATCTTTGCTTATATTCACAAATAGATGTTGTTTATCTCTCACTAGAGTTTGAGCTGACATTTCCACTATGTTTTTGCCTATGGCTTTCCTTTGAGTCTGTATGATTTGAGCTTCCTGTACTTTTTTTATAATTTTTATTTTTTTATTGTGAAAATACTGTACAGAGGGGTTACAATTACATGGGCAAGATAATGAGTACATTTCTTATCAAGCATTGTAGCCTCTTCCTTTGTTTCCCCTTCCCATCCCTTCCCATCCTCCCTCCCCCGACCCAATCCTCCCCCCCCACCAATGTTGTAAAGTTCGTTTTTCAACATAATGACTTGTACATCTCATTGTTGCAAAGGGTTCACCTGTATCCCTATTTAAATGACTTGTTTTTCCCCTTCCCCTCCACAGATTATACCGACATCAAATACAGTGAAAGCAGGGGAGGGACATACAAAGCAACAAAGAAATAATCTTATAAATGTGCCTTATTTGCAATATCTAGTATATGTTTGAGTCAAGCAGAAAAGGTCAGATAAGGTGATGTTAGGGAAATGAACCCTAAGATATGTATTCAAATGTTTTTTTCTTTCATGCGATTGTTTCTAGCTTCCTGTACTTGTTACCGTAGTTAATCTGTCCCCGAATCTGATTGCAAGTCAGTTTCTTGTGTCCACACTAAGTTCTTGGGGCTGGTTGCTTACTTAGCCTTTGAAGTTTGAGAGTTCTGCTCTGTTAGAGCTTTTCTGTAAGAATTCTTAGGGTTCTCTTACATGACACAGTTGGTAAGTTAGGAACAGCAAGGTGTTTACTTGCTGTGTGGAGTGTAGAACTCAGGTTAAGCTTTAGTTTTATAGAATGCCAGCTTGTGTACCAGGAACAGGAGGAGGGAGGCTTCCTGAGGCTTTCCTGTTCCCTTGCTTTCCTTTCTATGAAGGGGTTCTCAGTAATCTGTAGGATTTTCCTGAGTACACTATATCAAGACTTTATTTCTTTGTAAAGTCCAGTATTTCTGTGTTTCCCCTGGTCTCTGCTGTTTATTGTTGTTCTTCCCTTGCCACCCACATTTTCCAGAGACCACACATCTGGTGTTTTGTTTCAGGTTGTACTGAAGTAAAGTACTGTTTATTTTCTACCATGTTCCTTCACTGACACACTGATTCCCTAATCCACAATCTCAAATTTGCTGTTGAATTCACACAGTAATTATTTTTAATTTTCAGTTATTGTGCCTTCTAGCTTTAGAGTATTAGTTATTTTATAGTGCTGAGGATTTAACCCAGGCTTTGTGCAATACTAGGCCAACTACTTGCTGTACCCACTGGACTACATCTCCAGCCCTTGCTTTTTAGCCTTTATATTCAGCTCCTTATTATAGATCATATTTCTCTCTTGAGATTCCGATTTTGTGTTCATATTTTAAAATATATTTACCTTTAATTATTTTAGCATATTTAGGAAGTTTTATTGATGTTTTGCTAATTTAATATCTAGGGCCATACAGATTCAGTCTCCATTGACTGCTGCTTCATTTCCTTTGGTGGATTTCATGTTTCTTTACTATATAGCAATTTCCAGTTGACTACTAGACATTCTAGTTACTATGCTGTAGCAACTCTAGACAATTTGTTTTTATGTTTAGGGGTTTTTGTTTTCATTTTAGCATCCTGAGTAGACTCAAATTGTAGATTCTGTCTCCTCTAAGGTGTTCAACTGTTGATGTTTTTGCTCAGTTTTAGAAACTATTAGTTTCCATTTGAATTCTGTCTGCTTGTTGGTAGTCTTCCTATGTCTGCATAGCCTCATAGTTAGCCAATGATATGGACAGTGACAATGATCTGGACAGTGTTTTATTTCAAACAAGTTTAGTCTTTAAGCCTCTACTTTCTGATTGGTGTGTGTGTGTGTGTGTGTGTGTGTGTGTGTGTGTGTGTGTGTGTGTGTGATGAGGGAAGGATGCATTCATTCAGTGTTGGAACCAGTTATGCTATACTTGCTTGTTTCATTCACATGTGATACTGGCTAGTTTTGGGGCTTGAGCTCTGCTTGGGCAGTCTGGGAGCTCGCTCTTCCTTCCTTCCTTCCTTCCTTCCTTCCTTCCTTCCTTTCTTTCTTTCTTTCTTTCTTTCTTTCTTTCTTTCTTTCTTTCTTTCTTTCTCTCTCTCTCTCTCTCTCTCTCTCTCTCTTTCTTTCTTTCTTGTGAGCTATTGGTACCCAGCTGGTACTAGCATTTGAATGCTTGCTAGTCAGGCATTCTACTTCTTGAACACCATCCCCAATCCTTTCTGCTTTTATTCTTTTTCCTAATAGGTCTTCACTTTTTGCCCTGACTAGCATGGATTACAATCCTATTTGTTTCCCAAGCAGATGGGATAACAGGTACACACTAACACACCCAAATATTGATTGAGATAAAATCTTATGAACTTTTTGCTCAGACTAGCCTCAAATCACCATCTTCTTGATCTTAATCTCTTGAGTAGCTAATATTACAGGCCTAAGCTACTATGTCTGTAGCTTTTAATTATGTATTTTAAAAAAGGGCACTAGGGTTTGATCTCAAGGGCCTTGCACTTGCTGCACAGGTGCTCTATCACTTGCTCCACACCCACGGGCTTTGGCTGTCTTAGCCATGCTGTCTTTAGTTTCCCCTGTACGTATATACTTTTAGAGCTAGTTAGGGAGGTTTGTAAAGCCATTTTAGTACTTCGTCTTTGCTGTTACTAGAATCTTGTTAAATTTCTGACTGCCTTTTGTTCTACAATAACTGGGCCTGTAACCTTTGGCTAATAAATACAGGTTTTCTGTTATTCCTGTTTTTTTCACTTCAGACCAAGCTCTGGGTTTATATTCCCACTCTGCACCAATTAGCCTATCACTGCAAAATTGCTAAGTTTTTTTTTAGACAGGCATAGGTACAGTTCCTATTGAACAACATGGCCTTATTTCTATAACAGCCTGAGAGAACAATTTAAAGGGAGGAATTATTTATCTTATGCATGCTTTCCCACATGTCCCATCAGTCTAGTCATCTATTAATTACCATTGCCGTCTTTTGCATTAAGGCAAATT